GACAGAGCAACACATTCTCATAAAGCTTCTGAGAGCAGGACTCAAACTTTCATTGTATGGGTACTCTGCAGTTCAGTAACCATAGTATGTCACGTGGAACACCCACTTATTCTGACATCAGGTTGCCTGTAAATACTCTGGTCTGCAACATAGCCTCAGTCCTGCAGTATGTGCGTAAATGACTGTCATTGGCCCCATTAATTTTGCTTGAGACACACAGTAGAGCTAACTTTTTACCCTAAATCACACTTTAAATGTTAGGTTTCAGAGTAGCAGCCGTGTTAGTCTGTATTCGCAAAAAGAAAAGGAGTACTTGTGGCACCTTAGAGACTAACCAATTTATTTGAGCATAAGCTTTCGTGAGCTACAGCTCACTTCATCAGATGCATTCGGTGGAAAATACAGTGGGGAGATTTATATACACAGAGAACATGAAACAATGGGTGTTACCATGCATACTATACAAGAGTGATCAAGTAAGGTGAGCCATTACCGCTTACAGTGTGTATGGTAACACCCATTGTTTCATGTTCTCTGTGTATATAAATCTCCCCACTGTATTTTCCACTGAATGCATCCGACGAAGTGAGCCGCAGCCCACAAAAGCCCATGCTCAAACAAATTCGTTAGTCTCTAAGGTTTCAGAGTAGCAGCCATGTTAGTCTGTATTCGCAAAAAGAAAAGGAGTACTTGTGGCACCTTAGAGACTAACCAATCTATTTGAGCACGAGCCTCCGCGAGCCACAGCTCACCCCATCGGATGCACACCGTGGAAACCGCAGCAGACTTTATATATACACAGAGAATATGAAACAATACCTCCTCCCACCCCACTGTCCTGCTGGTAATAGCTTATCTAAAGTGATCATCAGGTGGGCCATTTCCAGCACAAATCCAGGTTTTCTCACCCTCCACCCCCCCACACAAATTCACTCTCCTGCTGGTGCTAGCCCATCCAAAGTGACAACTCTTTACATAATCAAGTCGGGCTATTTCCTGCACAAATCCAGGTTTTCTCACATCCCCCCCACCCCCATACACACACAAACTCACTCTCCTGCTGGTAATAGCTCATCTAAACTGACCACTCTCTAAGTTTAAATCCAAGTTAAACCAGAACATCTGGGGGGGGGGGGGGGGGTAGGAAAAAACAAGAGGAAACAGGCTACCTTGCATAATGACTTAGCCACTCCCAGTCTCTATTTAAGCCTAAATTAATAGTATCCAATTTGCAAATGAATTCCAATTCAGCAGTTTCTCGCTGGAGTCTGGGTTTGAAGTTTTTTTGTTTTAAGATAGCGACCTTCATGTCTGTGATTGCGTGACCAGAGAGATTGAAGTGTTCTCCGACTGGTTTATGAATGTTATAATTCTTGACATCTGATTTGTGTCCATTTATTCTTTTACGTAGAGACTGTCCAGTTTGACCAATGTACATGGCAGAGGGGCATTGCTGGCACATGATGGCATATATCACATTGGTGGATGTGCAGGTGAACGAGCCTCTGATAGTGTGGCTGATGTTATTAGGCCCTGTGATGGTGTCCCCTGAATAGATATGTGGGCACAATTGGCAACGGGCTTTGTTGCAAGGATAAGTTCCTGGGTTAGTGGTTCTGTTGTGTGGTATGTGGTTGTTGGTGAGTATTTGCTTCAGGTTGGGGGGCTGTCTGTAGGCAAGGACTGGCCTGTCTCCCAAGACTTGTGAGAGTGTTGGGTCATCCTTTAGGATAGGTTGTAGATCCTTAATAATGCGTTGGAGGGGTTTTAGTTGGGGGCTGAAGGTGACCGCTAGTGGCGTTCTGTTATTTTCTTTGTTAGGCCTGTCCTGTAGTAGGTAAGTTCTGGGAACTCTTCTGGCTCTATCAATCTGTTTCTTTACTTCTGCAGGTGGGTATTGTAGTTGTAAGAAAGCTTGACAGAGATCTTGTAGGCGTTTGTCTCTGTCTGAGGGGTTGGAGCAAATGCGGTTGTATCGCAGAGCTTGGCTGTAGACGATGGATCGTGTGGTGTGGTCAGGGTGAAAGCTGGAGGCATGCAGGTAGGAATAGCTGTCAGTAGGTTTCCGGTATAGGGTGGTGTTTATGTGGCCATTGTTTATTAGCACTGTAGTGTCCAGGAAGTGGATCTCTTGTGTGGACTGGACCAGGCTGAGGTTGGTGGTGGGATGGAAATTGTTGAAATCATGGTGGAATTCCTCAAGGGCTTCTTTTCCATGGGTCCAGATGATGAAGATGTCATCAATATAGCGCAAGTAGAGTAGGGGCTTTAGGGGACGAGAGCTGAGGAAGCGTTGTTCTAAATCAGCCATAAAAATGTTGGCATACTGTGGGACCATGCGGGTACCCATAGCAGTGCCGCTGATCTGAAGGTATACATTGTCCCCAAATGTGAAATAGTTATGGGTAAGGACAAAGTCACAAAGTTCAGCCACCAGGTTAGCCGTGACATTATCAGGGATAGTGTTCTTGACGGCTTGTAGTCCATCTTTAAATGTTGCTTCCCCAAAGAGGGAATGGTGCCAGACACTAGTTGAAATTCATTCTGAGCAGATTATGGAGAATCAGTGTTTTAGGGTATGTCTGTACTGCTGTTGGGAGTGAGTCTCTTGGCCTGGGTAACAGACTGCTAGCTTCACTTGAGCTAGCACACTAAAATAGCAGTGTAGACTTCGCAGCTTCAGCGGAGACTCTGACTGGCTGCCTGAGCTTCAACATTCACACTCCTGTTTTTACTATGCTAACTCAAACTAAGATAGCTTGAGTCTGTCTGCTTGGGCTGGGAGGCTTATTCCCAGCTGCAACATAGATATACCCACAGTTTGAGGCCCAGGTGGGCACAAAAAGTTGGAACTTCAAAACTTTGATGTTACATGATTTTTGGGAGTTGGGCAAGGGGAGAGCATACAGTGCTACTGTTCTGTAATATAATATGCTCAGAAGAAAATTGGTGGGGGAGGAATTATGTGCTTCAAAAACTTGTTAGATACCTTAATGCCACAAAGGGGGAGAGATTATTCAGTAGTACTTGGTGAAATGGGGCGAAATTAAGGAAAAAACGGAATAAATAACATCACAAATATGACAATTGTTAGACTGGAATAATCTCCGAAAAGTAGTGAAGGGAAGCCCAATTGCTTGAGTTTTTAAAAGAAGGTTAACTCAAACAGTGAAGAATATATTGCAGGGAACAGTTCTTTGATATCAGAGAGCAGACTAGGTGGTTTAATAGATCTTTTATATGTTCTTCTGTCTTTATATTCAGATTACAATTTGTATTGATGTTTAATCTCTCAATATTGATATCTTTCAAGTAAAGAGGTTGTTTCTGTTCATACTGGAAGTTTGTTTGATATCCAGTATGGTCTTGATTTTAGGTGAAATGCTGTAACTTTTTTCATTTGAAATTTGTCTCATCATGGTGTAATACGCATTCTCTAAACTATCAAATAGATTGCTCATTACGTTATACCACCAGGAAACAGAAGTCCCTAGTTTCAAACTTCTGCCATCACTGTGTTAACATAATACCCAGAAATCGTGACTCTTGAGATTAAATACAGTTAAAACAGCTGATGCCTCATCAAAGACTAGAAAATTGTATAATATATTTTTAATTTCCAAGAATCTGCCCTTACTTTTTGGGATATTAACCGGGGCAGTGGGTGAAGCTTCCCCTTGGGGAGGCTATCCCCCTGCACTGCCTCTTCTGGCCAAGGCCCTGCCTCTACCAGCCATGGTCACATGCCTGCTCACTGTTCCCAGCCCCCCTATGACCTCAGGGTTAGGGAGGCCTGAGAGCTCGACCCCTTCCCCCCATGGCCCCAGTTGGGACAAAGAGGGGGTGAGAGCTCAGTCTGTGCTACGGAGGGAGGCTGAGAGCTCAGCCCCAGGCAGAATCAAGCTCTCATTCCTGGCCAGAATCAAAGCGGTGCTCTCAGCCTGGCCAGAGCTCTGAGCCTAGAGCCCTTCCCCCATTCCACCCCTTCCGTCTGTGGCCCCACCAATGGTCCCACCCCGCTCTGCCTCTTTCCCTGTGGGCCTGTCCACCTCTCGTTCTTCTCCCTCTCACCCTCCCACCCCCATTGCAGCCCTGAGATTGTGGTAGGGAGCGAGAGCTCCTCAGATCCGCGGCTGTAGCGGGGGGAGATTTTTCCAGCCAATTTGGGGCCCCTGGCCACAGGCGCCATGGGCCTGTGCAGTAATCTGCCATTGTCCTTTTCCCCCTCCCACTTCCCGTGGCGCAAGGTTTGGGGACGCTTAGCCTCCCCCAGTCTCCATTATGTGCAGCCCATGGATATTAAGCAATAAGAGGAGTAAGATACAGAATAATACTTCAAGTTCTAGTTTTTCAAGAGGATCCTGGGAGAGGCAATACTACCTGAAGGTTAGAGCATGGGAATTAAGAGTGGAAACTCTTGAGTTGTCTGTCAGCAACTGTTTGGGCAAATCACTTATTTGTAAAATGGGAGTTATACTTTGCTTCCTCACAAGTGTTGTAAGAATTAGTACTTGTAAAGCATTTTAAGATGTAAAGCACTATTAGATGCTTGTCCTCTCAGTGACAAAACTATTTCTACAAGAACCAATTGAAGAAGCAGATGGAGATGGTTTCATGTAGGTGTCTAAAAGGCAAATAAGGAGTTGTAGGGTGCAGGATAAAAGATAATGGAGGCTTTGTCTACACTAGCACTTTTGTCGGCAAAACTTGTCGATCAGGGGAGTGAAAAAAACCACCAGTGTGGACCAGCGCTAGGTCAGTGGGAGATGCTTTCCCACCAACATAGCTACCGCTGCTCATTGGGGATGGTTTAATTATCAGCGAGAGAGCTCTATCCTGCTGGCATAGAGCAGCTACACAGGAAATGTTACAGTGGTGCAGCTGCAGCGGTACAGCTGTGCTGCTATAAGGTCAGTAGTGTAGACATAACCTATGTTTTCCATGAGGCATCGGCAGCTTTTCAACGACGAGCTCAATTAAATGTTTGTTTTGATTTATAGTGGTTCCTGTCATTTCAGAAGTTGGAGATCAGTCTGGTGAGGTAGGTTACTCCAGCTCTCCAGCAGAAGCACCTCCAAGCAAGTCTCCATCAATGCCATCCCTAAACCAGACCTGGCCAGAACTAAATCAGAGCAGCGAGGTTAGTAAAAGTTTCATCTTATATGAGAAGTATTTAGTGGCCACTAACTAAACTGTGTATAGGTTCATGTTGCATCATATATAGAATGTTACTTCATGAACATGAAACTGCAAGTTAAATGCATTAAACTTTCTATCATTTTTTATATAATCATGCAAGATTTCTGTTTTTTTAAGAAAACCCACTTCAGTAGAAGTACTATAAGCATGTACGCGGGCTCTGAAGAATGTCCTCAACAGAGCAGTTAATCTTTTACTAAAACATAGGAAAATCATAAGCATTTAAAATATCATGTTAAAGGTAATGTTTCCTTTCTCCCAAATAAGTAGGGAGCCCATGATGTATAAAATATCATTAAATTCTGCTTGACCTTAGTACAGTGTTCTTGTAGTGTGCTTGCTGAATAATAAATGGTTAGTATATAACTAACTCCTCCATATCTTGTACTCTGAAGGCTTTTGAGGCTAATGCTAAGTTACAAAATACTCCTATTTTGGCAGTACAGTTATATCCAGGGGGATTTCCAAGTCTCATTAATGATGGAGTTAAGTGAAAGTTTAAACTGAAAACGCTATCAGCAGAATAAAGAATCCATTTTTTTTTATTAATTTCGTGATTCAGGATCACAAATTACTTTGAAATCAGAGCTACTGCTGCTAACGTTTTAACTTTTTACTAACTGTAATTTTTATATTATGTATCCTTGGTACTTAACAAAACAGTATCTAAAGAACTTCTGATTAAGCCATGTCAAACAAGTCATTTAGATTTCAGTTTTTGATACATCACTAAAGGTAGCAACTTATTCCACGACTGTGTGCTTCAGTATCATTGTTTTAATGATCTTTTATCAAGATTGGCTTGAAGAGTCAGCCTGCTTCTACAGATCTGACAATATGACCTAAGACACAGGATATAAACCAGCTAATTCTTAGAACTATTTTAATATTTGGTGTTACATTATAAACTCTTTGGGGCAAGGAAAGACATTTTGTTTGTACAGTGCCTAACACAATGGCGTCCATATGATCCAAGACTGGTGTTCCTAGGTGCTACCACAATATAAATAAGATGATATAGGGTTTAATCTATATTCCTTTGGTGCAGAAGAACTAGAAAAGTATTGGAAATACTGGTTATTATGGTAAAGTACAAAAATAATGGGAGCTATAGTATAGCATGTAAAGAGATATTGGCCTAGAAGAATAGCTCTTGCAGTAGAGCCACAAAGCACTGTATATGTTTCATTGAATATAGGCTATTTGCAGTGAAACAATCATGGAGTTCTCCAGGATTGCTTCTGCGCATGTCCAAAGCTGTGGGTGTTTAGGCTCTGGTGCACTTAATTAACTGATTCTCTAGAACTGTTTGCCCCAGATATCTCATATATTCAGTGTCCATGAGCTGCCCACTGCAGGAAATCTCTTGGATTTCAGTAGGAAATAGCTTTTACAAACTGAATAGGAAGAAGAGTGGGAGAACTCAGTTTGAGCGAGTAGTCAGTTTTGAGACCAGAATTTGTTGTTCACTTATTACCTTCGCTTTCAAAATGTGAAGTGGGAGACTACAGCAGCACAAAATTTGAGACAGATTCTTTTAGTAAATTAGTTGTATAATGGACTGCAATGTATCATCTAATAGAATTGTTGAATCTGACACATGAAAAATCTTAAATGGACAGCCATTTTTAGTGCAGATGCTTTATAATCCTGAAATAAGTAATTCACCAGCAAGATAGCCTCAATCCCACAAAAATGTATGGTGGCACTAGTGGAAGGCATTGCCTGAAAAACTTTGCAAGACCATTCAAAGCTGTAATAAATTAGTGAGCTGATTTCAGTCAAGTAAACTAACAATACCTTTGTGAAATATTAACATGCATCAGTCTTTAAGAGGACATTTGTTCTAAATTTTTGAATTCAGCTACCCAAGTTATCTTTAAATGTTGCTTTCTGTGTGAACATTCCTGCAGCTAGAAGAGTAGGAGAACTACTAAATCTTTTTCTATACTCTGATAACGCTGACTTTACATACACTTGACTAAAATGATACAAGCCAAGATTTTTTTAAATAAGTTGCTCCTAAAGTTATTTTCCATATCCTGATTTAGGCACCTAATAAGTGGCATAAATTTGCAAGTGCGCGTCATCCAGCAGCTCCCATTTGTCCCCAGGTGACTGCAGTGATGTTTAAAAGGATGTGTACTTCCCTGTAGTATTTCAGAGATATCCACAATGGGTGCTCAGCACTCTTGAAAACTAATGATTTAGGTGCCTAGAAATGGATTTGAGACTAAATTTAGGCTCTAATTTCTTGCTCATAAGAATGTTCTAGTTCCATATTGTACCCACAATGGAAACATGCTATGAGAAAAACTGCAAGAACATCACTCTCATCACTTGAACAAGAATACCTTATTTTAAATATAACCTTTTCCTATTTCAGGCCAAGTAATGTCTGAATTCAGTTTTCACCATATGTGAAATTTTGGCTGGAGAAAACAAAGAAAAATGTTTATATTCTCCTGAAATGTCACCTGCTGGGACCCAGCGAATTATTACGTCCAGCTGAAAAAAGGAAATATTGTTCCTACTTTGTAAACATATTACCCGGAGCAATTTTCATAAATAACATTTCACTGTAAGGTGAATGTACCTGTATCTACATACAATGCATCTAGAAGAATGAATTTGTACTTAAATGCTCTCTGGATTTCCTAGCCTGTGTTCAGCTAATGCTAAATTATATCTACATGGTGTAAAATGGATTTTGCAGGTATAAACAGTCATAGGGTAAATTCTTTTAAGAATTAGGAGGTCATATGGTCATACCATTATCTGTTGAAAAGCTGTATTCCCAACATATAGTACCTATAGTTACAATAAAGATTTGATTTTAACAGACGTCCCAGTAATTTGGCAATCCATAACATACCTATTTCTTGAATTAGACTGGTGTGGAGAACAAGAAAGAAGAAATAACCTGTAATGGTTTCTGGTAGACAGCCTCACTACACTAGTACAGTTGCTCCACAATCCAAAATCCCTTCTGTCTTAGATAATTTTGTTCACCTGAAGTGGCCTGTGGCTCTTTTCTACTGATGTGGGAGTCTGAGATTTTGTTGTGTCAATTTACAGCCCTACAAGGATTTGGGAAAATACCCAGATTAAGTGATACTAGCAAAGACTAATTGTACAAATATTGCATTTAATTATTTCTTAGGCTGCATAGTTAAAATAAATGATAGTATGATGAACTTAATTTTTTAACATCAAGATTATTATACTTCTTGAAAGATACCATCTGAAGGATTTTCACTCAATTTTTCTTCCCTAGGAATTTGTGCTGAACTCCAAGTTTTTTTAAAGTGTTTAGGGTTGTAAGGACTTCCCTGGTGCTCAGGCACTAACTCTTCCCTTTAACTGTTGCTTTTTTTAATCTTTCTAGTCAGCTCCTCTTTGACCATGCAGAGCGGGGCTCCCTACAGGAGCTATGCGTCTTCAGCTGCTGCTCCAGGTCTTCATTACATTCAGCTTCAACAGTATTTGGGTGTCCTTTATGGTCTACTTCAGTGGTTCTCAAACTTTTTTTTTGCAGACCACTTAATGATCTTTCCAAATGTTGTTTGTTCCATTAGCTAACTATTGTAAAGCATCAGAGGGGTAGCTGTGTTAATCTGGATCTGTAAAAGCGGCAGAGTCCTGTGGCACCTTATAGACTAACAGATGTATTGGAGCATAAGCTTTTGTGAGTGAATACCCACTTTGTCAGATGCATGTAGTAAAGCGCTTTGGATAAAAGCAATATATTTTAAAAAAACTTAATTAACTTTTTTTTGTTTTACAAATAAAAGTGCACAATTCATATTTTAATATGAATAGTCTTACCTTTCTAAGGCGATGGATGTACCCTCTCTCCTGATCTGGGGCTGGGAAGGAGGGGGTCTCTCCCTTTCTCCCCTGCCACAGCAGCCTCCCGAGCTGGGGCTGGGAAGGACAGGGTATCTTCCCCCACCACAGAGCTGAGGCTGGGAAGGAGGACCGTCTCTCTCCCTGGCAGCCGCAGCCCTGCAGCTGAGGAAAGTTGCCTCTTAGGCTGCCACAACCCTGCACATCCTAAATTCCCCCAGCCCCTCTTCTTACCCCACTGCCCACTCCCACATACCCCTTAATCCCCTCAAGGCCACCACCTCACCTTACATGTGAATCATTTCCAGGGTCCAGGCACCTAATTAGTGGAGCCACACCTGCGCAGTTCTACTAATTAGGTGGGTGGCCCTTCATTCTCTTGTGTGCGGCCGCCCAGGGTCCTTAGAGGGAACTATCTGCAGACCACCTGAATGTAGCTTGCAGACCACAGGTGGTCCACGAACCACAGTTTGAGAACTTCTGCTTTACTCCTTCCGGCTTTGTGCTTGGATCCTTGTTTTTATACTTGTTTTGCTGCACTTACCACTGCTAGCTTGGGAATACACATGAGGTACTGGCCTCAGCACATCTCATGAATTTCAGTTCCATGGTCTAACCTTTACTTTGGATATTAAGGACTTTGGCTTCTTCCTTCTTTAACTCAACAGATAAGTTGGTTCCCTCTCACTTGTTGCTTTAAAAGGTCTTTATCCTCTAGCTTGGTGCTCTGGAAAATCCAAAACTTTCCTCCCAGACTGAGCACTTATTCATTCTGAAGTTTTATTTTTTGTGACTTCCTTTTCTGTCTCAAGATTTTGACTGTATACTCAATCCCTTGAGAATTCTGAGGCAATTATTTAATGGATGAGCAGGTTATTGCATCTTCTAACTGGGTGATGGGAATGCTGTTCAGTGGTGTCACATGTGGCTACATATGTACCTTGAGTACAAAGGCATCATGGGGAACAACTCTGGCTTTTCTAGAAACAATCCCTCAGAGCCAAACACTTAAGTATGGCTTGATGCCAGAAGGCAACTACTTAGACCTGTTATGAATGTTGGATCTCCTGGCCACTTAGGTTTTCATAATACCTATGGCATGTTTCATCTGAAGACAACTTAGTAGATTCTGAAATCCCAGCAGAGGTCAGAGACTGTGTCCAGATGACATACCTTCATGTTTGTGTTTGCTTTAGTAGCAGTCTAGGAAGCCCATGCAGAGTGACTCCACACCCAGGAAACTTTCTCTCTCCATGAACAGGAGATATTTTCTAGAAATGAGATCAAAGATGTTTGGAGACCTGTTAATCAAAAGGCGGTTCTGGTTTAAACAATCAAACATGTAGCTTAAAAACGGCCATGGGTCTTCTGACAGTGACCAATGCCAGATGCTTCAGAGGCAACAAACAAACGGGGCAATTTATCAATTGTTCCATCTACTGTCATCTAGTCCCATTTTTCCTCAAGATGTGTGGGAAGGTACTGGGTCACATTTCCTGGGCCACTAAAATGTGGGCAAGAGTGAGTTCTGTCCAATAAGACATTCCTCATTGCCATGTATCAAGTGGCAAAGGAACACTCTTATGGACTGATGGCAATCCTGGTAAATCCTCATTGAGTGGTTTCTAGTTCAGGAAGTGGTGCATCAGATTTTTTTTTAATGGAAAACACAAGAGGTGAAGTTCTTCCTCTCACATGAGCAAGAAGATAATATTCTTCTGCCTCTGGTATGGAGAAGAGTCCAGTTTGACAGGTCACATTTTTTTCTTTCCATTGGGAAAAGGAGGATCCTCTATGCCCTTCAGTTAGTTCCTGTGGAAACAAGTGTCCTAGCAAAGTTCAGGAGGAACAAAAGTTATCTGAATAACCCCAAACTGACCAGACAAGTATGATTCTTAACTCATTTGCAAGCGGTCAAAGCCCGTTCTGTCAGACTGAGGTTCTCCCCTCAATTATTGCTCCCAGTCAGGACACCTCATTCTATTCCAGTGTAGGAGCCCTTTCCAGAACAGATTGGCTCCTACCCTGTTTAGAGCTCTACAGGCATGGTACATAAGAACAGCCATACTGGGTCAGACCAAAGGTCCATCAAGCCCAGTATCCAGTCCTCTGACAGTGGCCAATGGCAGGTGCCCCAAAGGGAATGGACAGACAGGTTATCAAGTAATCCATGCCCTGTCACCCAATCCCAGCTTCTGGCAAACAGGGGCTAGGGACACCAATCTTGCCCATTCTGGCTAATAGCCATTGATAGACCTAACTTCGAAGAATCTATCTAGCTCCCTTTTGAACCCCGTTATAGTATTGGCCTTCACAACACCCTCAGGCAAGGAGTTCCAGAGGTTGACAGTGCATTGTGTGAAAAAATACTTGTTTGTTTTAAACCTGCTACCTATTAATTTCATTTGGTGGCCCCTTGTTCTTGTATTATGAGAAGGAGTAAATAACACTTCCTTATTTACTTTCTCTGTACTACTCATGATTTTATAGACCTCTATCATATCCCCCCACTTAGTTGCCTCTTTTCCAAGCTGAAAAGTCCCAGACTTATTAGTCTCTCCTCATACAGAAGCTGTTCTATCCTGTAATCACTTTTGTTGCCCTTTTCTGAACCTTTTCCAATTCCAATATATCTTTTTTGAGATGGGGCGACCACTTCTGCGCGCAGTATTCAAGGTGTGGGCATACCATGGAGGCAATATGATATTTTCTGTCTTATTATCTATCCCTTTCTTGATGATTCCCAACGTTCTGTTCGCTTTCTTGACTGCCACTGCACGTTGAGTGGATGATTTCAGAGAACTATCCACAATGACTTCAAGATCTTTCTTGAGTGGTAACAGCTAATTTAAACCTCATGATTGTGTATGTATAGTTAGGATTATGTTTTCCAGTGTGCATTATTTTACATTATGGTGTCTCAAAAGTACCATCTAAAGGCCTCTCGTGGCTTCAGAACCCATCTGTAAGAAGAAATTGCAGTTAAGTGAAAAAACATTTGCAGTGGGGTACAAATGGGCCCACATGAACAACTTCATTTGGCCTATGCAAAATACTTCAACAGTCAAAATGTGATTGTCTGTACTAGGGTACTCAAGAAGTTCAATCCAAATTAACTAAAGGTGTGAATCTAAAGTGGATTAAACTTTACATTTTTGAATAAAGAAACAAAATTAACTAACCTAAATTAAGGCCACTTTAAGTCTGAATGAGCGTTTCAACACAAATTTTATGCAGTTTAATCCACTTTAGATTCACACCTTTAGTTAATTTTGGATTAATTTTCCTCAGTGTCCCAATGTAGACATGGCCTCTGTGCTCTAGCTATGTTCATTTGGCTGCCCTTTCAGCCTTTTATAAACTAGTCTTAAATAGATCATTTGAAAGATCCTTTTGCAACACTTTATTGAGAAGCTGCTGGTGTCAGGATCTTCATATATTCTTGACAAAGCTGACACAGGTTTTCTTTTAAGCCAGTTGGTAGATGTGAACCCAGGTTCCTTATATAAAGGCATTTTCTTGGTGGTAATGACTTCATATTGTAGAGTGAGCTTCAGGCGCTAATGGCCTACCTTCTGGGGTGTTTCATACGGTTGTGGACTCAGCCGTCTCCAAGTTGATGTTGGAATTCCACCTTACTGAGTCTATTGTATTGCCAACATTCTTCCCATGCCTACTGCATTTCCATCTCCTTGAGGTCTTTTTCCATACTCTTGACGTAAAAAGGTTCTTAGAGGTTCTGGTAGGAGTGGACACAATTTGAAGTAGGATCCAACAGCTCTTTATATAGGATCCTATAGTGATGGGATTGCCCATGGAATTTGTGCTTTAAGCAAGGTGTGTTGACTTTGAGCATTATTCCAATGGGGTCGGAATGGCTGAGGCCTTGTCTACACTGCAGGCAAAAGTTGATCTAAGCTACGCAATTTGAGTTGCATGAATAGCGTAACTCAAGTCGAGGTAGCTTAGATCTGCTTACCACGGGATCCACGCTATGCGATGTCAATGGGAGACACTCTCCAATCAATTTCCCTTACTCTTCTCAATCCAGTGGAGTACTGAAGTCGATGGGAGAGCAATCTGCGGTCAGTTTAGCGGATCTTCACTAGCCCCGCTAAATCGACCACCGATGCCTTGATCGCCACACGTGGATCCCCCAGTAAGTGTAGACAGACCCACATTCTTCTGTGCTCAGAGATAAAAACAAAACATTAATACCCTAAGGAGTTCTGCCTGTCTGGCACTTGGGAGCTGAGATCCAAGAATGAGTGTCATGCACTATATCTTTCAAGAAGTATAATTATAAGGTGAGCAATCTAACGTAGGATCTTATGGTTCAGCATACAGGTATATCTGTGCTAATACCCGTATTTGATATGTCGGTATATGTCCATAAGAGATGGAAGAACTAGCATTGCTTTAGGTTGTAACACAGATACTTCGAGTCTTAATTGCTCATAAAATACTGGCGTAATATGTCTCAAATGGATTATTCCTATAAATTGAAAGTTGAAGTTTGGAGTATAAGGGCTTATCTATACATGGAGTTATTAAGGAATAGCTGTCCAAAAACGGCTATTCCTGAATATCTCCATGTTTGGACAGTTATTTCAGAATAAGTGTGTCTTGCTCCTGTTTTGCTTGATTACTTTTAAAGTGGGTTAAGCTACAGAGGAACCTAGCACACTTATTCCGCAATAAATGTTTCTACACTTGGAGTTGTTCCTGAATAGCTCCATTTGCAGACAAATCCCTAAATAATGGCTTGGTGTTAGGCAATGCATGAGTATGGTTGGGCTCAACTCTTTAAATACTATTTTCTTTTCTGTATATTCTGGAAATGTTCCATTTTTGTAGGAATTGGACAATGGAATATATTATTTCAATGTGGATACTAACACCATTTTGTAAAAAATAAATCTTTACTGTACGTTTATCCCAAAAAGCTTCTGATCCGGTGTTTGAAATGAAATTTGACTAATATTTACTCACCATTCTACTAATTACAAGATATGTAACTCATTCAGCATTCTTCTTGCAAAGAGTAATCTTATCTTTGATTCTCAATTGCTCCGGTTGCTGCTGCATTTTTTTTTCCAAGCATGAGGACCTTGTTTGGCAAATATGTATTGTAATATAGCATGGCCCATATGTTGTAGAACTGATCAGAGGTTGACTTGTTGTTGGTTGATAAACTCAAATGTGTTTGAACTCTTTAATTGCTTGCATTGTTTGTTATAATTTAAAAACTTATGCACTTTTGTAAAAAAATAAAAAAAATAAATAAAAGGTGCTCATGCAGAGTAGAATCATTTCTCAGGGGGTTCACTGGCAAGTCAAAGGATTGTTTTAATTAGAATATTCTATGCTCAATTCAGTATGTCAGCTGACTTTTGCGAGAGTGCTAGAAACACTAAATGTTAAACACTTTTTTGGTTTTGCCAGTATATAAACATGAGAAGCCTCTGCATAGGATTTATAGTTATGAATATGTACAAGATGTGGCACCACTTCTGTTTTTACAGAATCTGAATGTTTTAACCATTTCTCTATCTTGTATGTATATCAACAGTTTGCATATTTCTTTCACATAAAAAGCTTCTAAATTGTGTGCATATCTACATTTTCAGTGTGGTGCACACAATTCTGATCAAAACTTTAGAGAAAGGTAATACTTTTGGTTGTATATCAATGTCATATTGAAACTGTGAAATAGTCCCTTAATGTATGTTGTTTGTTCCAAGTCAAGCCAATATGATACACAAACACCCTCCAGTGCAACCTCTGAACTACTATGCTAAATTTCTTCTCCAGTGATCTTTTACTCATCTTTCTCATTATGCTGACTTGTCTCTCCTCTGTCTGTTCAGCAGTGGGAGACATTTAGTGAACGCTCTTCAAGCTCACAAACTCTGACCCAATTTGATTCTAACATTGCACCAGCTGATCCTGTAAGTCAATCACTTAGCTTGCTTGTTTGAAATTAATTTTATTAACACTGAATTTCCATACATTGTGTTTTTAGCTATTATGCATGATTCTTGCTTGGTTGGGACTGGTGGCAGGCTTATTAATTTCGTCTGTGTATGATGGGAAGAGGGATTTCCTTTTTTTCCATTCACTCTTAATAGCTGAGTACAGCCAATGTTTTTCTTGATTTTGATGCAATAAAAGTGCTATCAAATCTGTGTAAGGAAATGATTTGTGACACTGATGGATGTGTACATTTTATTATGCTTTATTTAAGACTTTTTGAATGTAAACAAAATATAATCAATAGAGCCCCAGTGAACCAATAGTCTTATTAAATCTTACAGCTATGTCACCCAAACTTGGATTTCAGCATAGCTCTCTTCTGTTTATGCCTTGTTGATGTTGTGCACATAAAGACTCATAACTGAGTTATACAGTTTATCTGAACATCCATATAAAACTTCATGTTCTTGTTGTATTCCAAAATTGGTGTGGTACTTCATAGTCATACATAATACTGCTATCAAGTTACTCTAGCAATAATACAACTGCACTAATCGCAGCATTAGAAACTCTGCAGAAGTGCAGTGAATAGTGATTAGTAGTTAACACCTTACTAGGTGTAGGGGCCAGTATATATCTTACTGTAGTAAATTTATTTAATTTCATAAAATCTTAGATTATATAAATTATTTTTAAAAATTTAATAACTCTGTAAAGTCTGAGTTAATACCATTGTTGCTGATATATTTGTATTACAGTAGCATCTAGCTTTCCCAGCCACAGTCAGAGCTCCGCTGTGGTAGGCACTGTATAAATAGTTTCTATCCCAAAAAACTTAGTCCAAAAGCTTCCCTCAAATGTGTGATTTAAAAAAATCAAATTAAAACATCTGCCTTACAACTTAATGTAAACACACATGCCTTCTTTGCCTGTATATTTCTTTACACAACGCACAGTCATCCTGTGGAACTCTTTGCTAGAGGATGTTGTGAAGGCCAAGACTGTAACGGGGTTCAAAAAAGAACTAGATAAGTTCATGGAGGATAGGTCCATCAATGGTTATTAGCTAGGATGGGCAGGGATGCAAAACCATGCTCTGAAATATACATAGTCTCTGTTTGCCAGAAGATGGGGATGGGTGACTGGGGATGGATTACTTGATTATTACTTGTTCTGTTCATTCCCTCTGAAACATCTGGCATTGGCCTTTGTCAGAAAATAGGATACTGGGCTAGATGGGCCATTCGTCTAACCGAATATGGCCGTTCTTATGTACTTATCCCTATTGCTCAGGGTAAACATAACTTATCTAAAGCTAATTACTCCTTCATGGAAGAATGTTAAATCACTTTACAACTATTAAATGCCTCCATTTCTTACAGTATACTTATTAGGAAATGCTTAACTAATCAAGAACTGTAGCTATTGCATTGCTTTGTTCAACTTGCATTGTAGTCAGTGACTTATTTTTAGCAATAATTAGCAAAAATGACAAGGAATCAACTGAGATGGGGAATATATTTTTTCTGTCCTGTGGATCATTTAACAGATTGATTTTTCTATATTGTGTGTATTAAATATTGGCTTAATCACCTTCTTAAAGTCTTGACATATACTTGACTTGAAATGTAACAAGCAGTATAAAGCAGTAACACTGCTTGGAAAAGTAGATTGTTATAGAATATTAGGCAGCTATGAAGCTTAGTTTTATTGCTAACATAACTACTTGAATCTTGAGGCAAGATGAAACCAATTTAATTTTGTTCATATATTCTGCTACCAAATACCAGCAAATCCAAGTTAGTGTTCGTATCACAGAGATCTTGGACAATGACACCACAGCACAGCGTTTAAAATACTGAAACTTGATGTGGCTTTCTCCTGCCTTTCAGAACCAGGGAGTCAGTTATCTGGAACATCCCTTAGTGACTGACTAAAGAGCAATCACAAAATTAACTTTCTTCAAAACCCTCTTTGCTGTAGGAAAAAACCGCTTGCTGGGCCAAAACCAAAAAAAAGGGGCCAGGGAGCTTACATATGAGGAATAAGGAAGGGAGGAGTAATACTAAATTTATAGGTTGGGTTTGGGAAAGCTGAAATTGCATTTTCAAATAAATCAGTAAAAAATAAAACTTGCCTTTTGTCACTGACATTCCCTTAACTAAGTTGGGCAACATTATATCAAGCTATTCTAAATTTAAATTACACAAGATGTTTGTAATAGCCATACTTCAGAGTACATATGGAACATTCAGAAGGACGGTTGATAGCTACAATAGAAGACTGATCTGTATATAAAAACTTCCATAGAAAGCATGATATCCTCTCAAACCATGTTCATGCCTAAAGATCTTTTAATGTTCATAGTGGTGGTTGAACTGTGGTAAGGAAGTGTTCTGTTTACATTTGCAGTATACATTTAAACTTTTTATCTTCCCAGTACAGGGCAGGTTAGTTTAAACAATGTAGAAATTACTCATGTTATATACATGTACTCGGCCTTGTGAAAGTGAGCTAACTGAAACACAGTTTAAAGCGTGTTAATTTTCAAGAGCAGTTTTAAATTTAAGACTGTTCTCCTCCCAGATACATATGCATATTTGCCATTGGCTTCAGTGGGAGTTGAGCACTCTTGAGTGCAGAGTTTGGCTTTGGTGGGGATATGAGTGCGAAATCTGGTAGCCCTTTATAGACTTAGCCCATTTCATGTCTTAGCCCATTTCGTCTGACAGTGGCCATAGAAGTATTTCATATAGATAACTGTTGCTGACATTTAGAGCCACTATCTCTGTCTTTTGGTGGCATGTTAGACATCTCTTGAAGGGTATCTTAAAAAAGGCAAAATAGAACACAAGCTTCCATCATGCTTTGTAATATATTAATGGGCTCCTTGAAATAGTGTGAATTTTACTGTACAGTAGAATTTTTAGACTGTCAAGCCGTAAGAGTTTCCAGGATATTCTAATTTTACATTTTTGAAGCATCAGAAGTACATGGAGCACTCTGAAATGTCTACATCTAATGATCCTAATATTAAGCTTAAAAAGAAATTGAGTATTTCATAGCATGGACTACATTTCATGTTTCATGGACATACAACACACCTGTGGCAACCAAGCCATTTGGTTATAGGGAAAGGTAATAATGGAAAGTATTTAAGGTATTTAGCTGTCTTTTGAGGCAGCTTAGCAGCTACAGACACAGCTAGTACAATGTGACCGGCAGATATCTATGAAGTAGAGACCAAAGTTTGGAGACCACTGTAGAGAAATCTAAATACCTGTACACTTGCACAGAGTTTAAGGATATTTGTTAAGGACAGTGTCCTATCTTTCTCTCCCCGCCCCTCCCCCCCCTCCCCCCCCAAAAAAGAAAGAAACCACGAGGAGTCCTTGTGGCACCTTAGAGACTAACAAATTTATTTGGGCATAAGCATCTGATGAAGTGGGTTACAGCCCACGAAAGCTTATGCCCAAATAAATTTGTTAGTCTCTAAGGTGCCACAAGGACTCCTCATTGTTTTTGCTGATACAGACTAACACGCTACCCCTCTGAAACCTGTTCTATCTCAGGGTTTTATATTGCCACCGATCACCATAGTATCAAGTTCATAGGAACTCAGTAAAAATGTTTGCTTATGAATATAAGCTTGGGAACTGCAACAGAATGCAGTCAAAAGCAGCTCTTAACAGAATCATTTTAAAGCAAACATAAAAACTTTTCTTCCTTCTCTGCAGGATACTGCTATTGTTCACCCAGTTCCCATTCGAATGACTCCAAGCAAAATCCACATGCAGGAAATGGAACTTAAAAGAACTGGAAGTGGTAAGCTATAGTCTTGTGCTAATTATGAAAGCAGCTGCTGTGTTCGTGTAACATCTTACTGAATACTTACGTGGTGATGACTTTTAGAGCTCGATTTTCTTGCATAACAATTCTGCCTTGTGTCCTTGCACTTAGACAATAGTATCAGGGGCTGCAACCAGTATAACTATTCCAAGTGGTGGAGAACCTCATGAATTAGAGGAGCATTCTGACACAATGATTTAGAGGGTTTATGGTTGCTGTGAGAATTTCTCCATCTGCTTCTACGATAAGATTGTTTGGAGTAGATTGGAAGCATCAATATGCAGATCTGTGTCAGGAGTGGGAGAACTTTCCCAGATTTGCATGCTCAAGTTCTTGAGGTGCTTGAGGAGCTTTGGACTATGACTTGATACTTAGTCTGGTCGGTTCTATTTAGTAAAATAGAGATTTGGTCTGTTACTGCTGGAGGCTTTCATCTCATCCATTTGAAACCTGCTAGTCTTCCTCAACTTATTTCTATGCCCATTCTCCAACATCTCTTGATTCTGACAATCTTGCCATATTATTGCCCAGTGTCTAATCTTCATTTTTTTTGCTGGGTGAGGCGCATGGGTTCCTATAATGTGCTAACACTGTAAATTCTAGAGATTTCCAGATAGCGTCAGTAGCCAAGAGCATGTTCCTTTTGCATTTGTCAGGGGAGATGAAACATGCCTCTATGGTGCAGGTTTTGCCAGTTTACTCATACCTGTTCACACCCTATTCACACTCTACTTAGGGCTTCATTTGCACACTACTTGGAAACTGCATTTAGTACAGATAGCAATTGCCAGATTGTTTACCAGTACTCTTTATATGGGGTGCACTTCACCAGTGAATCATAAATTGATTGACATCCCATTTGTTTCCAAATGCAGTTCAGGTTATTAAGCTTTAACTGTAAAACCCATTGTGGTTTGGGTCTTGTGTATCTGAGATCACTGCTTTTTGCTGCGCTCTGGGGTTTGTGATCATATGAGGCGCTTGAATTAATAGTCTGTAGGGGAAGACCCTTTAGTCTGGAATTTGCTTCTCCTTTGGGTCTGACATATAATGAATTTATTGACCTCCAGAGCCTACTGTCCTATGATTTTCAGAAGAGTGGGGAAGTAAAGTGAGGGTTTTTTTGATGTGCATCAGTGAATATATCAATTTAGATTTTATTTTAGATTCATTTAGAACTTTTGACAAGGGCATTATGTTTGTTTTTTTTGTTTTTTCTTAAAGGCATACTTGTCTGATGTCATGTCTTATACCAATGTACATTATTATGGTAGTACCTAGAGGACATGGCCCCATTTTGCTAGGCACCGCGTAGATATATAACAAATGGCCCCTGCCCCAAAGAGTATATAATCAAGGTAGGCGATCTATTGCAGGGACTTGCTTATGTCATGTTTGTATAGTGCCTAGCACAATGGGACCCATATTGTTAACTTAAAACCTAAAACTGCAATATTTTATAAACTTGACTGTAATTTTACAATATTACATAGAAGGACAAAACAAATGTCTGAAAGCATGTAAGGATGCATACACTCAGGCATTTCACCACTGACTGACATAAGAAATGAATGTTTTATAAGATTATATGTTTGGAAAAATTATTAGATATATGCCTATTAACCGGTGCAATTATATACCAATATTGAAATGTAAAGTTTCAAAGTTTAATTTTTATTTATGAATTTAATAGTTTGTGTTTAAAATTATAATGGTGTGGATAGTATCATTGTAGTTTACCCATCTCTAAAATTCCAGTCAAGTGCAAAATTTTGGTTTAGGGCTGAACTTTCATTAATGAAGACTTGGCCTCTGAGGAGAAGGATAGTTTCAGTGTATTTTGTATATCACTTAATCTTACATAAAAAGAATAGCAATAATTTTTTTTCACCTAGATCTTGCTAATCCCACTAGCCCTCTACTTGTGAAACCACCTGACCTCTCAGAAGAAAATAATATGAGTTCATCAAAATTTGTAGCTGGAAATACAGTTGGTAAGTATCAAAGTATCTTTTAACCCAGTGGTGCCTAACCTATGGCCCACGGGCTGAACAAGACCCACCAGAGCATTTCATAAAACCCATGACCTGCTTCAACACAGTATACTAACGGCTGATTCATTAGTGTTTTGTTATGTTTACATCATTTTAATCTTCACAAAAGTATGTAGAATCTGTTTGGCTCACACAAGGTTGTGCTTAGGTTTATGTGGCTCTCCTGTGTAATTAGGTTGGTTACCACTGTTTTAACCCATTTATCACACTTCAAAGGAATGTCAACCTGAATTATTGTTCTTGATCTCTCCAGCTAATAAGAGCACAAACTGTTTCTGAAAAGCAAGAAACTTAGTAAAACAAATGTCCAGCATAGTATTTTGACTTAGGAAGTATCTTCCCATCTTAAAAAAAGATAAAGAGATAGGTAATAGCAGATAAAAATAGGTATAGCTTCTCTGGCTCCTTCATTGGAAGTATGCCAATTTATGCCATTTGAGGATCTAATCCAAAATCTGGTAAGAAATTAACTATTTTCCTGTTCTCAGCCATAATCCCAGAAATGTAAACTGGCTGCACTATTCTTTATCTCCAGCAGAAATAGCTTTAAGAAAGCTTGATCCCACTCTTGTCTCAAAACCAAATAGCAACATATTTTTTGAAGATTAGAAAACTGTTGTATACCAAAGGGAGTGGAGGCATCTTCTGTCACTGTTTCAGTTCCTTTGAAAAATTGTGAGCCAAATACCACAATTCCTTGTGATTGACTTTTGACATTTTTTCTAGGTACAGTTAATTTGTCAACCCTCTGTTTACCCTGGTTGCAGTAATTTGGTTTTTAATATTCTCTACACAAATATATATATTGTACTGTACAGATTTAATTAGCCTGTTCTATGTAATCACACAGACTAGTCACAAATCAGATCTTAGTCTAAAGTATCTAATCTCTGGTTTTTATTCCTGAAACTGTTTTCCATTCACTTTGTTCATTATATTGTATAATTTCCTTCAGTAGAAATCAATACCTGACATTAGTCCTCTTGGATCCTTTGTCATGAAGTATGGGGGTAGCTTAAAACTATCACATGGCATCAGTTGGCAGAACATTCTGCAGCAGCCGTATAAGGCCGTCAATAGATCCCTTTTTTCAACAGCATTTCCCTTACTCTTGAACTCTATTTCAGTGGTATAGTTTTCTTTCTGGGTCACTTTTTTGGGCCCCTTCTCTCTTTCCCTGTCCCTTTTCCTGGTGCAGAGTGCCCAGACCTTACTCAGAAGTCTTCCAATATGGTGGAGAAAATGTACAATGACATGCTATCTTGTAGTAGGAGACTGCTGCTCCATTCAGGGCCTGAATTCTGAAAGGGCTCTTTCTGGTTCTCACTCCTTGTTAGAGCAGTCTGGCCCTGCAGACAAGTGAGACAAAAGTAATAGTGTGGAAAAGAAGGCAGCAGCCTGCAGCCACTAAACAGGAGAAGGCAAATGCCATGCCTCTTCTAATTCTATAATTCTCATCACGCTAGCCTGTATATATTTTATTTCAGCAATCTGCCAGCAACCCCTCTTGTACTGTTGTGTAGTCTTCTGCCCTACTGGGTAAATGTAGGCAAGTCAAAGGTCATTGAGCAGAGATGTTTTCTCAAGCCATGATATGGACAAGGTGCAGGTGGTGAGGAAATGAAGGCACCTGTTGACTTCTCTTGTCCAGAAGTTTCCAAAAAAAAAAATAAAAAGGAAAGCAAATACGTGAGAAATGGAAGAAGTATTTATGCACCATGATCCCCTATACAAGGAGAATTATCCAACTCCAAAAATCTGACCTAGCATCATATGGAAGGCTGTTAATTTTGCCCTATGGACAGAAAGGTCAGCTTCTTTCTTCAGGCTCAGTTTAGATAAGAGGATATTAATAAGGAAGTAGCTTCTTACCGCTAACCAAAAAGAGACTCCACTTTGCTTCTAAATCCATTTGTGGAGGATATAATTTAATAAATATTGGTATTTCCCAGCCAAAATAGTGCAGTTACGTGAGTTTCAGTAAAGTGAATGCTTAAAAATCTCTTGCGGCCACTTCTAAGTTTAGAGTACTTCCTACCAAGGGTGAATTTCCCTCAGAAATCATGAAATCTGCAAAACAGATATTTCTGAAGTGGAAGTAAGAGTCAAGCCTTTCCTTTTGTCCATGTTCTTAGCTAGTCTATGCTAGCTTGATGGAAGAAATTAAACACTGATTTAATCCAAGTTCAAGATGATAAAATGTCGAAAGTATTGTGAACAAGATCAACTGTCTCTATTTTGTGGCAAACCTGTATGAATGCATTCCATTTTTCCCCTCAAGGGCTTAAAGGCATTGATATCAGTTACAAGGCTGTATCTGTGATTCTGTTTGTGGAAGACCAAAACACAAGCCAAAAGATCGGTATCCTCAGCCCAAATCAGTGGGTGGCTGCCTACTGGACAAATCTGAAAGTGGTGGAAATCATTATGCGGGGAGAGAAATTCTAGCATTCTACAGGGCCTTAATAGAAGTAAAAGGTCTTGCAACTCTGGATATACCAGGAAGAATTCTTTCTGTAACAGAAGAGGGTAGTGGAATAAAAGAAAATAGAGGTCACATTCCTCTTCAGTTAGTGGCCTGATGTTCTGCTGAAGTTGTCTGTCTCAAATCCAAGACCCTTCTCAAACACTGGAAGCCTATGCCTTTCCCAGGAGAAATTGCAAAATGCTATTACAAACAATTACATACAGAAAATAATTTGGAAGGTTATTCTAATCTGTATACCTCAAGAAACCAGTTAATGCCATGGAACGGACTGTCTCGAATACTGTGACACACAAAATGTGAGAGGGTCTCTTTAAGGATTTTTTCCTCATCATGGACTAACAGATGAGGAGGGGAATCAGGTAGTCCAGGAAGGTTACCTTATTCCTTTCTGATAATTTTATACAGCTGCCCATCACCATAGTCTCTGAGCACCTTGCATATGAAATCAATAGCAAGGTCCCTAGTGAACTTGGTGGAGCCAGTAGCTTGTCTCCCTTTTCAGTTTAAAAATTCTTGAGGACTTCATTTTGTTTAGTTTTTGGTTCATTTGTATGGTGGCTTTTTGGGCAGGGAGCGAGGAGGGAGTCATTTGGGTAGAAGGAAGTACTATTCTTGCTGTGGTAGGTAGATTTGTTCTAAGAGGGAAAATTCTGCTGTTTCCTATGGACAATCGGATGGGACTTATCTGTCTTCTGGAAGCTTGTTTCATAGCCAGATCTCCTTGACTGAGAGTGCTTTGCTCTTAGCTCTCAGGTGCTTCCTTCTGGGCTTTGTGGTCTGCATTTCCCTAGAGGGAGTGCAACTGTCTCGGTGATTCACAGATCAGATTCAGTCTTTAATGTATCTGGGGCTTGAACCATAACCACCTTTGAAGATCAGAACCAAGACCTTAAACTAGTATCTGAAAATGACTGGGAGCCTGTGGAGGGACTCAAGCAAGGGTCTGATGTGCTCACGGAAGCCTAGACCATGGAGGTTCTTGTGCATTTTCACATTCAGCTTCAGATACAGTGAATTTCAGTAATCCTGTCTGGAAGTAATAAGTGCTTGGATCACTGTGACCAAGTCCACATTCAAGAGGAAGGGATGAAATTTCCCAACAAATAAGTGAAAAGATCTTTAGACACTACCATTACTTGGTCTTCTCTCTCTGCACAGGTTACTTGATTGTAGAGGGGGAAGAGGATAAACCCTTTCTTTAGAAAGCGGTAGCTGGAGAAGAGGTTGGCTTGCAGTCTGCCTAGCTACTTGAACTCCTCTGGAGCTGGAATTGCAGAGTCACTACATGAGAAGAAGTGAACGCAAGTAATATTTGGAGCAAGGAGAAAATTCTTTTTTCCAGGTTTTATAAAAAAAAAAAAAGCTAAGCAGTGCTGCATGAGAGAACCTTTCAGTAAGAAATTTTGAATCCATTACTTATTTAAATTAGGTTAAATTCTGGTTAAATCATGTAGGCTTTTGCTATTGGCTTTAAGAAATTCTAGAATCATCAGATGTAGGAGACATAGAAGATTTGCAGACCAGACTGCCATCCCAGGATATGCTGGAATACACTGGGGAATGGGATGGTTGGTTATGAAGAAGCTGGTGATCTGCACCTAGTAAACAGACCTCTAGAACGCAGCTTCTTTCCTCCCTGAACTGGCTGTTACCTACCTGAAAATAAAGTTGTTCTCTCTCTGGGAATACACTCCTGCAGTACTTCCCTTTTAGAAAGTTTTACTCAGACCAGTAGAAAACTAGCATTACTGACAGAATTAGGAAAAAATCTAAGTTCTGAACAATGTGCAAGAGAGGACTTTTGCAGAGTTGTTTCCCCATCCTTGCAGGAGTTACTCACGCTCCTCCAGTGTCATCAAGGGAAGGGAAGTGAAGTACTGTTGCAATTAATTGTATAATGCCCAAATTGCCTTATCCAAACATATTTAGAAGAAACCATCCTATTACAAAAAAGTCCAGTAACTTTCTGTTGGAGTGATAAAGCAAGTTTCTTGCCCAGAGAGGTTTACCATCCTTTACTAAGAGATGGTAAAGCTGACTTCTAGGGTGCTCAGGGCACTCTGCCTCCATATTAGCAGCAACATAAAGGTTTTAATTTTCCTTTCAATGAACATTTTTAAGGGTTCTAGAATATATTACTAGCCAGAGTTTGCCAGGAACTCCTGTTTTTTTGGAGCTATACTGTAACCTTTTGTCCTGAGCTCCAGAGGTCTTGGATATAATGTGGGGCCTAAACATATTCTGTAGAGCCAAAACATTAGGTTTTCTTAAAGTCCTATTGAATCCATCCTGTTACTCAGCCAAGAATGCTTTTTAACTTACTCTTATTCGTGAAAGATACTATAGGAAATCAAGACCCATGCCAATGAGATAGGTGGGATTTTATTCTACATGCTTCCTGATAATTAAAGATGAGGAAACTTCTGTGTGTCATGGATCTCAGGGACCCAAATTGGTTTTTTGGCCAGAGAAATTCTAGATATGCATGAACTCTTCTAAATTAATACTGATGCTTTAAATGGTAGATGGAAAAAGATTTGAGCTATAAACAGGACATTGTGGATCTCTTTACCTGTTCTTCACCAGCTTCTTGACCTATGAGATTAATTTAGACTAACTTCATCCAACTGCATTTGTCAGTTACTTTGGCATCTCATGAACCAGTGTCACTGTATCACCTTCTTTTCAGGTTCTTGTGGGTATTGACTCTTTTTTGGAAGCCCTTTGTGTCATAAGAGATTAATATATTCTGCCAAAGATACTAACTAACTCAAAAGGAGACTTCATTATCTGAGACTCTCAGTTTTCTTAGATGGGCATCCACTTTTCTGACTGCAATAACCTCAGGTCATAGCGAGTCTCATGCTGTAGTGATTATCGACTAAACCATGCTTCCCCAGAATGAAGCCGTGGTATGGGCTCATCTGAGATTCCCCTCAAGATGGTGATGGAATTCCACCTTAATGAGCCAGTTTTGCCAGTTTGTTCCACCTCCACATTCACATGTGAGAGCCTTTCTGTCTGCTTGAGAAGTTTTTAGTGGTTCTACTCTGAGCTACTTAGATCCTGACAGTCAACCCAACTTGACAAATTCCCAAGGCAGTGCTATCACGTAAGAGGATTGTATCTAAATATTTCTGTGGTTGCATCTCACATGGCTGCAAATTGGCTAGCCTAAAGCTGGAAACCCATGTCAAAGTTCATTCAGTCCAAGACATAGCTGCTGCCCTGCTCAGATACATGTCAGGGCAGTTACATGGTACTGATCTCTATATGTCTTACAAAGGTTTTGATTGATTTGGCCTCTAAGAAGGAATTCTGCTTCAAGGCCTCCATCCTGCAAAAATTGTTCATAAAATAGAGGAATCTCTACTCGTTAACTGCTTGTTTTTGTCTTGTGATGTATTTTAAAAGGTTCTGAAGTGATAAGTCTGATTCTTAGGTCTTACTCAATCTTTTTAAAACAAAATACACCAACTAGTTCACATAGTTGGCATTGTCTTTTTTCTGCCAATGACTGTATTACTGTTAATTTCTTTGGGGACTTTCAGTTACTTTGACTCAGGGTTTAGAATCCTGCCCAGATGGTATCGTACAGGGAAGTACAACAGTAAGGTACATATTTCTTTTTTGGACTTGAAATCTTTTCTATTGCTGCTTAGGTAATATAACCTGTTGCTGTTTTTAGCATAATTAAATTTTGATAAATTAACACTACAAAAATGAAAATGAAATTTTGTACTTTCATTCTACCAGCAGATGGTTACAGCAGTTCAGACTCCTATACTTCAGATCCAGAACAGATTGGAAGCACTGTAACTCGGCAACGGTCAGTAGAGTAGTAACAGAAGAAATATTAAAGGTTATAAAACACACCTTCCCCCTCCCAAATGATCTTTCTGGCTGTTTAATAGCTAGCATTTGAAAGGGCAAATAAAGATTTATGGTGGCCATTATTTTAACAATCAAAAGTGGAGGCAACCTGTTCCCTAGTGTTATATGGGAGAAGTGTATCAGTCTGCCCTTAATATGTGTAAAATTTCTGGTGCAGCAGAACAATACTGCTTGATTAAAGTGGCAAGCCTAGAATTGGCTGGTCAGCTATTACTCCGTGTTCGATCATGAGAACATTCTACTTCATATATAGGGTTCCTTCTGAAAAACAAGAATGCATAAGCAGTTGGTTGTCACCTAGCATACAGCCAGTTTCTTTGGTTTAGAAGTCTGCAGTGGTTATTTATAGATAAGTACTAAATATGGTTCTCTGGTTGCATCTCCAAGTGCTTTTGAGGATAGGAATAAAATTCAAAATGATCTGGACAAACTGGAGAAATGGGTCTGAAGTAAATAGGATGAAATTCAATAAGGACAAATGCAAAATACTCCATTTAGGAAGGAACAGTCAGGTGCACACAAACAAAATGGGAAATGACTGCCTAGGAAATAATACTGCAGAAAGGGATCTGGGGTCATAGTGGATCACAAGCTAAATATGAATCAACAGTGCAATACTGTTGCAAAAAAAGCAAACATCATTATGGGGTGTATTAGCAGGAGTTTTGTAAGCAAGACACGAGAAGTAATTCTTCCTCTCTGCTCTGCACTGATTAGGCCTCAACTGGAGTACTGTGTCCAGTTCTGGGCACCACATTTCAGGAAAGATGTGAACAAATTGGAGGAAGTCCAGATAATAGCAACAACAATTAAAGGTCTAGAAAACATGACCTATGAGAGAAGATTGAAATAATTGGGTTTGTTTAGTCTGAAGAGAAGACTGAGGCGGGACATAAGTTTTCAAGTACATAAAAGGTGGTTACAAGGAGGAGGGAAAAAATTGTTCTCGTTGTCCTATCCTCAGAGGTTAAGCAGCAATGGGCTTAAATTGCAGCAAGAGTGATTTAGGTTGGACATTAGGGAAAACTTCCTAACTGTCAGGGTTGTTAAGCAGTGGAATAAATTACGTAGCAAGGTTTTGGAATCTCGGTCTGAGATTTTTAAGCGCAGGTTAGACAAACCTAGGGATGGTCTATATAATACTTAGTCCTGCCTTGAGTGCAGGGAACTGGATTAGATGATCTTGATAGGTCCCTTCTGGTCCTACTATTCTATGATTTACGAAATAAGAACATCATATATAAAAGAGGTTTTTAAAAGCCCTGAAAATCTAGGTGAGGGGGGGGCAGCGCTTTGTACAGTAGGACTGGAAATCAACGTTGCTGTTTAACAGCATAGGATCAGTTTCAAAGTTATACCTTAAAACTAAAATAATTAGTAACTTCATGTAGTAAACATTATTAAAACTGTTTACAAACCCTTTTTGGTTATTTTATTAACTTGTAGTACAACAGGTGGGAAAGTTTTTTCCAGTGTTACTTAATTGCAAAGCTGATTCTTTGTCTACTTTTATATAAATCTTTACATTACTGAGATGGTGGTTTTTGTTGATGTAGCCATAGTCACTTGAGGAGGTGATGTTGCTACACGGACAGGAAAAACGCCTTCCATCAGTGTAGGCTGCATCTACATTGCAGGGTTATGCTGACATGGCCTCTGTAGTATAGACTCACCCCCAAGTTTCTTTTTTAATTAAATGAGTGCACCAAAAGTACTCTAGACAAAAAATCTCATTCAGCTAGTACTACAGCAACATAGGACTTCATCTCTTTAACCTCATTCTGAGTTTGGGCTTATTTTGTTTTACATCAGATTTCCCCTAAATCAAGGGTTATCAAACTGGGGATTGTGACCTCTCGGGGTTGCGAGACCCCAAGTCTCGCTGTGCCTCCAGCATTTATAAGAGGGTTAAATGTTTAAAAAGTGTTTTTAATTTATAAAGGGAGTCATACTCAGAGGCTTGCTATGTGAAAGATGTCACCAATACAAAAGTTTGAGAAGCACTGCCTAAAAGGTGTAAGTCTTTGCAGGATCTGCATTTGTGTTTGGATCTTGACATTACTAATATGTCTTGCTTCATACAAAATAACAAAACGCCCAAGGATAAGGGCAGTATTTCTCAAGATCCTAAACAAATGCACTAGGTAATAGAAACTTCAGATGGAAGAGCTAGCACTCACATCTGCAAACATACACTGAGACTTCCTCAGCTTGATCATGCTCAAGGCTGACTTGTATATGAGTGAGGCAGAACCACTGGAAATTCCGTTTTCTTTAACACCATCCCACTTAACAGTAGAAAGCAATTCCTATTCAGGCTATTGACAGAAACTTGCATGTTTGACAAAAGTCCTGATCATAATGGCTTCCAGTCTAGGTTGGATATTGCATACCTTCTCCTGAATTAACACTTAGGATGTCTACTGTCAGACACTATAAGCTTCCACAAACGTTACAGTAGGTAATGAGTGCAATAAGGAGGGCTAATATGCATTTTGAAGAGAAAATAAAGGTATAAAAACAAGAAATTCAGTTATCAGAAGCAGGAAACACCAGTTTCTTGCTTTAAAAAGTAAATTTGGCTGGGGAAAAAGGAGCTGATGGCAGCTATTAATCTTGAAACAAGATTTCTTCATATAGATGTTTTGGGTTGCACTTTCCAATTGAATTTCTACGGTTCTGGGCGTCTAAGCCTCTACAGAGGTTTACTTGTTTTGCAGGTCACATTCAGGAACATCTCCAGACAACACGGCACCACCCCCACCTCCTCCTAGGCCTCATCCTTCACATTCTCGATCATCATCTTTAGATATGAACAGATCCTTTACAGTTACTCCAGGTAGGTACATTATATGTCCATGTGTTTGCTACTTTTAGTACATATTTATCTTAACACTTTCTTCAGAGAAATTTTTTTAACTTTATTTTTAAATAGACAGCATTAGGTTTGAAGTGAAAGGCTGAAAGGGTTAAATCTGCTGATTGCTTTTATTAAAATGTAGACTCCCTTTTAAAGGAAAACAGTGGCTCAATCAACAACTTAATTAAAACAGTAAGTTCCTAAATAAAGTGTCAGTACATGAGGCAGTGTAGTCAAGTGGATAAACAAGAGCATGGGAGCCATGAACCCCAGTGACCCAAATGAGGACTCCACATTTCAAATTGAAAGTGCTCCAAATTCAAAAGTGCTCAAAAGTAGGAGTTTGTGACAGATGCAGATTCAGATGCAAAAGGATGGTAATAGATTTATAGCCTCAGAAGATTTTTACAGGTAACTTACTGTTTTATTGACAGAGATGCTGTCTTTATAATTTCAGCTCATGATCTTAAAGTACTGTACAAAGGTTTTTCTGCTGGGGAAAAAACTGAGGTGTAGAGAAGTTTACATAACAAACTAATGATGTGAGGAGTAGAACGCAGGTCTGATTCTCAGTCTCTTGCTCTGTGCTTTTGCCAATTTTGTGTTTGACCAAAGAGGCCACAGTATTGTAGCCTTCTCTGTAGTCATGGTTTGATTTAACCAATTGCTCGCCCCAAGATGAGGGCTTACACCTACTTTAATCTGTGAGAGTTCAGCCCACAAGATTGACTATAGCAGAGAAGTTTATCAACAGAAGGGGGACCCCACGGTGCACAACAGAAGCTATCTAGCGCTCTTTCTACAATAATTTCTCTTAATAGTGTGACAGGGTCGGACCAGATGGCTACAGGAGAGTGATAGAAGGCAGATATTTTAGCCCCAGGTTAAGTATGTCCCTTTTCCCTGGGTAAGGTAACAGGGAAGGTTCCAGAACAGTCAGGAACTTTCTGGAAACAATTAAGGCAGACAGGCTGATTAGAACACCTGCAGCCAATCAAGAAGCTGCTAGAATCAATTAAGGCAGGCTAATCAGGGTACCTGGGTTTCAAAAAAGGAGCTCACTTCAGTTTGTGGTGTGTGTGCGAGGAGCTGGGAGCAAGAGGCGCAAGAAGCTGAGAGTGAGAAGGCCTGCTACTGGAAGACTGAGGTGTACAAGCATTATCAGACATCGGGAGGAAGGTCCTGTGGTGAGAATAAAGAAGGTGTTGGGAGGAGGCCATGGCGAAATAGCCCCGGGAGTTGTAGCTGTCACACAGCTGTTACAGGAGCCACTGTAGACAGCTGCAATCCACAGGGCCCTGGGATTTCCCCCCATCCCTTCATCCCCCCAACTCCCTATTTGATACCGGAAGAGTTGAACTGGACTGTGGGTTCCACCAGAGGGGAAAGTCTCTGGCCTGTTCCCCGATCCACCAGGTGGATCATCCACTAGGGGATTGTTGTTCTTCCTTTCCCCATGCTGGCCAGTGATGAGGCTAACTGAGTGAATGGCAGATTTGAGCCACGAAAGTGGCCAAACTGAGGGCTGCTGTGAACCTCTGAGGCGAGAAAATCTGCCAATAAGCGCAGGACCCACCAACGCAGAGTAGGAACTTTGTCACAATAGCCAACCATACAATACACACTGCAGTCTGGTAAAGGAGACACCAATTCAGGACGTGTAATATTTGGATTACTCATATCATGTCTTGGTGAAAAACAAGTGTTAATCACCATCAGTGGTAGTCATACTGATGTCTCTTCTCTCCTCCCCCCTTCTTCCTCCCTCTCCCCCACAAATAGGGGCACAGGCCAGGGTATAGCTTTTATGATGCTTTACACTGACAGCCACTGGACTTCATACATATTTAGGAAGCTTTTTACCCCTTTTCATTATTTGAATTTTCACTCCCCGCTGCTTTTGGGGTGCCTTGTTTTTCATAGGCTAATTAGTTAGTTCTCATACTCATTAACGTTTGTCATCTTATCACCATAGTAACAGCAACATTAAGGAAGTTTCTAACAGTTCACCCCGGCCACCAACAGTTATCTTGTGGTGTCAGCTAATCCCTAGTAGACATTATTATCCAAACTCAGCAATTATTTTTAAAACATCAGGATATCTCAAACAGAAACAAGCTTGGCAGGCTTATCAATTTACTTATACTAACTTACCTTTGTAATATAGCTAACTCATCTTAAGGCCTAATTTGGCTATGCCTGAGACCTGTAGGCTGTATGTTGCGACATTAATTAATACTTATATTTTACCTCTGTATCTTAAATATAGCTGACACCTTTTATCCTTGGCTACAGTATAATTGTGGCATGTCACTCACTGAAAAACAGTCCTGGTTATGTTACCTTATGCGCAGATAACACGGCTTATTTTCATGTTAGCAGAGTGGAAAACTAAATACATGTTCATCATATTTGCAATGAGCATGTCCTAACATATGGAAATAGCCCTGTCATCCAACTGTCATTCAGAACCTATGTCTCTTCACAGGACAGCAACAAGCTGGAGTTGTTGCCTACCCTCCTGCAGTGCCTCCAAGACCACCACCCTCACAGGTGAAGTTGACTTATTCTGTGACAATTTTTTAAAAAATTAAATAGTGTATATAATTCTTTGCCCAAGTACAATCTTTCAGTCTGTTGAATTTTTAACTTTGCTTTAAAATATGTGCAGCAAGTAAGCACATAAGGCTGGTCTTTTGGAAACATTGGGGGGTATGAATGTGTACCAGAGCTTTCAAGCCTAGGCTTCTGCCACCTTGCAGGGCTTCCCCAGAAAGATGAGGACCTGCTCCTAGGGAAGCAATGGACTAAACGGAGACCTGAAGTACTTTTCTCCTGAGGTCAGTGGGAAGTGTCTCTGGTCCAGGAGCCACATGGGAGGTGGGGAGCGGCAGAAACTTACAAACTTTTGGACACCATCCCCAGAATAATTCCTGGGTAGCAGTACAGAAATATGCTATACAACTACTGGGCCGTGAGTTGGGGAGTGGTGAGACAGACACCCCTTGGCAAAGGTCCCCTGTTCTTTGTGAACTCTCACCTGAAACCTGACAAACTCACTGCACCAAACATATGTCTGACAGGATACTTACCTTACATGTTACTCTTCCTGGATATCTACAGAAAGCATGTAACTTGTCAAGACTCAAACTTATTGAGATGTATGTACGGGTAATATCTGTGGAATAATGTATTTATCTAAAGTATGCTTTACGGACTCGGAGTAGAAATTAGTCACCTGAGTGTGTCTCGATGATCCATTCAAGCAAGAGGGAGTTGCTAATCAGTCCCTAGTCAGCTGGCTAGGCATTGCAAGGTTCTATTGTCGATCCTTGCCACATCCCAAAACAGTCAATGGAAAACCATGAGAGACCATGACAAACAATCAAAACCATTTAAAGGTAGAAAAGAAACTCTACAACAAGGCAGGAATTCACCCGGCCTGTTTTCAGTATGACATAGAGCTTGTCTACACTACAGGTTACTTTGGTATACTTTACGTAACTCAGGAGTATGAATAATCCACATGTAAGTTGTATTAACCTAAGCACCGGTATAGACATTGCTATGTTGGCGGGAGAGCTTCTCCCACCAACATAGCTACTGCCTCTCACCGAGGCAGGAGTTAAGCTCTCCCGTCAGCTTAGAGCATTTCCACCACAAGTGCTGCATCAGTGCAGCTGCACTGCTGTAAGTGCTGTAGTATAGAGAAGGGCACTGTGGCTCCATCACTGAGGAAATCCCTTAAGGAGCAGGGAGCTTCCATGAAAGCGTTTATCCTGGTTCTGGTGAAATTCGCCAGCTTTGCAATGGGCTCAACTTTGAGGGGGCAGTCTACTTTATTATATATGAAAGGTAAATTGATAAGTGTAAACTCGGATTTGCATTTAAGGATTCTGTTTCGTGTTGTAAGCAGTTACCATGATCACTTTCTCACTAGTTAAATCGTTATTCTTTCTTCAATAAACCTACTTTTGTTTTATTATAAGTGCTCACAAGTGTTGTATTGACAGTAGTGGTGGTTTAAGGTAAAACTGGTAAATTATGGTACACTGCACCTTTGATTGCAGAGCATCTGAAATTTCTGTGATCAGTCAATATTGGGCTGTATCACAGGGGAATGAGTCAGAGACTCAGGGATTGCAGTGCACATATTGTTAACCTGCCTGGCGAAGGAAGAGCTGGCATCATCAGGGAGCTGTCACCCAGCTACCACAAGAAAAGACTTTCTCATTGGAGGCAAGGGTAACAAAGGTGACTCATAGCTCTGGGTACCCTGAGAACTGTCACAGGTGGCATGTACAGTTTTAAGTGCTATGAAATTTTTGCTCACATTCATGTCCCCAGAACCTTGCTTTGCGGAAATTACTCACTTCCCTCTTCCTATTAGGGGAGTGCCTAAGTAACCATCTTAGGCAAAAGTGTGGGTTGACCCTGACTGGCTAAAACATTTTTTTAAAGCGTGTAGACAAGGGTTTACCACAAGTGCCAAGTGGTGTCTAAAAATGTGTTAAGATGTATTGGCTAACACATTTAAAATATCACCTATTCTTCTAGTGTTCACAGGGTCCCACTTAATACATGGAGTTTTGCAACTACCCCATGAAGTTTCTTGGTGACACAATACAAAGTCCTATTTAGTCAGCTGCAGGGGTTGCCTCATGGTTATAGCTAACATCAGGATCAAATATAACCTAAATATTTAAAATGGGTTCTATGTTAAATTCATGCTAGTTCACATCGGAATTTTTAATCAAAAAAACCCTGCCTTCATGCATAACCTTAATTTTAAAAACACAATTTAAAAACTTTTTGATGTGCACTTTGTCATGTTATTTATTAGCATGTCACAGTAGGAAAAGGTTTTATCTACTTTACTGCCAGCCACCCACCTTACTTTAAATATTAAAGTACATTAACCTTGAGACTGGGATAGAGGATGGAAGAAAAAGGGACTTCTCAGTTTGCCTTCCCCAAAGTGACAAGCTGCTCTTCTAGAAGTAGCAGTTTGTGAGCCTCCAGCCACTTACTATATCAGTAAATATAAACTGGGAATCATTCATTATCCTTAGTTTTTGTTTTTCTTATAGGAATTGAGTTGAAAGTGGTTGTTGCAAACTAATCCTAAAAGAATGCTTAACTTCTTAGAGATGACACAGAAAAGGGGTCAAAAAGTCTTATTAATCCTAAAATAAATTGTTGATAAACATGTATATTCAGAATAGGAGACAATATAAAGGTTATACTTCCCCTAATAATTATCCTTCATATTTCTGCTTCTCAGGGGAGAATGTTGTATAATTCCCAAACTATTTTAAAAACAAAAGGTTAAAATTAACAAGCTGTACGCTAAAAAGCCACAAGGTACATCCAGGAGCGCTTTAAATGATTGGTATGCCACTTTTATGCTTGAAGGTACTCTTCCGTTGGCATCAAACACTACAACACTCCCAAGCAATGGACCAACATTTTGCTCCAGCACACCCTGGTATTGCTGCATGGTTTCTCCTCTCACACTGTTCAATTCTGAATTGTTGTGTAGCCTTTAGGTTCCAATATTCCATCTGCCTTTTTTTGTCTTTCACCTTCCTGCTGTTTCAGTTTTGCTCCAGAAGAGCAGTTTGGAGGAAGGATAGATTTTATCCATTCAAAGAGAAGTACACTTGGAAAAATGGAAAACAAAACAGTTTAGGTGAAAGGAAAGAAGTTTAACTTTACCACTGATCATTTTTGTACCATTGATAATGGGCTACCAAAGTGTTCTGCCCCTTGTTACAAATGTTGTAGTCATTTTGTACTTGTATGGTAAGAAACATGTTTGTTCTAGTGACAGGATAGAAACTTCCAAGCATTATTAAAAGTCTAAACAAAGGCAGTAACTTCTGCAGTAATACATTAAACAATTGTCCTTGGTTAGCATTCTTGCATAAACTCTTGTTTGGACAAGATTTTGCTCCTATATTATGTCAGTTATTTCAAGAACACAGTATTAGTAATTACTGTCATCTTTGTTTTGCTATAGGGTGCAGGTCCTCATGTGCATCGCCCAGTGGATGCTGAAAGCCTAATAGCTCATACCAGTACCTCACCTCAGCAAATACCAGAACAGCCAAATTTTGCAGACTTCAGCCAGTTTGAGGCATTTGCTGCATCAGGTGTAAATGAAGAGGAGGAGGATGAAATTGAAACACATTCAGAAGTCTTGCAGGTCAGTGTAAATGGATATATTGTAGACCACTTAGTGTTATACACTGGTGTACCCTGTTAGTTATACCCAGTAGACCTTGCATAAATCACTTCCTGCGCCTGTTTCCCTGTCCACTGTTTGTCCAGTCTATAAACTCTTTTGGGCAGGTACAGTCTTATTGTGTGTGTTTTTGTATAATGCCTAGCATTATAATGGGGCCCTGATCTTTGTTGCGGGCCTTTGAGTTACTATAGTATAAATAATATGTAACATCTGATTTAGATCAGAAGAGTTTCAAATAAGTTTTTATTATTTGGTCGTCTCTTTATACTGAGGTTAGCTCCGGTAGCAAGAGGTTATAATTTAGGGTCCAGCAATCCTCTCTTGTTGCTGCCTCTCATGAAATGTAACTTTCCTTCATGTCTCTGATGTGATCTTATTGCAGATCAGAAATAGTGAGAGTAGTGTGGCTAGGATGGTGCTGGTAGTCAGCTACAGCCCTGTCTCTCCATCCCTGAGCCTTTAAAGAGGACTTGGTTTCACATAAGAGACTTGACGATGTAAACTCTGTTCGTATAACGGAGAACATACCAGTCTGACATACCTGGCTATCATCCTAATTGTTACAGAATTAAATATTTGCGTAACAATACAGTGTTTCTAAACTGTCTCATTCTCTGTAGGTTGAAAAACCCTCTGATTCTGCAGGCTCCCTTAGAGTCTCCAAAACAGATGCCAGAGTTGAAGAGAAGGCAGCTGGTAGTGTCCCTGTTAATGCGGTACGTAAAATGAAATTTAAGGGGAAAGTGTAGGTTTTAACACATAGAAGAATGTGTATTAGAACAGTTGCCAGTTAGTGACTGCTACACCTGAGTTTGCAGAAGCTTCCATTTGAAAACTCCGTTTTCAAAGGCTCAGAACTTCTTGGAATATTTACATTTTTGGCTAAAATATTACATGCTTGCTGGGCTGTTTGCATCTAAAATTATGACAGTAAAGGCTCACTTTAATGAAGCTAGATTGCTTACATGTAATGATCAGGTTGTTACCAAAATTGATTCTTAAAGGGGTTATTTTTAGGATTTTAGTCCATGGGGAACAGATGGCTGGAGCAGTTACTTAATATATATAAAATTATACCCCAAGGTCAATTACTACTCCCTTGAGATGAGTTATTCTCATGCAGTTTTTCTGATGCTGCCTGAGAGAACTCAAGTAGACCTTGACAATGAGTCAATGTCTCAGAACTTGTACAGTAAATAAATTAGTTTCTCAGAAAGTTTTGCACAGACGGTTGATTTGAGCAGAAATATAATTCACTGAGATGTTTGCTTATGGGCTGCCTTTTGCCTCCCAGGGGAAAGGCACCACCCCTCTTGCTCCACCACCAAAGCCTATTCGCAGAAGGTTAAAATCGGAAGATGAGCTGAGACCTGAAGCTGAGGAGAATACACAGAAAACAGGTGTCATAGCTGCTGTTCTTGCTTCACAGCCATCTATCCCTAGGTAACCCAGGATGAGTATGAATACGTCTAATATTGGGAAGTTCACATTTAAACAGCAAATAAAACTGTTAGCTTACGGAAGAGCTACAAGAGATTTACAATGTGTTGAATAACTGTTTGTGGCTGTAAATCATATATATAAAACTACTGAGGGAGTCAACATAAATGTTAAAGGTTTTTTAATTAGATCCTCCCAAAAAATGTCCCGAGTAGTGTTGAGAGATACCTAATAAGGCACTCCAGTTGTCTGGATGAAAAACTTACTAACGTTTTGCAAAATACATTGACTATCAAAAGTGCTGTGTAAATGTTAATGTTGTATTGTTAATTTTAAATAAAGTTGGTGAGTATGGATGGTCTTGAACTTTACCCTCAAGTCTATGCAAAACACAATCAAATTAAATTAAAGTCAATCTGGCATTGTATCAGTAGTCTGGAAGGTGTAAATTTATTATAGCAATTTAAGAATGTAATTCATTGTATTTGTTCTGTAGGAGACGGGTATGCAAAGCTTTTGTGCAAACAAGGCTAGTGTACTATGTGTTCTAGTCTGTAGAAAGGAAAATAAGTTGGAAGAATCACTAAATTATGTAAAAAAGTGTCCTCTGTACAGCTCTTGCTGAACACTTTAAATAGGGACTAAGGAATTGAATATACTTACCAAAGTTATTTCTTGGAGTGCTTGGCAGTGAAAAGACTTCTAAAAAACACTTTAATATATCCTCAGGTCCGTGGGGAAAGACAAGAAGGCAATTCAGGCATCAATTAGACGCAATAAGGAAACAAACACTGTTTTGGCCAGATTGAATAGTGAATTACAGCAACAGTTAAAGGTAATACCATCATTCTCTTTGTATGTCAGTTTCTGAGAAGTAAGTGTGTGCACATGTGTAGGCTGAGATAGCATAGTGATGGGGCCATTTAAGTACCGAGATAGAGAACTGTGTACATTAACACACACATTGTATATGGGCGAGGGCATAGGAGATAGCTATTTAAAATGTTAAGCTGTTTTTATACGTAAGCGAATAACTGGCTAGGCACTAGTACTGCTGAAGAGGATCTGTGGATAACATAGTGGATCATAAATTAAATATGAGCCAGCAATGTGGTATGGTTGTGAAAAAGGCTAATATTCTGGGGTGTATTAATAGTGTTTTATATAAGACATGGGAGGTAATTGTCTCACTGTACTTGACACTGATGAGGCCTCAGCTGCGGTACGGTGTCCACTTTTGGGCACCACGTTTAACGAAATGTGGCCAAATTGGAGAAAGTCCGGGGGAAAGCAACAAAAATGATAAGTGTAGGAAACCTGACCTATGAGGAAAAGTTAATAAACAAATAAAACAAAAACACCTAAGCATGTTTAGTCTTGAGAAAAGATTTGGTGAGGAGACCTGATAAGTCTTCAAATATGTTATAAAGAGGGCTGTTATAAAGAGGAAGGCGACTGAGTATTTGTTCTCCATGTCCACTGAAGGAAGGATAAGTAGTAATCATCTTAATCTGCAGCAAGAGAGATTTGGGTTTAGTATTAGCAAAAACTATATAAGGATAGTTAAGCACTGGAATAGGCTTCAAAGAGAGGTTATGGAATCCCTGTCATTGGAGGTTTTTAAGAACAAGTTGGACAAACACCTGACAGGGATGGTCTAGGTATACTTTGTCCTGCCTCAATGCAGGAGGCTGGAGTAGATGACCTCTCAAGGTCCCTTTCAGCTTTACATTTCTATGAGTCTGATTACAGGAGATAGCTATTTGCAATGTGCTCTTGTGGAACTCTGAAAATAGAAAGGACAAGAAAATTAGTTTGTGTTGAAGTGTTTCTACAAGATGCCTTCTTGTTTCTAATTATCTTGATATTACTAATTAACATGCTGTTAAGTATAGCAAAAATAAGACTAGAAGAATTATTAACTTGTACACTTAATATCACTGTTCTGAGATGAAGGTACAGTAACTCCTCACTTAGTCGTCCCAGTTAACGTGGTTACGTTGCTGATCAATTAGAGAAGATACTCCTTTAAAGTTGCGCAATGCTCCCTTATAGTGTTTGGCAGCTGCCTGCTTTGTCCACTGCTTGCAGAAAGAGCAGCCCATTGGAGCCAGCTGGTGGGGGCTTGGAACCAGGGTGGACCAGTAGCCCCCCTATCAGCTCCCTGCTCCCCTAAGTTCCCTATGCGGCAGCCTCCCAGCAGGCTATCAATTGCCGGCAGTTCAGCTGTCCCTCCCCCACTGCCATGTGCTGTTCCTGCCCTCTGCCCTGGAGCTCTTCCAGGGAGCCTCCTGCTTGTTGTGTCAGGGCTGGGGGTGAAAAGAGGGGTGCCAATGTCGGGGTGTCCCCGTCCCCCCTGCTCCGGCCCCCGGCTTACCCCATCTCCATAGAGCAGGGGGGAGACGCAACAGGGCTCAGGACAGAGAGAGATTCCTGGCAGCAGCTGCTGTCTCAACTTGGTGATCTACTTAAAAAGGCAGTGTACTTAGAGTGGGGTCAGCGTAGTTAAAGGGGCAGTGCGCATCTCTCTCACACATGCGCACGCACACACACAGTGTCTCTGTCTGCCATGCTGTCTCCCCTCCCTCCATTTTTGCTGCCTTGTAAAGTGTGAGGCTACATTAACAATAATATGTTAATCCTTGAGGGCCCAGCCAATTGCTAGCTCATCATTTAGCAAATAGGCAATCCCTGGGAAATATCCCACCCTCTTCCACCCTCTGACTTCACCACCTCAACCAAGCTTCACGATCATCATTGCTGTGTACAGTATTAAATTGTTGTTTAAAACTTATACTCTGTGTGTGTGTGTGTGTGTGTGTGTGTATATATATATATAAAAATAAAAAAAAAATTTGGTGAAAAAAAATTTCCTGGAACATAACCCCCCCCATTTACATTAATTCTTATGGGGAAATTGGATTCACTTAACATTGTTTCGCTTAAAGTTGCATTTTTCAGGAACATAACTACAATGTTAAGCAAGGAGTTACTGTATTTGGAAAACTAGCAAAACACTTAGAAGCGCATTTGTGGTTTTTTTCCTCAGCCTTGAAGGGGGAGGAATCAAATCCTGAAACATGTTAATGAAATGTAAAGCACAAAACACTGATTCATTTCATAAGCATATTATTGAAAAAATAAAGAGGCCCAAAATGTCTGAAATGCAAAAATTGCAGTTCAGTAAACAAACACAAGAAAACAGTCTAACCTAACTAGTTAAATTGCTCACTGTTGTCTTGTGCTTTACCTTTTGAATTTCTTTGGATGCCAGTGTACTTTTACCTAATTTATTTTTTCAGCACCTCATCTTAGTTATGAATTTCATACTAAACCAATCCAAATGTGCTAAAATGTTGAATTTATGCTATCCTGGCTAGATAGGAGTGCAGGTCATTTAGAAAACTGACAAGTCTGAATTCAAATCTGTATTATAGTTCTTTAAAGACATTTGGGATGGGTGAAATTCACTGAAAACAAACTTCAAGTTCATGAAACTTTAACCAAGTGAAATTCTGCCTCACTCTTCACCCAACTTTATTTGAAAATTATTTATCATGTGTATAAATTTATGCCTACTTATCCTTGCCTAGTATGTAGGTGGCACAAAAAGGAATGTAGCCTGCTAAATGGCTTTATTTTTGAACAAAGGTCTCATTCAGAGTGTGCAGAATTCACTAGTCGAGGCTCTGATTCAGCTGACGGGAGGGGGTTCTTGTATTCTTTAGAGAACAACTTGAGGTGAGGGCCCAAAGCTGATGCTAACATTTACCTTATTTTGATCACAGTAAGAATTTTTTCACAATGTTCTTTCACTTTGGACTGTAAATTGAAAATCTTTCCTTTCCAGGATGTTCTTGAAGAGAGAATCTCCCTGGAAGTCCAACTGGAACAGCTTCGACCCTTCTCTCACCTATAAGCCAATTGCCGTTAACTGTGAATTTATTAAATTTGGAAAGGGGGATTGGGTTCAAAGCCTATTGAAAGACCCATTCATTCAGCTCAGTGCGCTCTTTTCAACATTACATTTTGTGATTCTGTTTTGTCCAGTTTGTCCATCTGTGCATTTAAAGTATTTTAACTCCAATCCAAAAAATCAGGATAACTTTTTTCCTTGAATGTTATGTATCTTGGCACTGCCTCCCCTGCCATTTCCTTGGGAATGGATGATCTTTCTGCTGGAGTTGAGTTTGCACAGTTTCAGTGCCAAACACTTCAAACTGAAATTAATTACCTAATGGTTTCTATATTTCATGTCAAAGAAAAGGACAGCTCGTCAGTTAACTTTTAACATTAAAGCACACATATACTATAAATGCCTCTTACACTGCAGCATTTGTTTTATTGTATAAAACAGGAAAACTAATCTGGTATGCGAACCAAAATTGATCTCCCAAACCTCCTTTCACAAGTTAGCAAGTGATTCACAATTCCAGAAAGCCTGCCTTTTTTGCAATAAAGTAGCTCCCTCAGGCTGCCACAGAATTTCTTGCAGGCTACCTTGCCATATCATCTAAAATTGGTTATTTCATCTTTGTTTCATATTTTGTGCAGTATGTGACCAGATTGCCAGGTGTTCACATTTTTCCACTCATGATCTTGATTCAGCCGCATGCATATAAATGACCTATGGTACAACTGATACTACACGTAACAGACCTTCCTCGGTCATCCCTTCTGTGAAAAGAATTGGGTGTTAATTCCCAATGTATTGATTGCACATTTCCTGAGCACTACCTGTAAATGCATGCTTCACACATGACCTTTTATTAACAGATCATATCCACCAGTCTTTACTGTAACAGATTGTACTGTCAAGTAATGTGTCAATACTTCTCTGAACTTCTAATTCCCAGCCAAAAAATAAACAGTTTGTTTCTTAGGACTTCTGGGTTACCTTCTGTTACCTTGTCTCCAGGCCTTATTTTTCTGGCATATAGACAGGCTTCACTATTAACAAAAAGTTCCCTGAGTGTATCCTGTTGTTTGGGTTGATGTACTGTATTAGGATTTGTTGAATATTGTATGATACACACCTTTTGATCTCATATGTAAATTTGCATTAATTGCTGACTAACAGCAGATATTCTATTTAATGGCTTCTTCTGGCTGTGGGATCATAGATGTTAAACCGCATGGATGTATCTCAGCAGAATCAGAACTAGCAATTGTGTGATTTTTACACCAATAAAACAGCACAATATTTTAATTTTGTTGATTCATCTTTAACTGGAACTTGTAAAACTCACAAATCTGCAGGAATATATTTTTAAATCTTTTTGATGGCAGTCACAAGGAGCAGTAGATCCCTTCGTTCTTCTAGTTTTCAGCTGTTGGCCATCTTGGATTTTCTTGGTAAAGTGAAGCTAGCCTTCATTTATGTTAATATAGCTGCAAAAACTGTCTCATTTCTAGAGTACAAGCATAAGGGATGCAGTGTGGTGCAGTGGCTAAAGCACTGGACTGGGACTCAGATTGGGTTCCATTCCTGGATCTGCCACTCACCTACTGGAAGACCTTTGGTAAGTCGTGTTACCTCTTTGTGCCTTAGCTTCCTCATCTGTAAAATGGGGATAATGATACTGACCTCCTTTGCAAAGCTCTCTGAGATCTATTGATGAAAAGCACTAAGGTAGAATGGATATTATCTTAAATTTATAAATAAACCTAGGTATCCTGTATAAAAGCAGAATGCTGCTACAGTGTAACTCTTGGGTGAAAGAAGGTACTTTCACAGAAATCTAGATAATGTAATTTATTAAAGTACCTTCTGAATGTAATCAAACTAAATGGATCACAGTTTAGAAGTCGTTGACCTTCCCTGCTTCACTGTTGGTTTTAAATTAGTTTCTTAACCATGTTACCAATTGATTATTGAAAAGCACATTTTAAATCAAATTTTCCACAGTTTATGCTATTTACTTGCAATTCTTACTATTCTTAATATTTACTATGCAATTCTGTTTGGACAGTGAAAATAAATTTGTATGTTTCCCTTTCTGATTACTGTACATTGACAGGATACTTGCAGTTTTCAAAAATACTGTGGGGGAATTTTACTACTCTAACACCTGTTCCAGTTATGTTTTTTGAAAATGTCATGGAAACATTGTTTTCTTTTGTACATATTTTGCAAACTAGCATTCCTTAACATAGAAGTAATGAATTTCACACTGTGAAATGAAAAAAGTGGATCTTTTTATTTGTATGTAGGTGGATTGAGATTTCTATAATGAATAACTTGTTTAAAAAATAACTTGTTTAAAAAATAAACTGCCTATATAGAAATCACACTTGCACAATATGTTGTCAATTAGTAGATTAAGTGTCAGACTAAATTTAGTGAAATCAGGTATAAGCGAAAAGGAGAAATGCAAGGCAACCCAGAAAAGTTAATAGTCTAAGATCACTTCACCGTTGTAACTAATTATCAAGGAGCTGGGTAACACTGAAAGACCGTATGCTGCACTTTCCAGCTGGGTCCTCTGGTACAATCAAGGAAAATGATTTTTTTTTTTAAAACTGTATGCATGTAATTGTCCATGCAGTTTTGTTTATAAAAATAGATTTTTTTCAAAAAAAAATCATAAATCAGACATTCAGACCTTTGAATTAAATGTAAAAAAAACTTTTACTCTCAAATCCTGAATGCATGATTGGATCTCAATGTCTCAAATCCTTGCAATGGAATCAACAAAATTGTACATCAAATACATCAAATTAAGAGCTTAATTGCAGTAATGCCACTTTTCTATCTAGGCAGGAGAAATGGGATGACTGTTTTTTTAAAGATTTCTTGTGATTTATTTTGAATGCTCATTATGTGAACTTTAAACCAAATTTTTAATTCAGAAAAAAATCTGAACTATCTAAAGAGCTAGTTTAATTTCTCATCTTCACTACAGTCTTTTGTTTTAAGAACATCATATTACGTGGTGGTCATCAAAAGTTAACTCATCTAAAAAATGTGGGCAGGATTTATTTTCAGTAAAAGGTAATTCTGTCTAATTCCTAGAGGAAATAGGTGGGATGCAAAACATAATTGTTTTAATGTTCCCTCCTCATTCCCTTCTGTCTCCCATTTGTTCTAGCTACCTGTTGCATCTTGTTATAATCCTAGATTGATTCTGAGCTCTTTGGGCCAGAGACTCTCTATTTGTACAGTGCCCAGGAGAATGTGGTTGCAGTCTATGATGCTGCTGCGTGCTACTGCAGTGTGAGTAGTTTAGGGAATAAATAGGGGAGGAAGGATAAATGCCGATACAGTTCATACACAAATACGTGTTTGCACACAGTATTTTTCTTCAAACTGTTTGGAAAAACTTACCTTATTACAAAAAGAAAAGGAGGACTTGTGGCACCTTAGAGACTAACCAATTTATTTGAGCATAAGCTTTCGTGAGCTACAGCTCATTTCATCAGATGCATATTGTGGAAACTTATTACAGGCTGCTATAACAAGCAGCATCAATTTCTTGGTCTGATTTTTCTCTTCCCTCTAGCACCTTCCTCCCCCCCCCCCATCTTTTCTCTCTACTAATTTGTCTCTTTTCTTCCACCATTCCAAGTGCTGGAACTGTTGCTTTTTCCCCCTCAATACCCATTCATTGTCCTCTCCCATGTCTGTTTATCTACAAAATAAAATTGAATATGTGAAAAGCCTTTTTTTAAAGGCAGTGCTACTTTAAAAAGACTGTCAGTGTAATAAATTATTCTTCCTGTTTTTTCTTGTCCATTTCAAGGGTCCCTCATTTTCATCCCAAAGGCACCAATTCCGTCTTACATGGACTGGATTTTTATCACTTATTACTGAAAAATACATCTGACATCCAGACTAGAGATTACAAAATGAAGGTTATAAAAAGTTAGTTATACTAAAGGAATGAATCCACAGCATTTTTAAATTTCCTACATGAATAATTTCTGTCCTTCATTGAGTCTGCCAAACATTCTGTTCTTCATTTGGGCCTTGGTAGGTTGAGATACACTTCTCCTCCCACCTCTATTGTGTGCTCATAAGTCTTATTCGCTAAGGGCTTCTATACCTAGCAAGTTCCTCTGTTGCAAGCCAGGGTGTGATCTATAGTGCACCAGCTTACCCCTCCGTAACGTCCTGCGTGGTCACTGCTACAGTGCAATGAAAGTTCTAGAGTGGTACTGCTCTTTGAGGTAGCAGTAGGCTCACCCGCCCTTGGGAGTTTCACAGCACTGTGGTAATGTCCGTATTGGACGTTCCTGAGCAGCAAGCTGGAACGCTGCAGATTCGCACCTTGGCTTGCGGTGCAGTAACTTGCTGTGTAGACAAGCCCTAAAAATAACTTACCAAAATACACTTACAGAAGAATTTGTCTTAATCTGCTTGTTAATAGTAAGCACAAAATCTCATCATTTTACTGAGAAGGAAGTTCTTGAGAAGTAGTGTTCGAAGCATTGTATGTCCTAACCTTTAATGAACACATTTCTATTCCATGAAAACAAATTGCGAGAATTCCTTGACATTAGATTCTTAAATGTAAGAACAGAGCCAGAACAAATAGTAATTCTAGGGGAAAGATAATGAGCTGTTCGTTCATGTAAATTCTAAACGTAACTTACCTATTCTTGTTACTATGGTGCTTAAATACCTTCTACAGCAGTCCTTGCTGGGTGATTTCATTTTCAGCTACAGAGTTACACTTCCAAAAGCTATGCCTTTGTAACATCTAACAACTTATTTTTATTTCCCAGAGCCTGTATACTTTATTATTCATATTGCTGTACTAATTTTTTAGTACAGTTTTCACTCAGTGAGGAATTATGTGAAAATCCAGGACTTTGGTCTTTAATAAAAATTGCAAAAAAGTAAAATGTTTCTATCTCCTTAATGCCCTTTGAAACTATGATATAAGGACTTAATGGGTAGTATACTGAGAATATACCAGTTAAAATGTCTTGTTACCCATAACCGAACTGTAGTGTTGTCCCCTCGTGCAATCAGTGGAGAAAATCTAAAGCCCTTTTCATAGCAGATTCTCGATGAATTAGCAGCTTTCTTCCGGTTTGTCATACAGTGAAGATCTTTATGAAGGCCATTAAGTCATATTGTGCGGATTTTGCGTTAAGTTCTGAAGACTAAATGGATTGTAGTAGTGTGATCTTTTCAAAAAAGGATCAGTCTTACAGGTCGACAATGAGTGCTGATTCTACTGTAAGTTTCTGCAGTCTGAGGCGCACACACACGATGGTACTCTCTGAGCCACTATCAAAAGGAATGCTAACTTCTTGGTAAGGTGCGGAATTTGAGCAAAAGTCCTCAGTAGGAAACTGCACAAAAATCTGTTCACAAATAATCAGTGCGCACTACAGGAGTTGGGCATCTGAAACACTAAGATGAATCTCAATTCTTTTCAATGCTACAGTTGATTGCCCTTTGTAGTGCAGATAGCCATGTAAATTTATCATCTTCATCCTCTATAGAACAAATCCATTGGCGTTTTGGGCCTTGTAAAATAAATGCATTCTTTATATCTGTTAATGTGTAAAAAAGAAAGAGAAAGGCTTTAGTGTATTAACTGCTCTTGACCAATAGGTTATCTAAGGGATAGGTGGTACTTTCATAGAATCTTGCAAATAAGCTTTACTCTTAAATTCTGACTTCCAGTGGTTTAAGGACATAATGAATAGCAAAAAATATTTCTGCTTGTCTGATTTAAGAATATGTAGAGCTGTATCATATGGGAAACCCCTAGAATACAGCCCACAAAGTGAGATCGATATCAGAGGGGAGACACTGGACAGTGTTAAGTCATGTTTTTAGGAATCGTGTTTGCTAAAAGTTTTAAATCTAAGGATATGCTGACTTTCAACCCTACATTCTCCTAAATTGGTGTATAGGCATAGCTCCAGTGACCTGCACTGTGCTCTCTGAGGGAGTTATGCTAACTTAATCTAGCAATGGATCTGGCCTTCTCTGTTTAAGACTTCTTTTTTTACTCTGTTGGTTGCTTAGGCTCTTGGGGATGGGGAGGAGCAGACAGAAGCTACTAAGCATTTCACCATAGGTGGAGATTGGGAGGGGTATGGAGGGGCATTGCCTCCCCAAACTGGATACATTGCAGAGGTGACACATGGTGAGGAGGGTCAGATTTTTCTCTCCCTTCTATTTGGCCCTGCTTCCTCCATGCGGAGCAATGTTTGGGGGCAGAGGGGTGAGCAGTGATACTAGGCGCTGTGTCCAGGTCAGTTTCCCCACATGGGCTGCGTAAGGGGCGGGCAACAGAGCAGTTCCTGATCCTTCAGCTGGGGGCCATTTCAATTTTACTAGCCCATAAAGTAAGACACTTGTCCCAGAACCACAGGTATCTAGACGTTCTAATAAGCACCAGTAAGATTGTAGCAAGTGAACATAAGATCAGAGCAGCTTCCCAAGGGTCTGTGCAGTGTACACTGACTGTGTCAAGCCCAGGTGAGTGACAGAGTGAACAAGGAAGGTTAAATGTGAGTGGAATGTGCTCAAGCAGATGGGCAAAGCCATGGATTTGTTTGATATGTGCATTGCATGAACTACTTCTTAAGAACTAATTCATTATGGTTGAATGGGGAAAGGATCAAACTTGAATATTTTTTTTTCAGGTACAGGAGTAAAATTCAGCCAAAATGTCCAGATATCAGAAACAATTATTGAATAATGAAAGCTTTTAGATTGTGTAACGAGAGCAATCCACCTGCTGAGGAGAGCTCAAGGAGGAACAATGGAAGGGTTAGCTCCAACAGGTGCCCTAATTAGTGCTGTGTGAATAACAGATGTTTTGGTTTGCTGGCAATTCTGAAAAATGGAAGGAAAAAAAATGTTTTGGGTCAAACTAAAATCAATGTTTTAAAAATGTTCAGTGAATCGAAACCTAAAAAGATTGTTTTGGACCGAATGACGTGTTCTGCTTAAGCCGGAAAAAAAAATTAAAATGCTTGAATCTCTTTAATTTTTAAATAAAATGAAGTACATTTTCAAAATCATTTTGAATCAAAAAATGAAAATCTTTCTTTCTGAAAATGTCAACAGAACACATCCGTTTTTTCAGAATTTTTTTAGGCTTTGTCATCCAAAACAGTGCAGTGAAAATGACACAAATTCACAATGTTTTGGTGTCAATCAGTTTGTATTTTTTGCAGAAAAAGTTAGCATTGGAAAAAACTTCACACAGCTATAGTCCTAATGGTGGGTCTGTCTCTGAAATCTAAAGCCTCTGGAGCCTCAAGGAGGGAGGGAGGGAGAGAAGGAAAACACAGCTGCAGGGTGCATTCTCCAAACCCTGTTACTCATACTCTTCTGCCTGCTAAATTACAGGAAGACTTTAGGCAAGCTTGTGTTCTGTTCTATATCTCCTTTGCGTTCAGGGTCCTATGAAAAGTCACCAGTCCCTACTGACTGCTGGCAAATACTAGTAATAGTAATTTGGAAGTTAAAGTAAGCAGCCTGGGAGTTAAGCTGATCTACTGCCTTGCACTGTGACAGTGGCAAAATGCAATATTGCTGTCTCCCATTGACATATGCTGGCTTTTGCTTCAGCTCTTGCCCTGCCATGGGTGGATGATGATGATAGCTTCCGGTGTAAGTGATGTTTAATTGTTTAAAACACTGTGTGCACAAGTGTTTTAATCTATATGGGATGTAGAGGGAGGGAAGAAACCATGCAAGGGTAGGTCTGCACTAGAGTTTTTAACTTATTTGCCAATTAACTGAAATTAGTCTGTTTGTACATGGTAGTTGGAACACTTCACAAATGCTTGTTCCAGGATACGCACACTTTTGGTTTACCCTGCACTCTGTGCTTGTGGCTCTTCCACACAAACATGTACAAACTTGTTCGTTAAGTCATTTGGCAATCAAGTGAAATTTAAAAAAAACAAAAAAAAAACAAAAAAAACTCCAGTGTAGGCAGACCCTAAGCCAGAACTCTAATGATCAGAACTGCTCAACATGGGTCTGGATAAGGGGTGATAATTACCTAAAGTGTAGTGTTAGCTGAACTTCTGTATGGTGATTTAGTCCATCTGCTTTTGGGAAACACTGTAAAGAACTGTAGCTTGGTACCTTACAGCCTTACACCTCACCCACATAAATACAAAGGGCCCATCCTCATACTTACATCAGTTCTTATTTAGGCCAAATTCAACTGCAATAAAACAAACTAACAGCAGATTATAGCCCACAGCATAGAACATTCTAAACTGACATTATTGATCACTGGAGGAACATTATAAAACATACATTTTGAATGTGGAATGTCTTCTACAACAAGCCTGTGAAGAGCTACTGATGCCAAGAACTGGTAAGTTGTTTTTGGGGTCCGTTCAAACGGAATATAAGAGATGCTACGGTTTGAAATAACAAGTGCATCGTTGAAAAGAAAGAGGCTAAGATCGCTGATGTGTTCATAGAGCCTGTCAAAAGGGAAAAAAAATTACTTGCATGCTTAAAACTTTGAAATATGTGAAAATCTAAAGAGGCTTCTGAGAACTAGGGCTTGTCTACACTACCGCGCGGGGTCGATCTAAGATACGCAAATTCAGCTACATGAATAGTGTAGCTGACGTTGACGTACTTAGATCTCCTTACCGCGGTGTCTTCACTGCGGTAAGTCGAAAGCTGACGCTCTCCCGTCAACTCCACTTGCGCTTCTCGATCTGGTGGACTGTACTAGATGCGATAAATCAACTCCCGCTGGATCGATCACTGCCCGTCAGTCCGGCGGGTATTGTAGACAAGCCCCTGGTGTAACTATGTCGGAGTTATTCAATACTGCTACAGTATATTATCAGTATGTTTTTCTTGTCTTTCTAAGTAGTGATAATTGTGAAGGGGCCAATAACACAGGGAAGATGATCTGACATTGGAAACAAAAGTGGGGATGATAGAATCTTTAAGTTCTGTATTATATTAATTTACATTGCAAGTAAAATACATGTAGGGCTACAATTACAACTTCGGGTTCTGGTGATATCGAACATTCACGCTTCATTCTCATAGCTGGTTATAAGAATCCCTTAAGCTGCAGCTAATAGAGTTGGGGAATACATAACTTTTTTGACAATCCACAGAGGCTTCAATTTTTCTACAGTATTGCTTGCTTCATTCAATTCTGGTTTTTAATTTAAGTTCCTAATGACTTTCAGGTGAACTGAGAATCCAATTAGAACTTCCAGCATTTGGGAAGTGGATGTTCCTTTATACCAAGTTGTTTGGCTGCTCTGTCTTGTTAACCGTGAAGAGTTGGAATTTGAGTTGTCCTTTGCCCTGTTTTCAGTAGAATTGTGGCTTCAGTACAAGTAGCTTTCTCTTCTCATCAAGACTGAGTCCTTCTACCTTCTATTCTTGGCACTGCCAGCCTGTTGCAAGTGTTCAAAACTAGGTTTTGAAAAAGAGCTTCTCTCATATTTATGTGACAACAAACTTGGAAAATTTTAGATCTAATACTACCAGTCTCTTAATTTCAGTACACATTTTTGTGGCTCCTCAGTTCTGGAACTAAGCTATTTAAATTGCATTGTCCCCTCATCCAGGCCAGGTTTTGAACTTTCCTTTAAATGTCTTCTGTTTACATTCTACTCTTAAACATTGTAATTTAGAAGAATTACAAGCAGGAAAATTCTTCTGCAATTCATACATATACAGCTCCAGTCATGTTGCTGTATGATGAAGCAGAAGAAGATTGTTTGTAGGAGACAGGCTCTTACTAAAACACACATCTGAAATAGCAGCAAAAGATGCAGAAAATGACCAGACAAGTGAATTGTTTTTTGTAGACTTTTCTCAGTTTCACACCAGCATGAAAACCTCCTAAATATGGAGCTGATTATTTTTTCTAACTTTTACAGATGATAGAGAGCTGACAGGTTCTGGTTCCTCTGATGGAAATCAAAAATTGAAGCTGGAAACAGTCACATCTAAGTAGTGATATCATCACTCTGGTCAATTAATTTGTCTCCACAGTTGAGACAAAAAAAAGAACCTGTCGGAAGAGATGGGTGCTACCAGATAAAGAAATATGAAGGCAGTTTATTCTTTAGTTACTGTGGCCTTCAGCCATGTAGGCACACTACCTTGGCATGAACCTGATGATTATCCAACTTGAGTATTATCTAATATTTTAATTCAGTGCTGCCTTAGAGCTCATAAAAGGAAAACAAGAAGAATGCAATTTGCTACCCGCTTCCCGCAGGAAGTTGATGGAAGTGGAATATGACCACTTCATGCTAATGACTGATCTCTCCTCAGTGCTCCAGAGGAATATGTAACTCCTCTACTTAATTTCTTTCCACTCCAAAATTTCCTCAGGCACATTGGCAAGGACCTGGGACAGCTTCTTTCCAACTCCAAATTAGCAACCAGTCACCTGTGAGATCTAGTGTTTTATCACTCCCCCTTTGGTATTTTTTAATATATTTGTTTACCTGAATGAAACACAGATTTCCTCAGAACAGCAGCTAAACTGGGATACATCTTGTACTCTAATCAGATGCCTGTTGGCTTCTAATAAATTCTGTGGATTTAATATTACAGGATTAAAAAACATGGAAACCAAACTTTGGTTTTAGAGTTTATCCAGATATGCTAATTACAAGATTAAGTCACAACAGACTGACAATGAGAGAATATGGGGTTATTTTTTTTGTTTGTTTTTTATTAATCACGCCTCCTTTGTGGCCAGAATTTTGATCTGGGTACTGCCTCTAAAATAGATTAATACTGTCAGATATCTTTTGGTTATTTACCAGATACAGAAAAAAAAAATTCTGCAAATTGTGGCTTCTCCTGAAATGCATCTCAGCTGAATTAGACATTGACATGGCTGAGTGAGTCATCACTTGGCTTCCACTTTTTAGCACGTTTAATTAAGCAAATGTTATAGGTAGGACTGGCTAAAAATTTTCTGTCAACTATTTTTCAACAAATTTTGGGGGTTTTTTTTCATGTCTGCTTTCCACAGAAAATCTCAATTTTTCATCAAAAACCCCAAAAACTGAAATACTTTGAGCCCCAAACCAAAATAATTTGGATATCCTGCTGTGGTGCCTCGTGAGACTTGTACTTTGATTTCCTCATATCCCCGTTCTTTTGTATGGGCTGTCCTCCACTGCAGCCTACATCTCCCATGGAATACCTGTGGGACTCCCATGATGTTACCCTCTCCTTACACCCTGAGGGGAGACTATGGTGTATCATGGGAGATATAGTCCGGCCAAGGAACTTGGCCTATATAGGAAATTCTTACATGTAAATTTTCATTCTAGGATTCTCCATGTCAGTCACTTTACAGTAGGACATTCCCCATCTCCACATGAACTAGGGGCCAAGCACTTCTTTGGTCTGAGCCTGGGCTACCCCTTAGGAAGAATTCCCCAGGATGATAGCCACCAACGCTGAAAAATGCTAGCTATACTGAAGTGTAAAAGTGCTGTTCAGCTCAAACCACTTGCAGCAGAACTTCTATGAAATGTAGGTATATCCTGGAGGAAACCCCTCTTCTCTTTCAAAGTACTGAACAAATGAGCAATAGGCAGCGGGGAAAAAAACTAGACATATTGCTGTTCTCCAAACGGGGCATCTGGCTGTCTGGCGTGCAAGATCCTAGAATGAAAATGCACAAGACAGAATTGTCCCTGCCTCAGTCCCCTCTGTCTGTCTTCACAGTGGCATGCAGAAAGCAGCAAGTTATCCCTTGGGAGGAGGAAGGATTCAATTTACCTGTAGAGAAGTGAAAAGGAGCTTAAAGGTTGTTAGAACACCCCATTCAATAATACCAAGCACTGACTCAGCCTGGGTGTGAGGGGATTGACTCTGCAGTGCTTGATAAAGATGGAATATCTTGTAGGAGCTTAACAGACCTCCCTGTTTGATGTGTGACCTCACTGCCCACAAAATTGCAGCTCTTTTCAGAAAATGCATAGTAACTTGAGGAATTGTAGCTGAGGCTTATATGCCTCTGCCATATACACCTTTGTTCCTCTGTAGGTTCTGTTCACAACTTACGTATGTACTTCTACTTCTTTAGGATGTTTGGATTCAACCGGGAGGGCAACAATACCACTCCCTATTATCTGAGGAAGACAGTGGTGACATTGGGGATGGAGGCCTGCTTAGTTCACACAACTACCGTGTTTGATAGAACATGGAACTGAAGTTTCATTGAGAATATACCAGTCTCTGAAACCCTTTTGGAGAAGGTGGTGGTGAGCAGGCAAGAGCCTTTCAGTGAAAAGAGAGGCCTGACAACTGTGACTGAACAGTAGTTTTACTCAGACTTGTAGCACACAGATCAAGATCACAACAGGAATCTGCATGTTTTCAGAGGACTGATAAGAGTGGCCGTTCTCCTGAATCTTACGTAAAGATGAGGCGATGTTCTTCTGGGTTTCTGACAGTGCAATATGCTTCTAGTCTCTCTGACCTACGTTTCCAAAAAATGTTGGCTTAGCGCCCTGTGTGTGAGCCTTCTTGTAAAAACATTACTGTGCTATGCTTCAGCCAACTTTGCCCTGATGTCTTCTAACACCAACATCTACTCCTCAGTCACACACATACATCTTGTGATTTTTTTCTTCAGTATTCTAAGGTGATGATCACCCTCCTAGAATGAGTGATACTAGTTGCAGCCTCTGAGGTTTGCAGCTGATGGATTAGGCAGCACTGGATGTTGGGTCAGGATAGGTCCTCACTGCACTATGTTCTATGTTTTTGAAGTTTAAGAGTACGTTCCAGTTACATCTAAATCAGGTCTGAAAGCCAAGATCTGAGATTAATGAGGTGGTGATTACAATCAGTGTGGTCTGTACCTTTACAATTTTCTTTACCATCTGTACTCGGTGGTTGGAGGGGAGAGGGCGGAGGAATAAAGGCCTTTTAGCCCTTTTGGTGACCACAGACTCCAGTTCCTCATGTACCACCTCTTTTGCTTTTTCCAACTGGACTTGAGGAACCTATTTTCTTTCAAGAGGCTTTCAACCCAGTCTGTGATGCACATAGTGTGCATTCCCTTGATTTTAAGTGTCTTGATGAGCTGGTCAGCCAGGACTTTCCTTTTTTCGTGCAGAATCCTGAGGAATAGAGTGAGAGCTTCTTCCCAGGACATGAACAAGGCTGCTTCTCAAAGCAGCGCTGAAGGTTTTCTGCCTTCTTATCAGTTTTATATGCACACCATGTTTTTGAAGAATCATCTGCTGGAAGTGGACCATCAAGCTCACTCTTCCATGGCATGAGACAGGTTATATTACTCCATGTCTCTTCCTTGGGCCACACCTCCACAACTCATGTAGAAGTCCAGATATGTTTCCCCCTATATGAAGTCTGGTATCTGTGTATCTGGACCTGATATCAACTAGTTGTTAAATAATATTGAGAATGAGTTCACCAAGAGATCTAGTACTGATCTGGATCAAGATCTTCATATACTAATTTGCTTCCAGACAGCAATTGCAACAAAGAAAGAATTGTGCTGGGTATTCATGAGACCAATTAGCTCAGTAGTTGAGTCAGAAACTTTGTTGTCTCTGATTTTTCCAAGCACCTCTCCTATTTTCTCCTGTCTCTCTTCTGAAATAAAGATTGCCTTGGATGATAGCTTAAATGTTGGAGTTTTGTGATGGATGTAATTGGCCTTTCTACTTGTTCACACAGACCTGTTTAGCGATTGCTGCTGGGCCTTGTATAACCTGCTGATGTCGTTGGAGCAGGGTATACATGGAGAGAGATGATATGGCATTTGTGACTGCCTCTGGAGAAGTTACAAGTCCAAAAAGGAAGTACTCTGTATTTATCTCCTTATGGACTTGAGGTTTTAAGTAGACTGCATGCCATTGTTGCTCTTTGTACTACAAAGAATCTTGTACCCACACCAAAATGTTTCCGTGGCACTGGTTCTATCATTCCAATGTATATGGACTATTATGTACTTAATTTTCTGATGCCGCAAGGGATCTTGTTAAGGTTGGTTTATTTTAATTTACTATGGGGAAAGGATAAATTTGTGCCAGGGACAGTGAGTAATTTTTAATGCATAGCCTTCCCTGACTATCTTAAGCACCCATTTTCTGAGGTGGTCCATTCCCAGATGCAGGACTACTCTGAAGTGTACCTCTAGGGTGGTTGGGGTATATGCCCAGACTTGGGAAACGCCAAAAATTAGAAGCTCTTGGGGTTAGATTGTTTTGCAGAGAATCCCAGCCTTGGTCTTCCAAGTCTTAGGAAAGATAACAATGGTCTAATCTTGTAATTTCTACACTGGAACCTGGAGGAGCAGAGGTTTCAAAGAGAACACCTGCTGGTATAAGGTAGTATCATGGTTAAAGGCAGTTACTCCTCTGTCCCCTTCCTGGTGTCTCTGAATTCATTCCCTCAGGTGTCAGGCATTGTGCCTTTACCTACCCTGGAGTGGAATTCCACACTTCTCCGGTTCTTAGGCTGGCCCTGGGGCTACTATATCCTGTGTATCCATTGTTCTTACCCAGCAGGTTCAACTGGGTTCAGCACCTGCAGTTCTTTCCTTTGGTAGTACATGACCAGTAGTATATAGTGACCAAATTCCCCCAACCCCCTTAAAACCAACATATTGTTTGTTGTAAGGGTAGGAACAAGAGGATTTTAAAACTGTCTACAGGTATGTCTCTTAATTATAGGCTTTTTTTTTCTGATAGTAATCTGGGCAGGGCTAACTTCTTGAGACACCTCAGTCATGTTTCCCCCAAACTCCTCCCTCTCTTGAGTCTCATTGTAAACCTGACAGTTCTTTTGATCTTCTGGTTTCCAGGGTTTACCTGTCCTAGCATTGTCTCTTAACAACTATGAAGTGTTTGCTGAGACATGTCTTATCTTGAGTCATCATTCTTCCCTTCCTGCTTTTTCCCTTACAGACACTATATTAAACTAAACAAATATATTCATACAATAAACACCCCACTAACCGGGTCAATATACTATATTTATAAATCATTACAGAGCAGCTCCAATTCTCTCACAGGTACTTTGAAGACTGAGCCTAGACCTCCCCAAGGAGAGACTGCAGCCAATACTCTCAAGTCTGAGGCGGCTGTATCTGCGTTCAGTATGAGTGATTATCTTATTCTCTTGTCTGTGGGTTTGGCTGTCTGAGAAAAATCCCTCAGCTGGTATGACTATGCCTTTTACTAAGGAGGCCACAGCAGGCTGAACCTCGGACAAAGTAATGAAGACTTCTAGTCTGTAAATACAAGTAGGTCTTGATAAGGAATTCCCAATCCACCTTAATCACACCCTCATAAACCAAATGAGGAAGAATTACACAGCTTTCCCTCAGTTTTGCAAGGTTTTTTTGGTGGTGGTGGTGCTGCTTCATTTTCTAAAAACACCAAGACCTATGAAGTCAAAGCGCCCTTTGTACTCAATTCTGGGAAGCGTAATTGACTGAGATTTCTTGCTTAAAACCCCAGTTTTAGAGATTTCTTCTCCTCTTTAGAGGATTTAGAGGGGAGACTCTTTCATGAGAGGTTTTAAAAGTTTGTACTGTCCCTTTAAAAACTGATTGTGAGCATTGTCCTTCACCACTCCCTGGCCCAACCCCCTCAGAAAAGGGGGGAGGGGCCTTACTTCCCCGTACCCTTATAAGACCCCTTCCCAGTTTTCTCAGGGATTTGGGCCAGGGAATGGTAAAGGAAAGTCTGCATGCCTCCCTGCAGAGAATAGTATCCACTTTGACCTCCTGTGGGGATCCCTGGAGGCTTGATGGAGAGAGGAGGTATGCCCATCTGCCAGGGCAGGGGATCTGAATCACTTCACCCATATTCCCTGCAGTTGGGTTTGGACTGAGTGGGGACCGACTGCGTAGAATGATGAGTAAGGCAGAGCCACTGGAGACAAATGACTCATTGATATCAGGTCACAGGAGCATGGCAACTAAGGCCTTATAGGTACAACAGCTTGTGGGAAGGGAGGATGCTTTGCAGCCATCTCAGCGTGGATCTTTGTATTTTGCCAGCTGAGAGCAGGAATTTATTCCTCCAACTTTGCCTTCCCTGGAACTCAGGAGACTCCACTGAACCTTTTCTGCTTGTTCTTCAAGCTTCCATGCCTGGGGAGAGGCAACGTTTGAAAAACCTACTCCTTAAGTCTATGTCACTGATTCTGGCCTGATCTCCATATAGGGAGCTTCCACTCATCCTGCTCAGCTGTCTTGGCCTGGACCTCACCCCCATGTCACCTGGGAGCTGGGTTTTGCTGCAACCTGCTGTCTGTCCCCCCTCTGAGTGTGGAGGAAAGGTGCTATTCTTGAAACCCTCCTTACAAGCCTCAATATCTTTAAGGTTTTTCTCCTCCACACACTGCAAAATTAAAGCCAATGAAGAAACAGACACTTAGGATTTTCTAAACAGTTTTTAGCTGTAAAACGGTACTCCAAAGGGAGTCTTGGAGCCTGCCTTGGGCACTGCTTGGAGAGAGAATTCTGGGGAGTTCTTCCTGAGGAATGGTCCTAAGCCCAGCCTCAGAACCAAGGTCTGCCTTGGTTTCCAACTGGAGAGGGCCATAAAAAGCCTCAAAATCTCATATTTGCAAATAGATTATGCATGTGGAATTTATATATATATATATATATAATATATATATCAGATTAAATTAGAGCCCCATTGACTTAGAATTTTGCCATTGACTTCAATGGGGCCAGAATTTGAGTGCTAAAACAAGACTAATAATGGAAGGACTACCTAAATTTGAACTCTGTGGGGTAGGTGCTGCTGTAAATCAGAGCTGAAATAAAATGCATTAAAGTGTTCGAAAGGAAAATGAAGTACTTACAGGACATCCCTGGATGATTCTTTGTGCATTTAGCATTTGCTCATCTTTGCTCATGTTTAGTTTTAGCTGGAAAATAAACTAAGATTAGACCACAAATAACTTCACAAAAGTTGGGAAAGGAGGAGATTGTGTTCTATGTAAGGGTCTTATCCAAATCTCATAGAAGTCAATGGAAAAACTCCCCCTGACTTCAATGGGTTTATAAGAGACCCTAATTTATTCGTGGGCAATTCTAGGTGGTACAGTGATATTTGAGTTAGACAGAAAATTGATTAAACTAAATTTACCTCAATGACTTTTGATCAAGAAAATAACTTATGTAAAATCTCCAAAGAAATGTAAACAAAGAGCTTGACAAAATCCTTCTGCTCTGAACTCCTGTTGGGTGTGTAGAGATTTTTTGGGGGGGCACTTGCTGATGGAATAAATCTACCAGCTGCTAGGTGTTTCCTCATGCCTGATGAACCAGCTTAGCTTCTATTTCTACAGAAAATAGAGGAGGAGGAGTAAGGCTGTTGATGTAGTTGTTAGTAAGGGCCATCCACCAGGGAAGAACAGCTGCAATGCATAACCCCTCATCCCTATCATGTTCCAGCAGCACCTAACCATCTGAGAAAATCCCTGTTATGTGGGTGGTGGTCAACTGGGGACTCTACCCAGTTTATACTCCCTTTACACTGCTGTGCAAACCTAGGAGAACCACTGGATATAATCAAGAACCACCACTGGACATAATTGGGACTTTAAAAATGTCTTGGCTTCTACAAAGTCCCTCAGAAAGGACTATAAAGAAACTTGGGTCATGAGGAGAGAACAGAGTTCAGGGGACTGCCCTATGTCTCCTCCTGGCTCTGGGACTGGAGAGGGAAGCAGCTCCTCCCAGCAAAGTACCTGAGATGGAAGGCAACTCATGGTCTAATTCTCGCCTAAATCTCCTGGCTCCGTGTGGATGCCTCATAAGACGAAGCAAAAATACCACACTGAAAGGAGAGAATACAGACAATTGGGGTGACAAACCTGATCTATGTATTCCTTGTATTGTTTCATCATCTTGACTGCGGCAGTCAAATCTTCACGGTCAGCGTGTTCTGAAGGAGTGTGCAGTCTCAGAGCATAAAGAAGATTAAGATACTCTTCAAACCTTTTAGAAGGGAATAGCAGCAGCTCCTGTAGGCTATATTTTCACATAGATATAATCCATGTGTTAGCTAGGAACCTGAGTAATTCAGCGATACATGTATTGTAAGTTATACAGTGTGACTTCTAGTTGGGAGTGGTTTAGCATGACTCTTACTGATTCACACACTGGAAAGCCCTTTTTTGGCTGACCTGCTAAAGCTGATGCTTATGTACTGAGAGGGTCTTAGATCAAGTATCAGCATGAAGCAATGTGCCACACACACACGATGAGTCTATCTGCTAGTTTGAGAAGTCTGTTAATCAGTTAAGTTTTTTCAAGTGTCTGGCTCTCAACTGCAAGAAATAACACAGCAATTGCTAATGGTCCGCTATGACACGGATTCAAAACCAGAGTCCTTTTCATTAAAAATCTGACCAATCTGATCTGACAAACTTCTTCATAGTTTATGATCATGTCCTTATGCTTTGGTAGAGAGCCCATGTGGAAGGCAAGAGGAACGTGTAGAGCCTGGAAAATGTCATGAATACGGAATCCATTTAGTCCAAGAAGAATAACAACTGTACAAATATGCTATGGGCCAACTCATAATCTCCTATGACTTGTGTATGTATTTGCACTAAGACTTCATTCAAATACGACTTTGTTTACACTGCTTTTAAAATTGAGTTGGGAGGGAAGTGGGTTGGGATACTCACAGTGGACCTGATCCAAAGCCCAGATTCTGATTTTCTGTTATGTCACAGTGTAAATACCATAGACCTTACCTCATCATGTTCGTAACGACAGTTTTATCATGTCTTTTCAGGAAGGCACGGAATAAAGGAATGGTCTCTCTGCACTGTGAAAGGTAGAGGTTTGATCATCAATATAAACTTGATTATCGGAGATCAGCTTACTGGAGATTTTTTTCTTCATACTGTCATTAAAATTATTTTGTATAAAGATTTTTACATTCTCAGCTGTAACAGAATTTAGTCCAAATGTATCCTTTAAAGCGATGTGATCCATCAAGAAGAGTAAATCAAAACTTTTAACATACCTCTCCCCACAAAAGTTTTTTTGTTTTTGGTCTTTTGACCCTCCAGAACAGTAACTGCAACAGTGTTGAAATCCCTGTTCTCAGGCTGGGCGACCTTCTAAACCTTAGAGAGAAAGCGAGCACAAATCTGCCTCGCTTGGCAGGAAGAAGTGAGGATCATGAACTTGATGAGCATGGCTCTCCAGGCTGAAGTTCTCCAACTTGCAAGAATGGATTAAGCAAGGGAACAGTGAGGCACATACTCTGGCATCTATGCTCAAGCAAACTTTGTTCCCTGGGTTTTATCACCAAGCCTAGAGTTGGGGGTTCAAATGGTGAAGTAGTAGTAATTTTGAAGGATAATCTTTTTTACATTTAATGGCACATATTAAAATGAAAAGGGGGCATAAATGGCTGGTTGTTAGTTCTACCAACATTAAGCGTCTCTGTAAACTCTAGCACTCACTCTTGCTGGAATTATGTAACAACTCTAAATGCCTCCATTGCAGATTTAGAGCAGGGCTAAACAAGAAAACTGGTGGCTACCAAGGTTCTATCTCTGTGCATGTGCCATGTGCTTTGAAGGCATGCTGATATTTTTTAATTGGGAGACTGTGTGTGTGTGTAAAAACAATGGTCTTTCAATAAAGCAGACAAACATTTGTACGTACCCAACTTAGACACATAAGGATTAGCACACACATACAGCTATGTTTGCAAGCAAACCCCACCTTGTACGTGCATTAGGGTATATGTTCATACAAGTGACTGCTTCGGCATTTCTAAAATCTTCATCAGGAATGTACATCCACTACAGGTGTTAAATGGCAGATTTATTAAGGCAAATTTAACCCTATAAAGACTTCAAAGAAGCAGAGGCTAATTGACTATCATCCCTTTGATTTTCATGCAACTTCTGTATTAGGACTGGTATTTTCCTGGGTTTTAGAATTTTGGCATACCAAGAATATCAATATTGGAATGGATTCCATAGAAAGAAACATAATTCATTAAAACAAATTCTTCTTCTACCAAATTAAGTGTGAATATTAGCTTGCATTTCCGACAAAATAAATGTGAGCATTAGACTGGTGTACGATGTATTTTCACAGTCATATAGTACTTACCATATCAATGGTTTTCAGAATGACACTGTAGTTGTTGAAGAAGTTTGTGTATGTTTGAAGCTGCCAGCCAAATTGAGTGAATATTTCACCCAAGCACTGGGATGGACTCCATTCTTGAAGTCTTTCTGTCAGCTCATTTAAAAACTGCCTGCATTTGAAATAAATAGAGAGAGATGTTTGTCATTCCACAGTTTCCTGGCCAAATTACTGTTTGGATAACTACATTCTTCCTAGTGTTAAAAATAAATAAATCCTGCTCTAGTTTTAATTGGATAGAGTTTTCTCATTCTTGTCCTAGCGTGCTGTTTAGAGTTTATGTACGCTGTTAAACAATTGCCATGTTTTCATCCCAGAGCTGGCAGTTAAGTGATTTCTGTATATCTTATAAAGTGCTTTGGGATCTGTCTGGATGATAGTTATGATATAAATAGAAGTTCTTTATCATTTAAACCTTAAAAATGTGGGTAGCTTATAAAATCAGCCCTTTTTTACTGCCTTGAAAGATTTACAACGCTCCCCTCTTTTAGGCTATCCAAAGTTTTGCATAAGGAAATGCATATATTTTTTCACTGATAGGATATCTGTTTCTCAACTACTGATGCCCCAGTTCCAAATAGCTACCATAGGACCAATGAATGTGAGACTGTTGTGTAATGTTGACCTGGGATCTATTTTTAATCATCTGAATTGCAACTAATTTTTTTTTAAACTGCAGGAATGGGAAATGTACACATAGAGCTTGCAAGGAAAATAAAAACATGATTATGTGGATTTTTCTTGGTAAGATTAATCGTATCTCAATTCATGGCATATATTATAAAATCATTGTTAAAATCTGTACCTCTTGCATCAGTCTGAACACTCTGAATCTAGATTAATGGAACTTTCTTTGGTACTTTTCCTTTGTTTGCTTAATGCCGACATCTTCTCAGATGTTTGACAGATGTGTTCCAATGGGAGGGTGGGGTATTTTAGTTTGTTTTTTACATTACCTCAGCTTTGAGCTCTTACAGATTTTATTTATCCAAAGTTTAAAATAACTTTTCATCTTTTAACTATGTCAGTAACCAGATCTCCAGCTTACGTTCTTGTGATGTCTTCCTTTTATTATGTAACCATGTTTTACTAAGCTCAGTTTTCCTTGCAGTCTGTTCCAAATCATGTTGCTTGTTTAATTCACTATTTATCCTAGTCTCTTCCTTTCTGTTTGTAGACTTGCAATAGTTGCCACTGAAACGGATTTTTTTAAACGTTACTAGAGTTGGGCATGAAGCAAAAACATGGAACTTATTTTGATCTGACCTTCATATTTCTATTGTGGGCAGAACCAAAACTACGGTAAAGAAAATTCTTGAACTTCAGGATTCAGAATCCAGATCCAAAGTGTGGGGTGTCCAACTCTGACCCACTAGAGAGAGGTTTGAGCTATGAACTTTGACTGAGAACTACAGTTCTGGAGTTTCGTTTGAGCCTCTCTCTAGCCCATGATTCTGCAATCAGATTTATGCAGAGAACTCCTGTGCCAGTGCAGAGCCTCGCTGACGTCAGTGGGGCTCTGGGCAGATGCAGGATATGCCCATTCACGCATGATTCCAGGATCAGAACTCTCATTATTACTGACATATCAAGCATCTTAAAACTTCAAAGGGATAGTTGTAGAATAAGAGTCCAGTTTCTTTCATCCTGTACATTACCATCACTCTCAGACTGATAAATACCTAGCACTTACAGGGCATGATTTATTTATAGTTCTCAAAAGCCCTTTCAAATGTGGTAAGTATAAGATGATTAATTTAAGAAATATGGGGAAACTGAGGCAGAGATTGAGTAGCCCAAGATCACACCATGAGTCAGTGACAGAGCGGGGAATGCCCCCTAGACTCCTGACTCTTAATCAAGTATCCTGTTCTCTGGACTACGCTGCCTCCACAATATATAACCCTTTTTTATCTTAATACTGTGCTTTCTCATCGGATTCAGCATTTTCTCAACTAGTTCTAGCCAGGCAGGGTTTTATACTTTTGTATCATTCAGGGTGTAAAATCTACAGTAATTTCTCCAAAACGGAAACAAGATTTTAATTTTTCATGTTGATGGTCTGGTCATATTCTGCAAAGCCCCGCATTGTGTGCCACCGTTCACAGGTAAGGTCAGTAAGTAACGATACCGTTGCTTTCCAAAAGCATCTGCCTGAAAAGTCAACCAAGATTGGAGGGATGGCTGCTAATTAAGTCCTATGCCTCAGTCAGGAGCGTAGTGTCCTATTCTGGCCAGTCTTTCTCTTTGTCACGGAACATTAGCAGATGTTGATAACCCGTGCAGCAACGGCACTGTTTCGGCTTTTGTCTAACCCAAAATATTTAAAACTCTTAGTAAATTTAAAATGCAGCATATAGAATATACCTATTGAGTTGTAAGGCATCCAAGATATCAGAGAAGATGATTTGAACATTAGCATGACTTAGGATGGCTCGATTTGATGCTAATGCTGCTTTCAGTGGTGTAACATAAACATCTCTCACAGTTTTCAGTATGCGTACATAGTTCTTCTCACTTGTCAGCAGCTCCCTGGCAAATTTAGTTCGTCCGTCTGCGGTGTCCTTCTCAAGTTTTTTATCCTACAATCAGAACAAGGAGAGTAAGTTAGAAGAGGTTATCTTTACAATAAAAGGCCTGGGGCTGGAGGAGGACCAGAAAACAATGAAAAAGGGACAGAACATAATTCCTGCTTGCACCATTGCAATACGACCTACTGGTTTTGATACACCCAAGAAGAAAAACTATTGATGTTTATCAGTAATTTTTCTCTGTACCTCTTCCTTGCCCAAATGCACATATGTGCAAGTCCAACACACACAACAGAGTCCCCCAAACAGTTACAATGTCTCTCCCTCCCCCACCCCAGGAGAGAGGGAGGGAAATACCCTTGTCAACACATTAATCTATATCCTAAACTACAAGAACTCTGGTTTCATACATTTAATATTTTAAGGTCAGCAGCGATCACTGTGATCATCCACAGATCCCTCCATGGATAAAAATTTGTATCTGCGGATATAAATTGGTATCCGTGGAACCGCAGGACTCTCCCAGAAACCGCACCGGCGAAAGTAGTAGAACGTGGGGCTGCTGCTCCTCGGAGCCTGCGCCGACAGCTCCTCCGGTGCATCTGTACTGCCCCCCCAACCCCGCCCACTGGGGTGGACACCAGGCTCAGCAGCAGCTGTCCCTGGTCACGCTCTTGTGTTCAAGCAGCGCACACACTCCCAGACAGGAGATGCAGACAGCTGCGTGGAAGGGTTGGGCAGAGCTGGGAGCGGGCCTGCAGGTGGTACAGCCATGCCGGAGGAGCTGCCAGTGTGGATCTCTGGCTCCTGGGAATGGTGGCCCCATGTTCTGCTCCTTTCACCGCTGCAGTTCCCGGGAGAGTCCTGTGGCCTGCAGATACTGATTTCTATCCACGGATATCTGCATCTAGTCTCACCTCCTGTGTAACACAGGCCGTGGAAATTTCCCAGAATAATTCCTAGAGCAGATCTTTTAGAAAAACTTCCAGTCTAAGTTTGAAACCCTGCTGATAATCCTGTCCCCACTGCGGAATCAACGTGTTTATTTAAAAAAAAAAATTCAAAGGTGGTTCAGGGGAAACCTATGTTTGAACAGAGAAGGCTAGGCAGCACTGCTTGAGCAAAAGCGATTTTTCCCCTTCCCCATTTTCCTGGCAGCTCAGTATGTCACTTGCATAGGCATTCTTTTTTCATTCAAACTGAGATTAAGGGTGAAATCCTGGTCCCATGACATCAACAGGAGTTTTGCAATTGACTTCTGTGGAGCTAGGATTTCACCCGAAGTGTCTGATTTTGGGATTCAAACCCAGATCTCACCCTTGGTAGAGCATAATACCACTTTAAGGTTCTCAGAGAGAACAAAGATTCTTGTTTATCTAGAAGCATGATAATTCCCTTGATTACAGAACATAAACAAGACTAAGCTTTAACTCCAAAGAGGCAGAGGATGAACTATGTGTAAGGTACATCTGTAGTCACAACAAAAATATGAAGTATTGCATCCCTTTCTAAGGTCTGCTTGCAAACGAAATTCCAACAGAATTATGATTTTTGGACATTCACATAAGGGGTAACAATTTAAAAAAAATACTAGATACATTTGTGCATCTGAAGAAGTGGGGTTTTTACCCACGAAAGCTTATGCCCAAATAAATTTGTTCGTCTTTAAGGTGCCACCGGCCTCCTCGTTGTTTTTGTGGATACAGACTAACGTGGCTACCCCTCTGATAACTTGACTAGATACATTGTCAGTATCTACTTTGCTGGAGTTTTTTCACTTTTCTCAATATTTTCCTGTAGGAAAGAAACTACAGGTCCAACATGTACATCACAGAAGACAATAAGGTATTACGAATCATTGATTTCCTTACCAACTGAGCCACTGCCTCAAATGTTGGCTCATTTGCTCTGATGCTGCAGTTAGGCTTTTGGCTCAGGGTGGCAGCCTCTTTTGCATCCTCCTGAGGATTAAACAGAAGCTTTTTTTCATACATCATTTCATAGCTTACTAGGATTAGTATTCTATAGATAATTGGTACTATAGCATCTATATAAGAAACATTAACTAGTGATGCTATTTACTGTGTTTATTGTTGAGTGTTTATGCTGTAACTCAGTCATCGTAATTTACATGAGCTTGACTTCACCTTGGGATCTCAGCTCAGGAGGGGGATATATTTTCAATTCCCCAAACAAAAAGCAGTCCCATTCTTGCAGACTTACATGTGTGTGTAACTTTCAGCACATGAGTATGCATGGTGACTTCCACAGGACTCCTCACATGCTTTAAATTAAGCATGTGTGCAAGTCATTATAGGGTCAGTGCCACAGTGGGACCATTATCACAAGAGTGCCCACAAAGCCTTTTTACAAAGCCAGCCTGTAATTGGTGTGTGGTCAGAACCCCTGTGCCCAGGTGGACCTCAGTGGTGTGGCTCCACAGGGCCCAGAGGTTTGCTCATGTGCAATGAATTGCAGGGCTGGGGCCTTAGCTTGCTGTTTGCTGTTCTATGAAAGTTGTGTACTTTGCTTTGCTATTCCCTGAGAGCTAACCAGATCCTTCCTGTTGGCTATAAGTTTTAAAAAATCACATGTGGTTTTCTGTGTATGTATTCTTGTGTTGCTCAAATGCTTTCAGTCCATACATTAAATGTTGGTGTTAGCAGTAATTTTTTTAAAATAGGAAATATAGTGGTATTTAAAATATTTATTCTCATGTCAGGTTTTTATATATATATAGGTGACTGCTGTTTAGTATTTGAAAAATCCACTGTTGAACTTGAGCAGTATAGTTTATGCACAAATGAAAAATCTAACTTCATAATGGCCAACTTCATGGGCTAACAGAAAGCTAAATATGTATTTACGTGATTGGTCATAACAACTGATGGCTCATTGGGAAATGTTATTAACTTTGGAAATCTTAGTGCACTAAGACTATTCCTCTGGGTAACAATCCCTTGAGATAACATACTTAAAGCTCTGCAGCTCTATCATTAACATTAGATGTCTTTGTTTATCATAACTTTGACAGGTAGTGTTTATTCTAGCTATGAAAATCAAATTTAGCTTCCAGTGCTCAGACCCCCTTTTCTCCAAGCAGTTTCTTGAGGATCTACATTCCTCTTACTTCGTTTATAAGCAGATTAAGCACTAGTTCAACCGGAGCAGTGGATTTATGATGCAGACTAATGTTCCATTGGGACGAAAGTGAGGTCACCAAATGTATATTATTTTGTGACCTAAAACAGGAACTGACGCTAGACCTCAAGAATGGAAAGGTAAGCGCATTAACCCACTGCAGCTGCTAGCCCCTGGCTAGTGAGCTGCACTGAAAGAGGTCACTCTTCCTTAAAGAATGCACCAAGATTTGTCTTCTAGTCACCATATGTCAAGCTCTGTCTGCTAAGCTCTCTGTATTATACTTCCTCAGCAGGAAAAAATGTTGGAAATTCCAAAGGATTTTCCTAAGTAACCAAAAATAAAATTAAGATAAACATTATTCAAGGTCAAAATGGGTAAATTTCACACTAAAATGGGTTATCATGAGGTGCTAGTGGGATAGTGTGTTAATGGCTGCGTCTTTATAAGCAACAGTGTGTATTTATATGGGGATGACACGCCCCAAAGTCAAGACAGGTTGAAATTTGGGGAGGAGATTCAGAATTTCAATCCCTGTGCCAATGGTGGCTGAAGATCTTGTAAATTCAAGTCTGGGTGGGCTGAAGGAGAGAGAGGAGGAGACTGGGGTTCATGCTGACTGATCCAGTGGATTTGACTTGTTAACACTTATTGCATCCATACGGGATGAAGATAACTGGGCCCACAAATTTACCTTAATTGTGAGCTCAGCTGTAAAAAGTGAGTGAAGGTTCATAAAGTGTCACAATAACCTACAACCAAAAATGCTGATAGGAAAATCGAGACAGACTAAATTAGTTCAAATCAAAAGGCCCACTGATATAACTCAGACTGTGTTAAGATCACACCTGGTAAACAAGGAGTAAAGGACTGGAAATCAATGGACCAAAGTTGATGCTTGGGAAAATAGGCCTAATTGCTGGACAAAATAATGAAGGGATGGGATATTCCACATATCACTCCCTTTGGGGGTTCTTAAAGAGATCTTAGGGAGAAAAAATTACTACTGAAGCGAGCTTCACCATCTCCTGGGACTCTGGGCCTTTGTCATCCTGATCCTGAGAGATGTCCTGTCCTGACCTGACCAGACCAAGTGACACTGCTACTTTCCACTGGCTCTATTCCAACCCCACTTGGATGTAAGACTTCATCCCCCAGCCCCTCATGTGTCTTTTTCCTTCCCTACCTTATTTCTTCTCTTTCCTATTCCTCCCCTTTTTCCTTCTAGTTAGAGTCTGGCTTAGCTGACCAAGACTGTATATTTTGCAACACTGCTATAAACCTGTGACCAGAAAGAGGCAGATAAAAGCAATCCCCTAAACAGCCCAATCTGGTACAAGTTTGACGGTTTTTGAAGTGGCTGATTAGACAAAGGGCTAAGCCTATTTTTTTCCAGCAGTGAGGTTGCAAATGAAAATCAACACCAGAGAGAGAAGCTTCAGTTTCTATTTTTGCTATTCTATTCTTTTCTCTCCCCTTAAATGTGATCCGTCTGTATAAAATTTCTTTAGGTTTAAGAACATGTGTTGGAGACCCTCAAAAGCCATCTGAAAAGGATCATTAAGAGCATTTAGCTTAAATCTTATTTTCTTTATGTCCTGCAATACTGCCAGTATTCACTCTACCATGACAACCAACTCCCTCCTGGAATATGCCGCTGGTGGGAGGGGTAATGCATTTCTGACTGTATGGCACAGTTTGGCAAAGGTTTTAATATTACCCTATTCAATTTGGAATGAAAAATAGTATTTAAACCCAACAACAGAATTTTTCAACACCCTGTACCTCTGCTCCATTTTACAGGAGTGCAGGAAAAATTATTTAATAAATTCCAACATTTTTTCCATTGGTGGCATGCTGTGCTGCAAAGCAGTACTCTGGCATGCCCAGATTTACCATGGTGATATAATTATGATAGGTTTTGTACAAAGTATGCCTTGTGAGGTATCATTTTAAAAGTCTTGATCTGTTGAACATTAATATCCTGTTGGAGTGTATGTGCTATCATTGTATGTGAAGTTATGAAGTTTTACTATGTGTGTGTTACTGAAATGTTGTGCGGTTGGGAACACCCACAACCAGCCTTACAGGTGCAACAATGGAGCAACCAGATGCTGCTGATGGCCCATTAAAGTAATCCACCTCACAACAACTATCCTAGGGACTATTGTATACAATAGAGACTTCTCAGAGAGAGCACCTAGACAATGGAGGCTGCTTGACCCATAGAAAACTATAAAAGAGGGGAAGTGATCCATCCTGCACTGGATGGACATTAGTGACATTCGTGACTGGCCAGGGCACTAATGTCACTCCTTCCAGGATTTTGATTCTCATGCTTAATTGGAGTGGCTGATTGACTAGGAAAGTCTGAAGCACTGTGCAATCTGTGCCAGCATCCCATTCAGCATAATGTGTCACTAATGTGACATCCTGCACTGGAGAGAGAACACAGCATGGAGAAGAGGAGTGCAGGATGGCTTCTTTTAGTATTGGGAGATACGGGCTCTAATGTCACTCCTTCCAGGATTTTGATTCTCATGCTTAATTGGAGTGGCTGATTGACTAGGAAAGTCTGAAGCACTGTGCAATCTGTGCCAGCATCCCATTCAGCATCCACTCTTAAAGGACCCGTTGCTAATTTGGACTCCAAACCAGGAAAAAGCAAGTGTGTCCATGCGACTACCCTATTCAGAGCTATGGATCGTCACCTACCTATGTATTTGTGGGTTGATCCAGCATGTCAATAGGTATCTGAACTTATTAAAAAAAAAAACAAAGCCTCAAATATTCATCAAGCCTAGTACAACAGTCACTGAAATGGGAAGAGGTCTGCAAATAACCTTAAATACCACATCATTCGACTATTAAAAACCTTGCAATTTTACTTACATAGCTTCTTTTTGACAGTTCAGCTAATCCATCAGTGAAAGTCTGGGCTGTTTCTCTATTAGTATGTACTTTAGCTCTGCTCATGGCATCAAACATAAACTGACCTGAAAATACAAGATCATTAATTGTAAGTTACTCCTTTAAACAGATATGATAAGCTTGCCTGATAGCCATTAACAATAGTCACTATATTCTAGTCAGGGAAATAGGCAACCGCACATGCAGGCTGACATTTTGTTGGGCATTCAAACAAAAGGGAACTGGTCTACACTGGGGTTTTTAGCCACTAGACTACCTACAATGATGTAGCTGCACCAATGCCTTAGACACTGCAAATATAAATCCGGTGTAGGCAAGGTCAAAGTGTGTGTCTGCTCTGCAAAAGCACTCTAGACATGGCATTGCCAGGTCCCACAATTTTGTCTCAATCACATGGTAGCAAATGCGCTCACTTTCTGGATTTAAAAATATATATTTTTACCTACCACTGCTAGCCCTGCAAACTCAGCCTGAGATCTGAGTCAAACAGTCATTTCTTTGGCATTATGCCAGTATAGGGACATCTCAGACCTGTGGCAGCAGGCCTGCTGACAGCAATTCTGGGCTCCAGGGCAGAACAGTCAATGGGTTGCCGCTGCACATCGTGCAGGGCAGGCTGCAGCTGAGCCCTACGCGGCTGCTGGTCCGGCATGGCGTCACCACATGGGTGCAGAGCTGGACCATATGTGGCAGCTGGTGCACACTCACACAAGCTGGGCCCGCGGTCCACCTGATATTTGAGTGGTGCTGCACCTGCACTGGTTGGTGCCCAGCAAGCTGCTACCGCCCAGCGAGCTGCTGGGCATGCTCTTCTGAGATGGCCAGGGCTTCCACATGCCCACCCGGCTGCCTTGGCTGCTGCCAGTACCAACCCGCACGCGCCCAGGAGCCCTGTGGCCTGCCTGGCCAATTTAAAAGCAATTGCCCCCTTTGCCCCTTCCCTCCCTCCCCTTGTTGGCGGGCCTGTATGACAGCTTTAAAGGATATTGTCTAAACACAGACATTGGGGTCAGAAAACAACTTTGAGAGAGGTTTCCTAGACCCATTTAATGTAACCTTACCCTCTTCATGGAGACAGTTTACTGCTTGATACTCTGAATGTAGTGTGTGCTGAAAGACATCTCTTTAGGAGAAAAGTAGATTGCCCTATCAGTAACTGGAGTTCTTCCAATATAACATCTACAGATCTCCACAATGCTCTTGTTTTTGAGCATTCGTTCTGACAAGGCTTTTCTTGGGCATAGATAGTCTTGGTGTCATAGTACACATGCATTGATGCAGAAGGGGCCTAAGCTAAGTAAACTGCAAGCAATGGTTTCTGGTCTGAGCATCTTAATGCAAGTTCAGATGCCATATATTTGGGCAGTCACACTTATTACCGAATGACCTAGTTTGCTGAAGGATATAATACTTTATTAAAAACAACTGAATAACTTTTTAGCACTCTTTGTTTTGATCATGCAGATAACTCTCCCATTCATTTGCCCCTTTGTGTTAGCTGACACATGCACTGGAAGTATTCATTCTGTAGTAGGTTATTTTTAATACTTGTCATGTACAATGTGCATCACAGACACAGAAGACAATGTTTGCTCATCAAAATAGACACAGGAGAAAAGGGGAAAGGAAGAGACAAGTTCTAAAGTTGTGATGTTTCCATGAAAGTTTGGGGGGCGAGGGGAGAGATTTCAAGTCTTTTTTTCTTACCCTTTTTGAGGAAGTATTTGTTTTAGAAGTGTTTAAAAAAGGAAAAACGACAAATCTTACCAATAATCCGGCCACTAATACTCTTCTGCAGCTCACTTAAATATGGTTGCATCTGCTTCCGGATGGATTTCAGTGCCTCCTCCAGGAGCTCTGTCAGTCTGAGCCACGTCTGTAGTTTTACTTCAGTGAAGTAGGTGGAGGTGGGAGGTCCATCCTTCTGTTTTCCCAGCCATTCACTAAGGACTGATATTTTTATGCTGGGTGTTAGGCAAAAACCTCACTGAAACTGGTAGCTGTAACCATTGCCCTTCATTCAGCATAAGTGTAAGAAATAAGCTCCTTTATGGAACATTTAGCTGAAACAATAGAACCCACAACCCAAAATACAGGCACCCAGCGAGGCTTGAGTAGAAGTTGAACCATGTAGCCTTAGGTGTTTCCCTGGAGACTGATATAGCAATGCAGGAGCTGGTGTACTGATTTGGTAGAGCTGTGTGTCTGCAGCAGAAGCACACAGAGAGAATTAAGAAGCCTGGATAGCATTAGACTGAGAACAAAATCTGAAAGTATGAGCTTTTGAGCAGAGAACTGCCTGAAAGAGATTTGGAACTCTGACCAAAGAAACTATCTCCTGTTTGATTCCTACTATGTTGAGGGAAACAGGACTTTGTACATTCTTAGTAAACAAACAGGACTGAATCAAAGAAATACCTGACTCCACCATCAATTTCTCCTCCCATCAGAAACAATATGCAAGTCCCCAAATGTTGGCTAACCACTCTGGTCAAAAAGTGGTTACAGTATCATGACAAATTAATTGTTTCCTGGTTTACTCTGCTGTAAATTTCAGATCGTTCTGGAGAATTCTGACTTTTATTAGTATGGCAATAAAATGTAATTGACACTAAAGTAGAGTTTGATGCCCTTTCAACAGGAGACTGACTGAGTTTCTGATACCATGATTATACCTAGGGCTTTCCACAACTACAAGATGTTGGTAGTGGACTTTCTGATGCTGAATCAGAAGATCGCACCAAGCATAGATTTTTAGTGATCTGTGACAGAATGTCAAACACATCCCCTTTTGAAAGCATAATGGATTTTGCAAATTCAAGTTTATTCAGGACCTGAAACCTCTGCTAATTACACTTTTACATGCATTGCATGGTCCATACAAAACAGGGACCTTGAAGCATCTGAATATAGATGTGGCTGTACCAGACGATCCTCTCTTCCCACCCATTCACTGTGCTCAATGTATACTTTGAGACACCTACCCTTTAACCCCTCTGTCCTTCATTATGCTAACCTGACAGGCAGATAGTATTACATCAAACAGTACTTAGTTGTTCCTGAAATGGAATTTTTAAAATATGGCAGAATAGTGTAGCCAAAGTTATAAACCTGTAGAATTATAGTTTAGAAGAAACCATAAGGGTAATCTAACCCCATGCCAAGATGCAAGAGTTGTTGCATCTAAACCATCCAATACAGATGGTTATCCAGCCTCCTTTTGAAAACCTCCAGTGAAGGAGGTTCCACAACCTCTCTAGGCAGTCTGTTCCATTGTCCTATTGGTTTTACAGTTAGGAAGTTTTTCCTGAGATTTAGTCTAAATCAGCTATTCTGGAGTGTGAACCCATTGCGTCTTGAACCTCAGTGGCAAAAGAACACCTTTTCTCCATCTTTTTTATGGCAGCCTTTCAAGTATTTGAAGATCACTATCATGTAAATCTGTGATTTGATTTTAGAGTATGACACTGGGTCTTCAGTAAATAATACTAGCCATCTAAAATTAATCAACTGCCAACATCCTTCCTCTATACACCTACTTCTACCTGTCATTTTCCAAAAGCAGGTTGAGAATAATTTTCTCTTGCTTTTATCTAATAATTCTTACTTTGCTTATGGGCCAAGCCATGTAAAATGTGGCCAAATACCAGATGTGCCACATAGCTCCCTTTATAAATGTGTATAACAGCTTTCTGTACTTACTGTGCTGATAAGATCCAGTTGCAATTCCTGTAGGGGTTCTGAAGAGCACACCAGTTAGCTGAGTCAGCTGGGAAAGGACTTCCATCCCTGCCTCTGAAAAGATGCATTCTTTTTTCTAGTTCATAAAATTCTGTATTATTTACATCACTAACATCATATAGCCACTACAGTACACTAGCCAATTCTTTTTCTCCATGCTGCTATTATTCATCTGAAACCAAAAGAGATCTAAACTTTTTTTCAAGGCTAGATGAAAATGTCACAGAAAAACAGTACTTTTTATGCTTTTTATCGTATTATTCTGAAAACTCTACTATATTTACCAATGGCATGAAAGATGTCCTGTGTATCTTAACAAAATGACGCTGTGAAGGAACAATCACATCCATTAACATGGACAAAAAACTAGAAAAGTTGTTTTTGGCGTGAGATCCCTAATGAAGAAAAATAACTCCAGTTTCGTTCTAATGTCAATGAAAAGACGCACATTGTGAGATTGTGGGGTCCCTGAGAAGAATAGAGCTTTGAGGTGCATTTTATTCCTTCCAAGACAAGAAAAATAACAAAATAGGAGTGGATACTATTCTTTAGTTCTTGTAATGACCTGCCTTGATGCCAGCTAAGGGGGTGACTCTGCAAGGCTGAGCAAATGACAGATTCTGGTGCTTGCTCAGCACCTTGCAAGATCAGCCTTTAATATCTCCCAAACAGACTGAGGTAATTGAAGAGAATGAGAGAAATAGAATATATCTGTCTCTTTACTAAGCTCAGCAGCTGTGTGAAACTATTCTGCTTTCTAATGGACTCTGTACCCTCATCATTTGTATTATAGCACCCATGAGTTCTAGTCATGGAGCAGGACCCCTTTGTGCTAGGTACTGTACAAACACAGAACAAAAAGATTCTCCCTGCCCTAGCCCCAGCCCCAAATAGAGCTGGTTGAAAGAGACTCTTCTCCCCCCCCCCCCTCACCCAGTGGAAAATTTTGACTTTTCTGCAAAGAGCAAAAACTTTCAGACAAAGTCAAAAATTTCTATTCTGAAAAATGTGATTTGTGGAACCAAATTGAAAAGCAATGTTTTAGTTTGGTTTGACGTTAAACTGTCCCCCTCTCAGCTACCACTGTGTCTAATGTGAGCTGTTTGGATGCCCTATGTCCCCCTTTTCCTCTGTAAGCCGGGCTTCTTGGCTGGACTATATGTCCCACGATGCATCACAGTCATTCCTCTGTGCATAACAGAAGCCTCATACCTGTGGTGGATCATAAGAGATGTTGTCTAGCTCTGGGGGTTGACCCACAGAGGAGAATGGGGACAAGAGGCACCCAAACTACAACTCCCACAAAACTATTCCGGTATTCAGATTTTTTTCAATGAAAAGTCAAAATTCTCCACAGAAAGAACCCAATTTTCTACCAGCCTCAATTGCAACAAGCCCTACTCAGTAGTGAACACATACGCAATGGAGTGGGAGATTCTCCCTCATGGCAGAAGTTCAAACAAAACTGACCTGATGCTGCCAGGGGAACAAAGATGTCCACATGACCACCTTCCTCTGGAGACATGACACAACCTAGCTTCTCCCAAAATTCTCTCACTTCAGGGCTCAGAATGTTCTCAATACTGATTCTGCAGCCTGGAAAATCATTTAAATAAAAGTCAATGAAATAAATAAAATGTCCATGAGGGTTTTCATTCTGCTCAAAATTCTTCCCTCCTGTACTCATACCATTACTTCCCTTCCCATGACTTACACAGTCTTCCCTCAAATCTTTTTTTTTAGGGCAATATGCTAACTTTCAAACCTGAGCGATTTCTTGTCCTCCATTTCTTTAGTAACTTCTTTCTCTCTCTCTGTTCCCTATTCTCTGTACCATGTATTCTCTCTCTTCCGGTTATTACTTTTTTCTTTGCGCCTCTGTGCCGGCTTGTTTCTCTTTCTTGTCTTCCTTTTATTCCTTATTTAACCTCATGGTCAGTCCTTTAGTTACTTTGGACTAGCATCATGTGTCTAATCTCCTTTTTTATGACAGCAGAGATGGCTCTACCATGGCATCTTTTTGTCATATTTTCTCTGGCTTTTAACTAATTACCAACCCTTGATCCTACAAGCTTTTACATCCAGGCAGCCCCTGCTCCTGGGGTGAGTCCTATTGATTACAATGGAAGGTACAGAGGTCCACCTGCCAGAAACACATTTCAGTTGGATCAGTGACCAATTTGCTAGTTTGATTAACTTTTCATTTTCATGCTGTTTCCCCTTTTGGAATACCTAAGCATGATATGGCATTGACATGTTCCCAGTTAGTTTCTCTGCCCCTACCTTGAAGTAAATTGATCTCTCTGGAGTCTCCATCGCTAAAAATCCCTATACTCTTTGCTTTTCGGCCATCCAGAGCCTTTTCTATGTAAAAAAGGAGGCTTTCCAATGTCATTCCGCAATGTTCATACAACACAGGAATCACCCCAGGTTTGATGCTGTCCAGCACCATCTACAGAAATAAATCAGTTCATATCTTCAATAAATAAATCCTGCTTTTCTCAACCTGTAATTCCCTGAGAAAAATATCATTCTTAATTCAATATTCATTTGTAGGATGCAACACATATTATTATTTTACACATTAGTAATTAATTACATAGAGAAATTCTTTATTCAGCTTTGTCCTGTGGCCCCATAATGCCAATGGATATGAGATAATCTCTCCAACAACCTTTATGAAAGGAAAATATCAGCTAGGCCACCCCTGCAATTCGTTGTGCATGAGCAGCCTGGCATGCCTTGTGAACCCCCAATGAAGTTAATTGTGTTCTCTACAGATACAGCTGTCCGTCCACACACTGTGGTTTTTAGAATCAGGGCCATAATCTTTACCATGAAACAACAAAACACTGCTTGGGTGGTCAGCTTAGCTTCCTACTTATTTTCCACTGATGGTTTGCTGAAACTCAGATTTTATTCAACTTTTTAAATATACAGGATGGGCTGTTTTTGGAGTGTGCATCCTGGACTTGTCTTTGATTAGCTATAACACTGAACATCTTACACAAATTAGTACTTAAACCATATGATTTGGGTTTTTTTACTTCAAATCACATAGTGTCAGTGTATTAAAACCTGTGCAGCCCACACACGTGCACAGACAGCATTTTTTATTCAGTGTCCTATTAAACTCTGAATTTCTGTATTAGAGATTCATTAAGGCCCGTGGTGCTCAAACTTTTCCAGTCACCCCCTGCCCCTTACCAGTAATGGAATCTGTCTGTGCCCCTCCCCCCACTACTGAACAGTCAAGGTTTCTTCAGCACAGAGCTTGGACTGAAGGCAGAGCTAGTGGCAGAATGGGGGACGGATGAGGAGCAGCTGGGGCTAGAGGCAGAGCTGGTTTGGGGGCGGAGAGGGAATGAGGGCAGAGCTGGGCCTGGAGGCAGAGCAGAACTGGGGCTGAATGGGGTTGGAGGTGGAGCTGATCTGGGGGCGGAGTGGGGCTGGAAGTGTGGTGCGCTCTCCCCGCCCCCTGTGGGGGCTAGCTCCAGTCCCACCATACAGACCCCCAACATTCCTCTGCACCCTCCCTATTGAGAACCACTGATTTAGACCCATTGTATTACTTTACTGACATTTTAATCTTATGCTTTCCTTCGTTTTTTTTTTATGGTGCACTTTTGCTGAGACCCTAATCCTGTAAACACTTAATGGGACTACGCATGTGAGCAAAATATTTGTAGGACTGAGGCTATAGTAGACTCCAGGAAGGACGCTTTCTTTGCAGGGGAAGGATGAACAGATTGCTGTCTCAGGTACTTCCCCCGTTTGTACTCTAACTATTCAAAAAAGAGAGAAGACTTAGAAGAAATTCATACCTCATATGCAGGAATCCTGGATGATATCAAAACCAGATATGGCTCAAGTGGATATGCAAAATTGCTGTGTTTTTGGTAGACACACTGACAGTGTTTGTAAGGTAACACAGGGTAGGATCTTCTTCCAGTCACATTCTTTCTACAGAAGGAAAAGCAAAAACTCAGGCACCATATCCTTTAAAGATTATCTTTCTTTTTTTACTTTAATGCAGAAATAAACCATTAGGGTATGCAAATACCTGTCTAAACCTCAGTTACACTAAATAGACATGCAGTGTTGTGTGTTGTAAATACATTTACAGCAATTTGTATTATTATTCTATTCCATGCCTCCTGAATGCCACCACTTCTGTGAGACAATTAACCTTAATCACCTACTGCCTATTGAGATCACTGAGTTCCAAACACCTACAGATCAGCCATTTGCACTCTTTTTTGTGTTTATTTTTACACTATGTCTTAGCAGTGCTGGTGATAGGGAAAATACTTCTCAGTGCCCTCATTTCCTCTGTGGTGAAAAGATTTTTAAACTTACAATCTCAATACACATAAAGAACAAATCAATGTGTTCTTTGTAAATCCACAAAAGAAAATGAATTTTTAGGATCTTCTCCCTAAGTAGATTTAGCCAATGAAAAGTACAACTCTAGACTTCAGAGTTTTGTCATTAGTCCACTATCCAGGCTTAGCATGAAATGGCTCTACAAGGTTCCCATTTTATGGCTGGACCAGCAACAGGGTTGAGGGTGGTATGCTGCATCATGGGAAAGCCTCTCTAGTCTCTTGTTCTCCATATCTTTGAACTTCAGGGTGGTGGTTTAAGACCAGATCAGCTGATGGTTGCTCCAGGATGGTTGCTTCAGGCCAATCTGTGCCCAAGAATCTAGAGTGGGAATCTAGTATTTCTGGTCACACCCCCACACAGAACACCAAGTTTTTACCCAACCTCAAGTTTCAGTTCCCTCCCCAGGATTACGCCCCAGTGATGTCAGTTAAATGGAGGACTTTGCATGGGCCAGACCTATCATCTGCAAGCCAGTTCGTGGACTTGCTCCTCCCAGCCCGGAGGAAGAGCAGCACAGCTTTGAGAGGGAACCTATGTGGTAATTATTTAGAACCAATGGACAAAGTTGAGCTCCATCAAGGTGTTCGTGTGTTAAAAGCCACCTGACGTGACCACAAACATCTGCAGTTTTGTGTGCTGTTTCCTATAATGTATTCTGTCACCCTTATTAATCACTGCATTTTGGGTACCATTTTCTGTGTGGTTTGGGGATTATGGCCAGCATTTTGAAAATCTTGAGTCCTGCTTACCTCTTGGGCAAAGTTTTTAGGGAGGCCAAAACAAGCTGTTTCTCTGCTGCTAGATTAAAGTTTGCTACAGGTTTCATTTCTTCAGAAAGCAGCATTGAAAGAGTATGATTCGAAAGAGCACTCTTTTCCTGAAAGCATTTAAACAAAAATGCTGAGAGAAATATGTAAGATGCAGTGTAATAACATATGGTTCAGTGATTACATAATGCAGCTGTTAAGAAATGCTGTCTTGCGTTTACCAGTAAAAAATACCTTAAACTTATTTTACCAATGATAGTACATTATTATTGACAGACACAAAGTAAGATGTATTTAACTGAGTTCCTCAGAAGAACAATACTTGACTACAACTAACAGTGGCTCAGACACAATCTTGTAAATTGAGTAATATGGATACAAACTAAGGCACTAATCCTATACAGAGCTTCACAAGGATGAGGGGGTTCATCAGTATTTATAGTGGAGGGTGAGAAGAAGATTGTCCAGTAGCATATTTCTTGGGCTCACATACCAGCTACATCTAAACACTTTTACTTTCTGCCAATGCTTCACTTTGAACCTTAGCATGTATATTTCAAGGCACAAAGAAATGTTAATTGTACTCAACTGCTTTACAAATTGGATTACAGACTGAATCTAGCTGTAATCAGAGTACAGTTTAGTCAAGCATGAAATTAACTGTATTAAGAATAAGTCTGCACGTTTGTCACTTCTGATTTCCATGGCAAAGATCATGACCTTTAGGGGACTCTAATTTTTTTTAAATAATTGTTTTACAAGTCTCTTCCTTCCATTTTAACAGCCCTTTTTGATGTGTTTTTTGTGTGTGTTTTGAAGTCTTAATGCATTTTAAAATAACTGATGGCTATAAATGCTTTTTCCAGTAGAAAATAAGCTTACTGGGAAGTAAAATATTCTGTGTCATGACTTTTCAGACTTTACTGACACCCAATCAATCTTATTTATGAGATATGAGACACACAGTAGACACAAAAACCAATCCTCCAAAGACAAAGATATGAGTAACTGACTTGGGCTCACAGGGCTTGCACTAGAGGGCTGAAAATAGCAGTGTAGAAGTTCCTGCTAAGGCTGAAGCCTAGGCTCTGAGTCCCAGGGAGGGGGAGGGTCTCCGAGGCTGGGATCCAGCCTTAGCAGGAACTTCTACACTGCTTTTTTTAGCCTCGTAGCAAAAGTCCTGTGAGCCTGAGTCCGGTGACTTGTGCTCTAAGACTTGTACCATGGGGTTGGGTTTTTTTGTAGTGTAGACGTACCCTCAGTTGCTCATGAGCCTAAGTCTTTGCAGGAGTGGCTCCCTCACATCAGTCTCCTAGTTGATCAGCCACTTACACCTGCCAGTATTTACTATAACAAAGCCTGTCATGTATTGTCACTGTGCACCATTCTGAACTAATAATTATACAAGTATAACAGGATCTCTATGCTTTATCATACATATTTCAGACAAAAACATTATACACATATTACTTAAGGTCATGCTGTCCCAACCTTACTCATGGTACACAGTATCTTACGCCACAAAGTTCTCGTTGGAGGTCAAAAGGCAGTAAGCAGTGAGTAGGGCACTTCTCAGCATGACTAAGGGTGGCAGAATGAGGTCCACAATAAACCGTGAACCATAGTCTGTGCTGACTTCAGTGGGATTACATGAAGCATAAATCAATTAAGAGTTTTAATTGTTTTTAATTAAGTGGAATGTATTTCAAGTAGTTCTGATTTAAACAGGATCTATGTGTTAGCACCGCCAACCAATCTCAGGATTCAGCACTTAATGCTTGCACAAAAAAAGAACAATTTGCAAAGGATAAAATGCAAGTAGATTTTGGGGGAAATTACCCTAATTAGTTGCAAAGCTGCCTGTAGTCTAGCTCGGTCCTGGATCGTCTGGGCCTGACTTGGCAGGAATCGCGATTTTAAAAATCTCGAGCTCCAAGTACCACTCATCCAAGGCGGTCGAGCTTTGAATAACTCCTCTGAAAAATAAACATCACCAGACACTGCTGTTCAATCCCATGCATTTCCACTGCTGGGTAAGTACACACTAACAGGAGAAACAATGCAGTAACTAGGGAAATAATCCATATGAAAATTAGCATGTTAGTTTTACAGGGCAGTCTTTAGATTTTTATCTAAACTGAACATCCTGCCTGAAAAGTCCTCCTCATTTTTGGCTAGGAATTGGTCATTCTACTAAAATGAAGTTGTCTTATATTAATACCTGAAATGAAAGTAGTGTTGACAACCTGAATAGTTCAAAAAATAATGAGTTTAGTTTAAAAAAATCATAAGAATGTTTTAACAGCCATGAGATTAAAACCATGGGGACTGTTTTCATTTGCCTTCTGATTTTTGAGGACTTGGGATTCATATTTTCAAGTTTTTCTCTCTAACCGGAAAGACTAGAAGCCTACTGTTTAAAAAAGGAAAACTGAGATTCTCACATAATCACATGACTCCAGGTGCTGCAGTTTAGGAACAATGCCAAATATGAGACTTGAGAGAGAACTTGGGGATTTGACATCACTGAAGGTGTGCTCTCCATGAAAACTATCTGAATAGTGACATCCTTTCAAACGAATATTAATGAAGGGGGGAGAACCATGTTGCCCAAACAAAATATCACAATCTATATCTAATATAAAATACACTGATTATTAGACTTGTAGACATAAATCTCAATATGCTGAGCACTGTTTAATAAAAGTCTGATATATCCTAGAATTCCATGGAAATATTTCTTTTAGTCTTAGGTTTTATTTAAATAATTTTATACAAAACCTACATTTTGACCTAAACTTGACCAAGGATTCCTTTAATGCATTGGCTGTATTTGTAGATATAATTAAAATTTCTACAGGACATCCTGGTATTGGGTCTTTTCCTTTCAAATCTTCGTTTTCATAAATTGGAAAGCAATTTGTGCCAGACTGGAAAGAAATTAAGTCAGCAACCACACACTGACAGTTTAAGGTTTCTATTATTTCCACAGTTGAGATGTACTAGAAACCCCACTGGACACTATTAAGCCTGAATATTTTTATCCCTTTCCTACAGGCATATCAAATATGTCTAAACAACCACATGGAAGAAACAAAATCTATTGTTATATTTACCATTTTCAGCTCTTACTCTTTTGATATTAAAAATTAATTTAAAAAAAATCTGCGAAGCTAAGTTTTCCTAAAGAAAAGGTCTTTGACTGCTTGAATACTTTAGGCTGCTTTATCACTTTCAGAAGACAGTGTTTGTTATTTTAACGTTAATCTCACAAGAAAGAGGTCGTTATTTTAATACCACTGACTCTTGTGTAACGCTAATCTCCCTCGAATCATTTTCCGTAGCCATTTTTCTCTTAGCCTTTCTTCCTGCTCCTCATGTTCAGCTTTTGCTTCATTGAGGGTCCCATAGATTTCAGTGGCCTCTCTTGGGGTGAAGTAATCCAAGCTGGTGGCACAGGCAATATAATGTCGCTTCCACGCGCTATATTCGCAGTCTGCTGGAGTGTAGGGCAGGAACCATCCGAACTTAACACACTTTGGCACCCACAAACAGTCCTTAAGACAAGAAGGAGGTAAGAGAGAGACAATAAGACGTGAGTGAGGACAAAAAGCTTTCTATTTAATCTTGGGGCTTCATACTGCCACTGATCACCGTAGTATCTGAGTACAAATCAAACATGCCAGCGCCATAAATATGTTCGAGAGATTTCTTTTTTTTTATGAAGTGCCTAGTGCTTTTACAGAAACAAATAAAAATACACGATCCCGCTGTCTCAACTTGTTGCAACTTTTTCTTATGTGAAGAGGCTGGCACTGTTCCTGAGGATGAATAATCAGACAATGTCAATGAATTCAAGTGGGAGAGGTGCATTTGCTTTTCTTCTGTTTTTTTTAAAGGGATAGCGGAGGGATGTTTCATTTTAAAATTCTTCGTTATCTGGAAATCTGCAAATAAAGGAAAAGGAGTACTTGTGGCACCTTAGAGACTAACCAATTTATTTGAGCATAAGCTTTCGTGAGCTACAGCTCACTTCATCGGATGCATACTGTGGAAACTGCAGAAGACATTATCTACACAGAGACCATGAAACAATACCTCCTCCCACCCCACTCTCCTGCTGGTAATAGCTTATCTAAAGTGATCACTCTCCTTACAATGTGTATGAAAATCAAGGTGGGCCATTTCCAGCACAAATCCAGGTTTTCTCACCCCCCCCCCCAAAAAAAAAACCCACACACACACAAACTCACTCTCCTGCTGGTAATAGCTTATCCAAAGTGACCACTCTCCCTACAATGTGCATGATAATCAAGGTGGGCCATTTCCAGCATAAATCCAAGTTTAACCAGGACGTGGGGGGGCGGGAGGGGGAGGGGTAGGAAAAAACAAGGGGAAATAGGCTACCTTGCATAATGACTTAGCCACTCCCAGTCTCTATTTAAGCCTAAATTAATAGTATCCAATTTGCAAATGAATTCCAATTCAGCAGTTTCTTGCTGGAGTCTGGATTTGAAGTTTTTTTGTTTTAAGATAGCGACCTTCATGTCTGTAATTGCGTGACCAGAGAGATTGAAGTGTTCTCCGACTGGTTTATGAATGTTATAATTCTTGACATCTGATTTGTGTCCATTTATTCTTTTACGTAGAGACTGTCCAGTTTGACCAATGTACATGGCAGAGGGGCATTGCTGGCACATGATGGCATATATCACATTGGTGGATGTGCAGGTGAATGAGCCTCTGATAGTGTGGCTGATGTTATTAGGCCCTGTGATGGTGTCCCCTGAATATATATGTGGGCACAGTTGGCAACGGGCTTTGTTGCAAGGATAGGTTCCTGGGTTAGTGGTTCTGTTGTGTGGTATGTGGTTGTTGGTGAGTATTTGCTTCAGGTTGGGGGGCTGTCTGTAGGCAAGGACTGGCCTGTCTCCCAAGATTTGTGAGAGTGTTGGGTCATCCTTCAGGATAGGTTGTAGATCCTTAATAATGCGTTGGAGGGGTTTTAGTTGGGGGCTGAAGGTGACGGCTAGTGGCGTTCTGTTATTTTCTTTGTTAGGCCTGTCCTGTAGTAGGTGACTTCTGGGTACTCTTCTGGCTCTATCAGTCTATTTCTTCACTTCTGCAGGTGGGTATTGTAGTTGTAAGAATGCTTGATAGAGATCTTATAGGTGTTTGTCTCTGTCTGAGGGGTTGGAGCAAATGCGGTTGTATCGCAGAGCTTGGCTGTAGACGATGGCTCATGTGGTGTGGTCAGGGTGAAAGCTGGAGGCATGTAGGTAGGAATAGCGGTCAGTAGGTTTCCGGTATAGGGCGGTGTTTATGTGACCATCGTTTATTAGCACGATTATTATTAATTATTATTATTATTATTGTAGTGTCCAGGAAGTGGATCTCTTGTGTGGACTGGACCAGGCTGAGGTTGATGGTGGGATGGAAATTGTTGAAATCATGGTGGAATTCCTCAAGGGCTTCTTTTCCATGGGTCCAGATGACGAAGATGTCATCAATATAGCGCAAGTAGAGTAGGGGCGTTAGGGGACGAGAGCTGAGGAAGCGTTGTTCTAAATCAGCCATAAAAATGTTGGCATACTGTGGGGCCATGCGGGTACCCATAGCAGTGCCGCTGATCTGAAGGTATACATTGGCCCCAAATGTAAAATAGTTATGGGTAAGGACAAAGTCACAAAGTTCAGCCACGACATTATCGGGGATAGTGTTCTTGACGGCTTGTAGTCCATCTTTGTGTGGAATGTTGGTGTAGAGGGCTTCTACATCCATAGTGGCCAGGATGGTGTTATCAGGAAGATCACCTACTACAGGACAGGCCTAACAAAGAAAATAACAGAACGCCACTAGCCGTCACCTTCAGCCCCCAACTAAAACCCCTCCAACGCATTATTAAGGATCTACAACCTATCCTGAAGGATGACCCAACACTCTCACAAATCTTGGGAGACAGGCCAGTCCTTGCCTACAGACAGCCCCCCAACCTGAAGCAAATACTCACCAACAACCACATACCACACAACAGAACCACTAACCCAGGAACCTATCCTTGCAACAAAGCCCGTTGCCAACTGTGCCCACATATCTATTCAGAGGACACCATCACAGGGCCTAATAACATCAGCCACACTATCAGAGGTATTTTTCAATTCACGTAACACCTTGATTTACATACACATTGTAAGGAGAGTGGTCACTTTGGATAAGCTATTACCAGCAGGAGAGTGAGTTTGTGTGTGTGTTTTTTGGAGGGGGGTGAGGGGGTGAGAGAACCTGGATTTGTGCAGGAAATGGCCCACCTTGATTATCATGCACATTGTGTAGAGAGTTGTCACTTTGGATGGGCTATTACCAGCAGGAGAATGAGTTTGTGTGGGGGGAGCCGGAGGGTGAGAAAACCTGGATTTGTGCTGGAAATGGCCCAACTTGATTATCATATGCATTGTAAGGAGAGTGATCACTTTAGATAAGCTATTACCAGCAGGAGAGTGGGGTGGGAGGAGGTATTGTTTCATGGTCTCTGTGTATATAAAGTCTTCTGCAGTTTCCACAGCATGCATCCGATGAAGTGAGCTGTAGCTCACGAAAGCTTATGCTCAAATAAATTGGTTAGTCTCTAAGGTGCCACAAGTACTCCTTTTCTTTTTGCGAATACAGACTAACACGGCTGTTACTCTGAAACCTGCAAATAAAGGCGTTTTTGTGTTCCTTTGATTGTCATATTTGGCCTAAGAGGACTGGAGTAGAGAAAGAGTAGGCTAATTGTTATACCACTGTGAGCAGCTTCTGAAGATCAATATTTATTTTATTTTAATTTCTATAAATAGCATTGCTATACACTATGCATTTAGACAGACCATAACAAACAGTAGCATTGTGGATATTCCAAAATGCTAAGCCCTGGTATTATCAGTATCCATATGGTCCACAGCAATCTCTATAAATTACGGAGTTTTAGGATATCCAGCTAACTACATAGCTCTAAATTATGTATTTTGTTCTGTTGCTTGATGTGTGTATTTAAAGACCAACGCCAAAGCAGGGTTAAGTATAGAAGCAAAGCAGCAGAATGAAATGTAGAATGAGAATTAGCTTCTGACAAGAGAAAATATAAATGCCTTTATGTGTAATATACTCTTAGAGATTGAGATGTTCTTGCTAGGGTTGGATGAAGCTGGTTCCAACAATTTAATCTGTTATAGTGAATTAAATAAAGCAAAGTTTAAAAGATTATTTTGTCAAGTGCGTGAAAGAGTTGAAAATTCTGGTACAGAAGATCTTTCCAATTATTATTAAGTGTGCTAGACAGATACATGGAATGCTTCAGAAGGTTGAGCATTTATCTGAGTGCTGTACAAGATACGAAATTGCTTTGCAAATTATGCTATTTACAACATGCTGTTCCAGATTTCCCATTTCATGTATGCAGTGCGCCTTAAAAGTGCTGTAAATGTCCAGTTACCGGTCCTATTCCTATCAACATCAATAAGAAAATTCTTCTTGATTGCCATGGGAGTGGGACCAGGCCTACAATGAACACACCTGTTCAGTTATAAACTTCCAGTGCCAGTTGACTTGGGCAGCTGCACACAACTCCCTGGGGCTGAGAAAGGAGAAGATGTACAGAGATATGAAACGTGGCAGCACTTTGGTGAAATCCACTTTGGTCACTGGAATCCTCTCTGCAAACCAGTTTTGGGTAAACCTGTGAAGAGACAGATATTCACCATAGTTAAAATCCTGTTGAGATTCTATTCTGTCACCCAGTTGGTCTTCCCTTTCAGAAAACCTGAGATCTCTTTGAAGAATATTGTCAGGAGTGAAGTGATTCCTATGACGGCATAATTTGCAAAGTGCTTTGGGACCCACTGGGAAGGGATTAAAGATGTATTTAAGTCAATTACTTGACCATTTCTCTACTGATAGCATCGCAACTCAGTGACATAATGCAACATTTTGAGGGCAAATCTAGACTTTTATGTAAAGAGGAGCATTGCATTGTTGTAACTAGTGAACTGTATGTCTTGCAAACCAAACAAAACTATGCCAAGAGTGTGGTCATTTCATCAGAACCACTTATGTTTATATCACTGGCCCTTATATCACTAGATTGGTTTTATTGCTCTCCAGAAGACTGGAAAGAGTTGAACCTTTGTATTTGTAGTAGCCATTTTCTATTATTAGTAATCTAGTAGGTCAGGAGTTTGAGAGATGACTCTTGTCAATAAAGAAACTATTAGGTCCTGGATAATAGGCAAATTATCTATGTGAAGAACACTGACACATTCTATATGATTTTATAAAAATATGCTAATGAGTGTGAATATAATGTAATTAGAATATGCTTCTTGCAAAAGGTCTCTTGTAAGGTATCATTACAAAGCTTATAATCTACTGAGTGTGATCATCCTATTTGTATAAATGTATCACTCTTGTATCAAACTAGAAATATAAAATATAACTCTGAGGGCCTACTGTAATTATGCAAAGTGTGGGCCATTAATGGTGGTTTGGAATCTTGATGGCTTCCATTAACCAGGACAATTGTCTGTAGATGGCTCTGTTTTACTTGTAAGTCTTCCTGTATACGTGTGTGCTGGCAAGTGAATAATGAAGTCTTACAGTGACATGTGATCATGTCAGCTGAACTGGACTCCATCTTTAAGCTGGTACTTTTCCTTTGAGAAGGAGGCGGTGGGAACCCAGAGAGGGACAAAGGATTCCCGCCTTATGCAAAAGATATATAAGTGGGTGGAAGAGAACAAACGGAGGCAGCCATCCTGAGAAATCCCCTAGCTACCACCTGAGCTGGAACAAGGGCTGTACCAGGGGAAAGGACTGTGCCCAGACTAGGAAGGCATCCAGTCTGTGAAAGAAACATATTGAAACATCTCGGAGAGTGAGATTTTATCTGTATTCAGTTTTATTACTGTATTAGGCTTAGATTTGCGTGTTTTATTTTATTTTGCTTGGTAATTTACTTTGTTCTGTCTGTTACTACTTGGAACCATTTAAATCCTACTTTCTGTATTTAATAAAATCACTTTTTATTTATTAATTAACCCAGAGTATGTATTAATACCTGGGGGGAGGGAACAAACAGCTGTGCATATCTCTCTGTCATTGTTATAGAGGGCAAACAATTTGAGTTTACCCTGTATACGCTTTATACAGGGTAAAATGGATTTATTTCAGGTTTGGACCCCATTGGGAGCGGGGCATCTGAGTGTTAAAGAAAGGTACACTTCTGTAAGCTGCTTTCAGTTAAACCTACAGCTGTTAGGGGACATGGTTCAGACCTGGGTCTGGGTTTGCAGCAGGCTAGCGGGTCTGGTTCAAACCAGGCAGGGCACTGAAGTCCTAAGCTGACAGGGCAGGAAAGCAGGGGCAGAAGTAACCTGGGTACATCAGGTGGCAGTCCCAAGGGGGCTTCTGTGATCCAATGGGTCACAAACACACAAATCAATCCAGATGTTTGGATGGGAAAGGATCAAGACGTCCAGGGAAAGAGTGAAAGATCTCTCTCATTTTTAATAATCACAAGTGGCCAGGAAACAACTCTGTAAACCCTTACCCACACACAGACCAATAGAAGTCAGTGTATAAAGGATATCATGATTAGGCCCTTTGTTTATAAGAGCTGACTAAAACCTGGTCCTGTGAGGTACAGAGCTCCCTCTGCTCCCATTAGGAGCCAGTGGGAACTCTTTGTGTTCAGTACCTTGCAAAGCTGAATCTTTGGGATCTGATTATGCAATATAACATGGAGCAGGCTGTTGTGCCCACATGGAACCACACTGACTCCAGTGAGTCTCTGCACAAGCAAAGCAAAGCAGTCTGCCCACCCACCTATAAACTGCAACATTCATTGTGAGCTCTATGGAAAAGGAACCTTGTCTGCTCCATGTTCTGCACAGCATTGATCACACGGACAGTGCTCACCCGATAATATATAATACTAGAAGGAAAGGCGATAGAGATTTTTTTTCTTATTTCCCTACTGATGCAATGAAAAGGGGAAAAGATGGAGAATCTGGAGCCTCAGGCCTGCACTAGACAAATATCTACACGCTTTCTCTCAGTTTTGGTACAATGTTAATTTTTAGGTCTTATGAATCTGACAGTGTCCTTTTTAAACCAAACTGACAGGGCCCTCTTTAAAAAGATAGGTACAATTTCAGGTCCCAATCAGATCCATCTGGGTGACACCTGCACGAGTGTTAAACCCTCAATGACTTCACCTGGATACCACAAGGTTACAGGGATCCCCCTGGGCAAATCTCATTACAGAATTGGTTTGCTGTGTGTTTTATGTAACATCCATATTCATACATACCTGCTTGTTTGGAAAGACAACACTAAGCTAGTCCTTGTATCAAACTTACTTCAGTTGTGATTTACTGCATCTCATCAACATTGTGTGGAGGAATTGTTTGCGCTGCTTGTCTGTCCACAGATCAAACCAATGGCTTATGAGACTAACTCTTTCCTGAAAGAGCTGCAAGGAAACAGAGTATTTCCGTATCTCATTCAGTATGTTATGCAGCCCTGTACAAGTCTGATGCATGTATAATGATGCTTAGGGAGGCAGTGTGACCCTAGTAGATAGAAATTAAACTGGACAGGGGTGCTGACAGCCACTGAACCAAACTGTAACCCTGTATATGATGGAAAACACTTCAAGCCAGGGGGTGCTGCAGCGCCCCCCCCCCCCAGACCCATAGTTCATGTACCTATGAATTGGAGGCTTGTCTATATGACAAGTCACGGCAAGGCAAGCCACAGTATGAATCTACAGCATACCAGCTTGCACCACAGTCATGTCCTGCACAGACACTGTAACAAGAGATTTTGCTTTTAGCTGTTTTGAAAAACCTTGCAGCACTTTGACAGAGATGAGCAGAGAAAAACTGAAAAAGGGGTTTAAATATTGTAAAAATTTCACCTCTTCCCCATAGATATAATTAAGGTGGCAATAGCATCATGACACTTTGGCTTGCATAAAACAGTAGTTAGTTTTAAGATTAAGGCTTTAGATAAATAGTAATTTGTGATCATTTAAAGTTAGAAATCCAAAATGGCAGACGCAATATTCCTCTATGAAAGACACCGGGTCAGGGTATGGTTCCAGCAACTAATAGGGAATGACACAGCATTTCTCCCAAGACCTCAAGAGGAGGAGCTTTACCTGATGGTATCAGAGGGAGGAGCTTAGCTGTCTAAAAATAAGTATGACATAATGGGGAGGAGCTAGAAAAAAAATAGCAATTATGCTAATATCTGGAAGCTGATTGGCTGAGCCAGGCTCATAAATAATGTTAATGATCAGACCTTGAGAGAGAAACCAGCATATAAGGCCCACAGCGAGCAGGCTGAGTGTAGTGGGGTTGAGGCTTTGTGGAAGAACAGAAGCTACCTGAGAAAAAGAACAGAAAAGTGGCCACCTGGAAAAACAGCAGCAGCAGCACTCTAAAGGTCACCACGGCAATGGCTTTCTTAGCAGCGCAATTAGCAGTCCCTGCCGGCAGCAACAGCCAGCAGCGACTTCTGCTACGCCTGCAGCCTGAAGCAGCAGCAGCAGTTAGGAAAATTGTGGCCTTGACAATCACCATCCTTAACATCATTACGGACAGATCAGAAGGACCATTAAGACGAAACAGAGGGAATTTTCCTTCTCCTTGGCCTTGGGTTCTGTGGGAATGACTCTCTCCCTTAGTTCAAAACCCCTGTACAAGAGGGAGATCAAACTACGCTGTTCTAAGAGGATAGAGTCCACTTCCCCTCACTCTATCTACTCCAATTGCTACTCAGCAAGGTCTTTTATTCTTTTACACTTTCCTCTGCAGGTAAAATGAGCAATTTTTGAGTATATCAGCCTAGTGCCAGGCCACAGCAATGCCTGTTGGATGAGGCCTTTGGGGAATATAGTCCCATTTAGTTAAGAGCAGCATCAGATTTGATTAAAGGAAAAAGAAAATTTGTTAAAAAAACATTGAAACAATGTATAAATCTGTAATTTAAAAAAAATTAAAGATGTGTAATGCCATTGTACCTGAATATTGTTATAGAGCCAATCATGTGCTTGCTAATGGCCACAGTGCTTATTGCTATGAATAGTCCTTGGTCCTCACAGGCGTAATTCCTGTCAGACATCATGGCAGTAAATACTTTGCCTCGAGGAAGCAGTTTATTGTCGTTTTATTTTTAGTAGTTATTTGTATTGTAGTAGCTCCTAGAAGCCACGGCCCCGCTGTGTCAGTAACAGTACAGAGATATAACAGACAGTCCCTGCCCCATTTCTGTTAAATGACCAAAGAAAATGAAGATTCAGCAGTTAAAAGACAAGGAGATGTTGATGTAATATTTTTAAAATGTGAGGTTGGTTTCTGATCTAATTTACATGAACATGCATCAGTGCATATTTTATGAGATGTTTCCTTGTCATTGCTTGTGCAAGTGCAGATTGGAGGTGTTTCAAGATATGTGGCAATGTGCACCAGTGCATTTCATGATAGTTGAGCCTATGAAACTTGGTTAGTCTCTAAGGTGCCACAAGTACTCCTTTTCTTTTTGCGAATACAGACTAACACGTCTGCTACTCTGAATTCTACCAGACTGTAACTTACCTGCTTGTTGAATGATTTGTTTGCGATAGGTGTCCAAGTGCTGAACCTTGTGTTCAAGCTCCCAGTGGTCTGGATTTTACTGGAAGACACTTTGCTGGACTTCACTGTGTTTTCTCCAAGGAGTCCTAAACTCTCTAGTTGCCATTGTTTAACAGTGTGAGGACTTGGTGTTAAATAAGCTGTGGTCATCATTGCAGCAACGATACTTGGTTACACCAGCTGTGTTAGAGCCACCTAGAAATTCAGTGAATTAAAGAGGTATGTGAAGTGATCTAATTAATTCTTAGTAGAGATGGATGCAAACTGTAAAATTCAAACTTGGATTCAGATCTGAAACCCACTCCCAACTCCCCCTATGCTCAGTGGGGTATTTAGATCCAGAAGCCTGATTCCAGGCCCATTTTATATATAGTTCGTGTCTTAAAAATACCTTGCTGTCAATCTTATATCTTGCAATCTTACCTATGTTTAGATGAGGCAGCTGGGTAAAGGCCATCCTCAGTATGTACATAAGCAGGCCCAATGCTTGAGCTGTGATTTCATCAGATCGCATAACTGACATTGGGACTGGTCAGTAAGAACCTAGATGGGAGACTTCCCAGGCTACCAAAGGAAGTTCTGTTGCCTCAACAGGTGGCAATCTGCCCTCTGTCGTATGAACCAATGACTACACCACAACTAAAGGGGGGCAGAATTTGTCTGGGCTTACCCAAAGAAGGGCAGCTCCGCTTTGTGGTTGGCAGGGGGAGAGGAAAAAGGTCAGAAACTGCTGTAAAAGGTGCTCGGTGGTCAGCTTGCAGCAATGACTCCCCCCCCCACCCCACCCCAACCAGGAATGTGCATAAAGGTACGAAACCTGGATGGAGCAAGTCTCTATGTCCAAGCAGCGAGGAAGCCAGCACCTACCCTCCCTCCCCTAGTGGAGGCGAATGGCAGGCTGGATTAGGACCTGCTGTGGGTATTATGCTAGTTCCCCCTTTTAAAGGGGGGCTGGGAAGGAATTTTTCCTGCACCACCAGATTTGGCTTTGGTGGAATGTGGTTTTTTTCACCTTCCTCATAGCAGGTATGAAGGAGGATCTTTTCTGGTGAATAGAAAAGGTGGTAGGCCATATGTCGCAACTTATTTTGTAATATTGGGCTGATGTTCAGTGACCAGATAGATGGCCTTAAGTAAGTTACTTAAAAGGAGGTACTGGATAAAGGAACAGAATGGGAGAGGGGGTTGAGGGACACCTATGATTGGTATGGCAGGGAGCCAACACCACCCCTTCTCACCTTCCCGTTCTCATAGCCCTCCTTAACCCTCTTATGAGGCTGGTGAATGTTAAGGTCCAAGCCATGGATGGAACCTGGGGAACCTGGATGGAAACAAAGAGGGGGGCTGGTGGAAGCCCCGGAAAATTGATTTGAATAAGCATGGATTAAACAAAGGGGGGCTGGTGGAAGCCCCGGAGAATTGATTTGAATAAGCATGGATTTGCCTGCACTGTACACTTTATCTGCCGTGTAGTCCCAGACATCTATACCATAAAGTTGCGGCCTGATTAAAACCCATAACAAGTGTCTTGTCCTCCTTGTGGTTTACCCAATGTTCTGGTGTGATTCTTATAGCTCCTATTCTTGTGTGGGTGCCTTCTTCTAGTCATTACAAATTCCATGGGTTTTTTTGTATAGAGAGGGGTAGCTGCCCTATTGTTGGGCCAAATTTATAAATTGAGTAGTCTACTTATGTACAATTCTTTTGTCACCATTCCCTTTTACTACCTTTAAATTAACGTTGGACTCATGAAAACTGCAAGAACTGTAATCCTGGAGACCAATGAATTTTATTTTCAAAATAAATATTTACCTTGTATTTATTAGGTACAGGTTGGGTTGTGGTGCTGCATACTTCCCCCCCACCTCTGCCCACCATTGTATCTCAACCATAAGCTAGAAAGCTGCCATTTCTGTGTGTGAGTAGTTTATTCTCCATACCCATTCAATGCTTGGTCCCTCTCTGATAACAAGGGGACCTACTGTGGTGAGGATACCAGATTTCCTCTAGTTTATGGACCTAGTACTGCTGTATCTAATGCTAGGTCTGTTTATGTTCCCCATCCCCTCTCCCTTTATGGAATCCGTGTCCGGTCTTTACTGAATAGCCGCTGATGAGATGGCGCTTTGTCCCCATTTTAAATTGTGCTATAAAAGCTATGCTGAAATGTCTTGTCCCGCCATGCTGCTTGCCTGCAAATTACATTTGCATTTTCATATCTGCACCAGTTTTCATTTTAAAAAAATACCTCAATTCCTCTGGCAGAGGAATGTAACCTTCTTACTCTCTTAAAGTTCTGATCTCTAGCCTCTGTTACAATCAGTCATGCACATAGTACCTAGCAATTATGAAAAACCTAGAATGTTCATTTTGGATTTAGTTTTGAAATCTTTACACCTGTTGCTCTGCAGTCTGTATGAGTCAGGCCTGCAGGACATTACTCCCTGCCCTTTCTATTAACATTAATATACTAAAACTAAAATACAAAGCAACCCACTTTTCCCACAGAACAGGGATTTCATAGTCATTTGAATGCTTTACCTCTAGGAGAGGATACTTCTTGCTTTTCCTTCTGAGAAAGCCGCTGGAGAACTGCAGTGGAAGCTGGAATTATTGCTGCGCTGGATGAGGGTCAGTACTCCCCCATCTCCATAGGAACTGCACAACAAGCTATACCTTGGGCTCCCAGCCAGAGCCTGACTCAGGCTACAGTTGCCTTGTGTGCCCCTCCCGAAAAGGGGAAGGACCTGCGGCACAGCTTCAAATCTCAGTGTGGGCTCACTCCCACTAGACTGGCAACTTGCAGCTGCCCATACACCGTGTAGCGACATGCGCATAGACCCATCTATTGCATTCCCACTGTAACAGGCCCTTTACCCCACATGTGACAGTGGCACAGCAGAATCGGGCTGAAGCAATCCTGAACAGAAGGCAATGGCACTGGTATGTCCCAGTGTAGGGCAGGCCAAATGGAGAGCAGCACAGTTCTACCAAACTACAGCACAGCACCATCCAAACTAGTGTACAATGGGACAACCTACCATTATTGCAAGTGAGTCAGGACTAAAGGCCAGCGTCTCTTAGCTAGGGAGATCATTCTGAGTGGGGACTGTTGTGGGCTTAGGATAATCTTACCTAGTTCTACAAAAGCTAATTGTAAAGGTTGAGAAACTGGAACACAAGTTAAGGAACTTCCCTGGGGTCACAAAGCCAGTCAGTGGCAGTGTAGGAAATATAAGTAAAGAACACAGTAAAAAACAACAGATTGAGTTGGGGATTGGTCTTGCTTTGAGGAGGGGGTTGGACTAGATGACCTCCTGAGGTCCCTTCCAACCCTCATATTCTATGATTCTATGAACACCCAAGTAGAATCAACTCCTTCAGGTGACATCAACCATCTTATTAAATATTGATTTTCTTGTTACTAAATCTCTTTGCAACTTGCAGTCTGAAGAGACTCTGTTAAAGTTGACAAGCCAAAAATCACAACCATCTCCCTTTGAATATATGTATATTCCATTTCCTCAGGTCTCCTGCAGTACTTGAAAACAGATTTCAAATAGTTTCTACATAAAAACACTACACTCCTGCCTGCAAAAAGTTTTAGAGTTAAAAACCCTACGTATAGCAACTGTCTAGTTATTGGCTGACCAAAGTCTGACAAAACCTTGGGTACACTGTCTTTTGCTAGTGTGGTCAGTGTATTGTGCTCCCAGTTCCTCTACTCTGCTCACAACCTCCCCAGAAGAAATCCATCAGATTAGGAGTTAGGGATCTTCCGTGGTGGCAAACTCTTTCTAAAGAGTCTCACTGACAAAGGGGTGAGTAAATCACAGTGTAACAAGGGAAGTAAATCACAGCGGAACAAAGGAAATTTGGGGGAAGAACTTTGCTAGGAATCTGATGGTTTAGTGAGGGATTTGGGCTTCTAGGTGGGAGAAGGAAGGGAATGCCAGTGCTTTACTTAAAAGATGCAAGAGTTGGGCTTGCTTTCAGTGGGGATTATGGCATCTAAAGCCTCCTCCTCACAGAGTTGGAGTTTCTGTTTAGAACTTTAGGGATCAGACGAAGCTACAATTGATTCAGAAGGAAAGAGGTGGGAGCTCATGAGGCAAAGAACTGTGTTCTTTCAATGAAGGTCTATGGAATCCTCTTCTCTGAGTGGGACTTTTCTTCTCTGTCCCAGCCACTAGTAATGTGGATAGATCAAGAGCTCAGAAAACCCAAAAGGGAAGGGAGAGAGACTTCACTCCCGCTATAGAACAAACGCACAAAAAAAATGGAATCTGAATAAACAGTTTAACTACTACACATTAGAACAAATGCACCACCAAGTGCACATTTTCACATGCCCTGGTAGAAGTTTTGAGCCATCACGTAATCAGTCTTTGCACAAACACAGGCTTTTCTCTGTCCATGTTCAAGAAATGTACCAATCTGTATGGGATTTGGGCTCATGCTGCTACAAGACAGGAGCAACGATTCAGCTTCATTGTATGAAAGGAACATTGTGTGGGGTAAATTTGTGCTTGTTAGCTATGGGCCTGCTTTGCCAACTGTGAATCCATCAGTACAACATCTTCAGTACTGAAATATGTATAGTAACGTGTGCTCCACAAAACCTGCCTGTAGAAGCACTTTTTAGGAACAGACCTCTTGTTACTGGGCATGTGTTGAAGGTCAGTGTTTATTATTGCAGACTCTCCCCACTCCTGAAATAACTAAAAATAGAGAACAGCCGTTAACCCCCCACCCCCAAAAAGGGAGACTTTACTAAACAAAAGTAGTTAATGGAAAGCAACGTAGTGCAGAATGGATTTATTATGGAGTGACACTGTTTAAGTATTGTTGAGAATTCAAAATTGCCAAAACCAAATGACATGGACTGCCAGTATGTATTCCAATTCTAACTGCGTGAAATTTTAAAGTGGATGACAGAGCAAGAGAAAAAACTGACTGTAAAAATTCTGATCATACAAGAGCTCTTTCTCTGACCATAATTAAACAGATGCTACACTTTTTAACATAGCGATTGGCATATTTTTAAATAAATTAATAAGCACTCATTTAATGGCAAACAAAACACACTAAAGAGTGTGCAGATTGTCTACATACTAGGCAGGAAGGCACCTACAAAAAATCTTCACTGCTATCTTTGTCAAAATTGGAGTAATGTTAGTGAACGTATTATATGTACATATATAAATCCAACAGACATATGAACAACACTGAGCATGTACTTTCAAGTTTTCCACAAACACTTTTATATTAAATAAGGCAATAAAACAAAGCATAGCAGCACACCATTGCAGTTAGAGCAATAGATTCCAACCCTGATATATCGCAGTGCTCAAATCTGCTAACAGGAATGTGTGAAAATAATCACTTGCATTTGCACTTTAATTCTTTGTTGTGGAAAATAAGTAAGACTCTAGATTCCATTGGAAAAATAAAGACATGACTTCTTGGAGAGGCCTCTAAATCAAAAAAACCTACACTTTTAGCTGGTGGAGGTATTTGGGATATCTTGTGCATCTGCTAAATGAAGTTTTTGTCTGGAACAAAGAGTTAAGAAATTAAGTTTTCATATGATAACACAAGAGATCATTTACCTTATGAATATCTGTATTATACCGGTATTTAATGTTTGTAGAGTATGACAGATTTGAGAGGACAGAAAAGAACAAAATATTACACATGGCCTGACATGCTGGAATATCAATACACACTGGATGCAATTATACACAAGGTCAAAGTTTACATGCCAGAGGAAAAAAACAGTATCACAAATCATCTTAGTGCTAAGCACATTGTCACCAATTTAAAAATAAATTAATCCTCTTCTGTTTTATTGCAATTACAAAATAGCCTGATCCAAATATTTTCAATAAAATGTAAACAGTAAAAATGAAATACATATTTAATATTTTCCTTGCCTAAAAAAATAAGTTTAAATTTAGAGACTATTAACAAATCTTAAATGGGAAGATTGAAAGAATGGAGGTGTGCAGGTATTTAGAAGGGCACAGCCCTGGTCCTGTGCATTTACATAAGAAAATGTATTAAACAAGTCTCTTAGAATACAGACCATTCACTATTAATTTGAAGACATCTGAAATCCTCATTAGAATACTATCCTTATATTAAAAGGTGCTAACTCAGATCAGTTGCTTACATAATTAGAGCTCAATTAAGCACAGACATTTTAGAACCACTTTTTCTGACAAGGGCGGGAACAGTTATGCCATGAATTTCTGTAGATGCTGTAACATAGTAAATGTTTTATAGCAGGGGCTGATTTCACTTAATATCAGCAAGGCTGCACAAGAGTTTCCAATAAACCCTACTCAAATTCCGAAACATACACCTTTGGGACTGAAATATTTTACACTTGGCCTCTGGCTTGGTGAAACATTTTGGAAAGTTCTTATCTATCTCATCTACTTCTATTGTCCTTGTTATTGTTGTTTCTGAGCACCTTATACTCCTGGATATATTTATGTTCAGAACACCCCTGCAAGGCAGGGGAACACTATCATCCCCATTTTACAGACAGGGAAGTGAGGCACAGAGAGATTAAGTGACTTTCACACAGGAAGTAGGTATCACAGCAGGGAATTAAACAGTGTGTCTGAAGTCCCAGGCTGGTGCCCTAACCACTGGACCATCCTTCGGCAATGGTTAGGAGGCTTACAAGAATGGAAATGACAACTTAAGGTAATGTATACAAAAATATAAATGTAAGTTATTCAACTGGTTACTTGCAGTTGTTAATACTTAGGCATTTAACGGTAATGCTGCAGTTCTGAATTTTGCATATTTCAGTGATCTATGTTCTAAGTTTGTGTGCAAGTTTCCTCCTTTGACAGGAGCCCTAAAAAGTGTTGTGGAAAACTGAAGAGTATTAGAATTTTTTTGCCCTATCAGCAGCAGCAGGACAGAACTCCACTCCTGAACACTTTAGGAGGCATATTATTAGGCGTGGTTGCTCCAAAGTTCCTAGCCAAAGTGGGTAGTATATATCAAGGTTTGCACTCAACTGGCTAAACAGTCTTTTTTCTCAACATGTCCAGTCTAAAATTTTATACTTCAGCTATGACAATTTTAGATATCTCTGTCTGATGTACCTTTTTCTTTCAAAGTTTCAAACAAACAGTTAATGAAGAAATCTTTAAAGAAATAGCCTATGCACAAAGCTTTGTTTAGATCTACAGCAAACTACAGTTTGAGTGTTACACGAAAGCCATCTGTAAGCTAGAAGGATCTGAAAACATGACATACTACAGCCCTGAATGTCAAAAAGGAGCACTGTTAAAATCCTTTGAACTCTCCTGAGCTACAGAACATCTGTAAAATGTATTTTCTGGAAATTTAATAGTATAATTTTGGTTTTTGATCAACTCTTTATTACAGAAATGTTTACCAAAAAATGATATTTAATAAAAAGGATACATAGAAGAATTCAGTTCTTCCAGCTGCAATATAAATGAACAAAGTATGAGGAAAAAACACTAGTTATAATCAATGAAGTAAACATGTCGATAATACAATTATAAATGGTACTAGCACAAATTTAGGGTCTCTTGCAAAAAATTAAACAAACCCTTCATGATAGTACTGTAAGTTTAAAAGCAAGTGTAGCTCTACACTAGGAAGTTTTGAGAAATTAGACTTTTTGGATATTTAACAGTTCTCCTGTTTACCAAAAAAGGCACCAGAGGGGAAAAAAAAAGATTCATACATTTAGAATACATACGTCCAGATAATTCTCTCTGTCTAGTCTCTGATAGGTGTGGCAGAGTATAGAAGGAAAGATGACAGGGAAAATGGTTCAGCTCACTGATGCTCAGGCTGGTTCTACATCAGCCTAAGCTCTGAGACAGTTTGCAGGACCTTAAACGCTGCTCTAAACTGCACAAACTGGTAGACACAAGGAATAATCTGAATAAGAGGGATGAACAAGGCACTTGTAGAGTTCCTCAAAATTAATGCAGAGGAAGTAGAATCCTGGGCAGATATGGGAAATATCCTGGGTCATTAGAGTCAAGTTTTTCCTCAACACATTGAACCCTAAATTCCTAAGACCCTAAGGTCTTCAAGTTGTATAGAAAGAACAACACTGCTGGATCCCGTTCTTGAACCCAGATCTAGTTCTGTGAAGCAACTTCAGTGGAAGATGGTCTGTCTTGACTATACTTACATCTGATAGTAGCCTATCCAAATTGGAGTCACTGGCAAGTTTTCTTTTATCTTCAGGAAGTTCTTCCAACTCCCCATAGAGTTCCAAATTCAAGCGAGCTAGCTTCTCCTGCATTCCCCGCACATGTTCCATCTGTTCTATGGAACACTCATTTCCTGAACAAAGCAGATTATAAAGCTGTTATGTAAGAGTCTGACAATGGGGTAAGGAGCAAAGTCTAAGCTACTGCATGTATATCTTGGATTTTTGTAGTAGAGAGAAAAAAGTGTCAAATATCAGAAACAAATCCAATTACCTTCCATAGGACTCAGTTTTTCTTTCCATGTTTACTACTGTAACTTTTTAAATAAGAGCTTCTGTCCTTGTATTTGATCGTGTATTTGGGTCATGTGATATCAAGTGATATCAATCACTTCAATGGCAAGAAACTAATAATTTAACAAGGTGTAGTGTTCTCACCCTGTTCTGAATGGAAGATCTGCATGCTGGATATAGTCCACCTCTGCCCCATCTCTAAACTTGGCCTTATTTTTTACTTAAAGTGTCATCAGACTAAACTTTCTCACTAAACTTGGCTGTTCCTGGGGTTTCTCCTCCAGCACCTCATAACCTCTGACTCACAGACATGCTCAAACCATTCCTATTTAACCAAATTATAGCTAATTGGATACCCCGGAACTAATTTATGTACCTTGCAAAAGTACCTCCACATTTCTCTGCAGGGTTCAAGCACTTGGCAGAAGGAATGACTAAGCAGAAGAGCCCTGTAACCCCATGCAGAGCCCTAGAAACTTACACCTGTTGTATACAATATTATGATTCCACTTCAAGGTCAAAGAGAAGAGTAAGATGGGCTGAGCATGAAAGCAAATATCAATTGCATTAGTCCTAATCCTGCTCACACTGAAGTTAATGACCACACTTCATGAGAGCCATGGGCTTAGGTCCTAAATAAGAGCACTGAGCACTTTGATGCCATGCATGAGGCATAGGTTCTGGAAAAAACTCCACTGCAGAATTGAGTGGAGAGGTCACATGATATGCTTAGGTTCTAAAGGTAAGAGTCATCTGCATAGACCCTCAGCCAATAGTTCATGAAGCAGCGGCATTCTGACAATAGGCAAGAGTTTGCAGTGGTAATCAATTTATAGTACAAAAATTCACCCACAAAGAGGAAATAGGCATAACCTACACTCAGATTCTAAAAGCTACCCAATACCAACCCCTTTTCCTATCACCTTGACCAAGTAATATAGCATCACACCTTAAACAACAGTTACAAGGTGCAGTTTTATATATAAACTCTATTTCTGGCAAGATGTAAATTTGGCAAAAACAGAATTCAGTCCCCCAGCATAAGACAAAATTTTAAACTTAATTTTAATTAAAAAGTTAGCGGGTATACAGTTTGAATTTGTTTCGTAGTTTGGAATTTATTACTTCATTTCATCAAGGCATCTTATTGCTTGGTTACATTTCCACTAATATTTAACATACACAAAGTAGTTTTAAACTTGATATTTTAAATCTACAAGCCAAGAAAGTGATGTGTGTGTGTCCCATGATAACTGGAACACAATCTGTTAGCACACAAGCACTATGAAAGGGACTTTTTGACACAGCATAGACCCAAAGATAACCCTATGATTCAAAGGGTTGCTATCTCAAATTTCCAATAAAATAATATTTTATTTTTATTCATGACCAAGTTAAATTTTACTTAAACAAGTATAGACTAACCTCTTGTCTAATAACGACTGACAATCTCTCTGTAACCAGCACATCTGTTTGCAAAAAACTGCTATCTTATATCTGTAAAAGCAACAGCTGGGTAAAGAAAACCGACATATTTACCGAATGCCTGAAGTTTGCCAGAGTGGAAATCATTTAGAAGGCTCAGAAGTCCCCTCTCCATCTCCTGAACATCCGATACATCTGTGAGAAAAGAGTGCTGTATTGGCGCTGCCTGTGCCCCTTTTCCTTCCCCTCCTGGAGGTTTGGCTTTTTCTTTTATTCCTCTGAGGAAATGAAAGACATCTAATTTTACAGAAGAGACTACCTTCCTCTTCTTGCTCCTGCTGAAGAAGTGCAATGAAGGACTATCCTAGAAATCGGCCTTAAAAGGACAACGGTCGTGAACGTACATATGTTAACTGCACCATCAAATTACAAAGCGTGGATCACAAATTTTACCTAAATATAAAGTGATCAAATTGTGAAGCCACTATCTTGACAATCTGATAATACAAAGCAGGACTCCAAGAATCTGCTTTCTTATTACCATTAGGAAGCACAGGATAATCCACTCATTTTCCTTTTAAAAGTATTAAGAAAAACCTTTTGGCTTCACAATACTTTGATAGGAAGCAGACTCCTGGAACTCTACTTGGCATCAAACTAAGCCCCTGGGTGGGAAAGTAAATATCAAGGCAACCACAGTCACTGAACAGATATTAAAGCAGTAACAGGTATTGATAATGTATACATTCATATTAGCTAAGATTTTATAACTTGTCACTAGTTATATTTTTCTTCTATAAAACTGCATGAAAGTTAGCCAAGCAGACACATTCTTAAATACTCTGCATATAGTGCATGCTCATACAAGTGTGGAGAAAACTCAAGTGAATTCAATCTTTTTACTCAACTATTCCATGAGTAGCTTATCCTGATGTAAATACAGTTTTGTTGGCTGAATATAACCTGCAACTACTACTATAGTTTAGAAACTGCAATAAATTTCCATATGACCACCCCTTGTCAAGTCAGGCTAATAGCTTGGCCATCCACAGAAATTATTCATATATAAAAATAAGTTTAGGTCAAATTTAACAACAACAAAATATTGCAGTGATTACATTTCCCTCATATCTTGCCATATGCGGAATAATCCTGTTGTGTATTTTAAAACATTACTGAGTTGCACACAATGATAAATTATGGTCCATTCTCACGTCAGCTACAGGTACTGTAGATTTCTAGAGTGGTACACCTTGCATTTTGGATATTTCTAGAGAAAACATTTTTCCTGAAATGCAATGGAGAAAGACTATCTACTGCACTTCTGAGTGGCAGATTCAGCAAGCTCTGTTATTCTGCTGATATTGGCACCTCCACACTAGATCTCAGTGTAGCACTGATAAAGTTAACTACTACAAAGATTGCTTAAGGATTTTGTTCTCATGCCTATTCTCTACTCACCTCTGCCTACATGCATTACATACATAAACAGTTCACTGTTTAACCTCCAGCTAATACTTTTGGGCCAATAAGTCCAACTGTCTCTCCTTTTCCCAGCCTCAATGATTTGTAGAATATTAGGGACTTACCTTTTTAACTTTGGTTTTTGTGAATTTGTTTGTGGTGCAGGATTTGAAAATGCTGTACTTTTACTGACTGGCACAGAATTTTTCTTGGCATTAACAACCTGAGTCAGGTGACTACTGGATGATTTGGGGCTCCTCCTCTTGATTTTCCTTTCTTCCATTTCCGCTGGTTAACTATTGCGCTCAGACTAATTTCTTATCTTATGGAAGGAATTAAATAGTTAAATATCCATTGAAATGGCCAAACAAATTATTTATTATAAAGAGCTGTAGTGAGGCTCAGGTGTATTGTATAAGAGTCTAGTTTTTAAACCCTTCACAGATCAGCAGCAACTGCTTTACCCAAAAAGGAAAAACTTGATTTTCAGGATAAGTGGGAAAAGCCTGTATGAGCAGCAGCAGAACCAGATCACAAATCTAGGCCTTCGAAGTCAGCTAGAGCCCCACTAGTAACTAACCTATTCTACTACACTTAGTAGTACTTTTATATGACTGGTGTCTACTAGAAATCACCCTTTCAGACACTATTACTCAAATATAGTCTAAGGAGAATAATCAGAGATGACTGAAGCAATTGTAATATTTACAATACATTAATATTCTAGAAATAACCTATATGTACCCAAATAAAAACCACATCAGTATGGTTTTATAACAGCAATAAAGAGCTTGGTATATGGCACTTCCTGGACATTAATGACTAGGTGGAGCCAGTGCCCCTACAGCTGCTCTTCAATCTTTATTAGTTAATTCTGTCACTTCCTCAAAGTAGTCCTTCAGCAGTTAAAAAAAGCTCACACTGAAAGCACATGGGGTCAGAGTAAGAAAACTGAAAAAAGTAATAAGCCTGTTCCCTACCTGCGCAGCTTCCTGTTTCATCGGTTTCCTAGAGTGTTTACGGAAGTGACGTGTTCGTCACGTGAGACCCCAGGTGCTTTCCAGTTCTACTTTCTGCATAGAAGTAGCAACATGAGCATTATATAAAAGCAAGCTGATATGAAATGTAGCAGTAAAATAAAAACCAGTATAACAAACAGCGTTACTTCATATGGAGAAAAACAGAAAGAGGGAAAAAGCCAGTCCCCTTTGCCACTTAAAACTTCTCTACTCCTCTATTTTACATGAAAACTTTCCTCTGTCCCACTTGGGGTTTCTGTTATTCATTCTTTCCTTCTCTTGGCCACCCCTTATTTACAAGGGAGCAGCCTTGCTGAAACTCTGTCTTCAGGGTTGACGCAGACACCATAATGCACTGATCCAAGCCCGCTGTTTTCTTTCACTATTTATAATTACTGTAAATTGATGATCAAAATTAAAGGAATTGGGGATGAAGCAGCAACTTCGGACACAAGAAAAATCTTAACAGCCTGATTGCATAGGGGTGTCCCTGTGAGTTCATACTACATGCCCAACCATCACAGAAACGTTGGCTTCAGAAAGCATGAGAGCAAGGCCAGCAGTTCTGCAGGGTACAGACTGTTCTCGTGTGATTGTGTTCACAGGATGAGTGAGACATCCTGACACTGCCCATGGATGTTGTTTGGGGCTCGTCTTGTGCTATGTCTGCTGTGATGCCGTTTACCCCAAATTCAAAAGCCACAAATCAGATGCATAGGTAGGGTTGGCAACTTTTGAATCCCACAAAACCGAATACCCTAGCCCTGCTCCTTCCCCAAGGCCCTACCGCCTGCTCACAACATTCCCCCTCCTTCGATGGTTCACTCTCCCTCACCCTCACTCTCTTTTGCTGGGCTGGGGCAGGAGGTTGGGGTGCAGGAGGGGGTGAGGGCTCCATCTGGGGGTGCAGGCCAGAAATGAGGGGCTCAGGGTGCAGGAGGGGGTGAGGGCTCCATCTAGGGGTGCAGGCTCTGGGGTGGGGCCAGGGAGGAGGGATTTGGGGTACAGAAGGGTGCTCCGGATTTGAGGGGGCTCAAGGTTGGGGCAGGGGATTGGGCTCTGGTTGGACCGGCAGCTCCCAGTCAGCGAAGCAGCAGGAGGGCTAGGGCAGGCTTCCTGCCTGTCTTGGCACCGCAGACCACACCGTGCGTGTCTCGGAAACTGCCAGCAGTAGATCCGGCTCTTAGGCGCAGGTGCGACAGACGGCTCGGCTCTGTGCGCCGCTCTCGCCCGCAGGCTCTTGGCCAATGGAAGTGCTGAGCTGGTGCCGGGGGCGGGGGCAGGACGCAGAGTCCCCTGTACCCCGTCTAGGAGCTGGACCTGCTGGCTGTTTCTGGGGTTCAGGCACGCAAGCAGGACAGGTAGGGACTAGTTTGCCTTAGCTCCGCAGCACCACAGACCAGACTTTTAACGGCCCAGTCGGCGGTGCTGACTGGAGCCGCCAGGGTTCCTTTTCGACTGGGCGTTCTGGTTGAAAACCGGACTCCTGGTCACCCTATTCATAGGTGATGGGACCACGGGAGCTACCGCCCCCACTTGAAGTGGTTTCCACCATAGACAGGGGGTCACAGTTTGGTTCAAAGGGCTCTCAGCACCCCCATTATAAACACTGTTCCAGAGCCCCTGGTCAGACTGCACCCAAACCCAAGAGGCTGCACAGCGGTGGGCTGGGGATGGCGTTTCCCCGCTGGGCGGCGGCGGGCACCTGGCTCAGGCGCTCCATCGCTCGGGCGCCACCGGGCGGCGGGACGATGTAGTCGGGGACTGGTCCTGCTTTGAGCAGGGGTCGGACTAGAACCTCCTGAGGTCCCTTCCCAGCCTGACATGCTGTGACGTCTCCCCCGGCCGCGGAGGCTCTGGCGCGATCGCCGGGGCCAGACAGCACGAGCCTCTCACAGCGGCCCGCGACCAGCGGAGGGTTCCGGGGCCAGTCCCCCTCACTCCCAGTCCGGGACCCGAACCAGGTTCCCCCGCGGTCCGCCCCGGGCCCTACCTGCGCAGCTCCCCGTTTCATCGGTTTCCGAGAGTGTTTACGGAAGTGACGTCTTCGTCACGTGATACGGCAACGCTTCCTCACACGGCTTTCGGTGGGCGCGCCGTGCATTGTGGGAGCGGGAGTGCAAGCCCTTCCCCGCTCCAGCGCGCAGCTCTGTCGCCGGCCCTGTGCCTGAAGGGCGTATAAAAACTACAACTCCCAGAATTCCCTGCGGCGAGAGCCGGAAGGGAGGACAAACCGAAACGGCCGCTCAGTGGGGGCGGGGGCCAGGACGCGGTTAAAGGAACGTGGCGGGGTCGGGCTGCAGCCCCCACGCGCTGAGCGGCGCTCAGGCAGCGCCCTCGAGGGACACGCCCCTTAGAGCATCATGCGCCGCCCTGCCGAGGCCCGCGGTCACCTCTGGCTGCGGGGCGTGCGGCCGGCTCAGGCAGCGCGCGCGGGTCTGAACGGGCTGGTGTGTCCGTCGTAGCTGCGCGGGCCGTGACTCCGCACCCTTGTAGGGGGAGGGGAGGCGCGTCCCCACAATAGTTGTTTAATGAGCGGACTTACTGAGATTCAAAAAATTAAAACTTCATACCCATTAAAACATATATTGTCAATGTCATGTTAAAATATACAAAGTAAATATCCTTAAATCAAACTACGTTCTCAGTACGTTTTCTCTTACTTTGCTGATCCATAAATATTTGTTATTATCAATGGAAATATTCTGTAGTTGGGTTGTGTGTACGGTGAAATCAATATTTACTGAGATTTACCAATAAAAGCAGATTCTCCCCACCCTAGTCTGGCACCTTAAAGACTAACAGATTTATTTGGGCATAAGCTTTCATGGGTAAAAAACCCACTTCTTAAATCTGAAGACTTGAAGGTGCCACCAGACTCCTTGTTGTTTTTAGAAAAAGAGTACTTTGTGGCATCTTAGAGACTAACTAATTTATTTGAGCATAAGCTTTCCTGAGCTACACCTCACTTCATCGGTTTTTGTGGATACAGAGTAACACTGGCTACCCCTCTGATACCAAGTCTATCTGTTTTCATATCTGCAAAGCAGTGGATTAACTTTTTAAACAGTGTTCTGTTTTAGGAATAATAATTACTTTTCCAATGCTACTATACTAATTATGTTTTCAGCATTTCTATTGTTTGTTTGTTTTTGGGGGGTTTGGTTTGGTGTTTGCATTTAGTAGGTCCTAAGAAGAGGAGGAGATAGGGCAGTACCAAGAGGCACTCATTGTCCTCTAATTTAATTATAAATTAATAAAGCCCCGAAATGATAAAGGATTTGCAGAAGTGTTATGGCATGTAACAGTTCTGTAGTTTGGAAAACTGCTAACAATAGCTTCAGGTTGTATCCTAGAAAATCATAGTTCCAAGAATATATTCCCCTTTCATATCTGCAAATGAGTTTTCTCTCTCACCTCAGGAAACAACCTGAACAATTCCAAGATAGCCATGAGAAGATATCATAGCATGTTTGAATCTTAAAATGGGATGAAATGGGTACTCTGAGAAATGTGAGCACTAAAATCTCTACAATTAAATTTTTGGAGAAAGTCTTGGGAATCTGGTTTTGGATAATCTAAATCATGAGAGAAGTCAGGAAAGTAGATGTTTATTTTTAAATATTTTAATGCTGTGCCTATTTCTTAGTGCACATAAATCAGTCTGATTCAAAATGAAATCTATCCAGAACACATCACCAGATAAAGCAATCAATCAGTCTTCAGAACAGATCTGTGAAGAGGGTCAAAAAACATTAGATCTAGCATGTCTGTTCCTTACTGATTTTGTCTTTTTTCCATATGAGAGATGTTATATTTTCATATGTTTTCATAGAGCAGAGATTTGGGTGTCAGGACACTTGGGTCCATCACTGACTTGTTGCTGTGACCTTGGGCAAATGAGTAAATCCCCAATCCCACATATTCTTATGTACATGCTTACATTTAAGCACGTGAAGAGTCCCGTTGAAGACAGGACTGTTCACTTACTTGAAGTTAAGCATGTGTGTGTTTGTATGATCAGAGCTTTAACCTTTCTGAGTCTATTCCATCTATAAAAAAGGAATACTTTCCCTACAGGTGTTGAGGCTTTATATTTTGATATCTAGGGGTAAAATGGCCATTATTATAATTACAAAATCTGTTGATTTTCTGTGCTGCTTCAAGAGTTAGTACTTTACATGGTATTTACATTATTTCTCCAGGTATACATCAGTATCATTAATGCTTTGTCACTCCTTCATTTAGTCATAATTTCATGCACCTTCTGCCGTGCTCCCCCCACCTGTCTGTCAGTTAGTTACTGTTTTCATGCCCCTTGCTTCTCCACAAAATCTTTAGAAATCCAACTGTTCCACAAAATTTTATAAATTTTGGTATAAATTCATAAAAGGTATGAAACTTCTGTGTTGAGTTTAATGTTTATATCATGTTGATTTATTCTTTCTTGCGTTGTTAGATTTTAAGACCTTCACGGCAGGATTTGTGCTTTTAGATTTAACTCCATTTGTTGTAGAACCCACTGTACACTTACACCACTGTATGAAAGTAATCAGTGTTGGAGGAACTGGGGCTTCTTAATTAACTTGTTCGCTCTCTGCTGGCTCCTAAACAGTTCCTTCAGGCTGTACTATGCCAGGTTCTGAGTATTCTCAACTGCCATTGGTTTCTGTTTACAGTGTTGTTGTAGTTATGTTGGTCCCTAGATATGAGAGAGGGAAGGGGGAGGTAATATTTATTTGATCAACTTCTGTTGGAAGAGACGAACTTTTGAGCTTCACAGAGCTGTTTGCCAACAGGTGATAGAGTAATTTTGTCTCATCATTTTTCTGTCTGAGTTCATTTGACAGCATAGTGATGGTCTGGTTTCACCCACATAGTTGTTGGGGCATTTGATGTTCTGGATGAGTACACCACATGTTGTGATAGGCATGGATAGGACTCCTGGATCTTGAAAGGTGTGTTATGAGGGGTATTGATCATCTTAGCGGTGGAGATATGTCTGCAAGTTTTGCATCTGTTACAGCAGCATCTGGTGCTGCTTTGAGTTAGGGTGTCCTGCTCTGTGAAGAGCTTTTTCTGATTATGAGATTGGGGGGTTGTTTGAAGGCCAGAAGAGGAGGTTTGGGAAAGATTTCTTTCAGGATGTGGTCCCCATCAAGTATGGATTGTGATTGTGTGATGATACCCTGTATGGGTTCCCGAGTGGGGTCGATGAAACTAAGGCTGTGCGGTCAGTGGTTTTTTTTTGTTTGTTTTTGTTTTTTTTTTTGGCAGGGGGGCATGTCTATATTGAAGGAGTTTCTCTCTGGGTATTTGTGGCCCATTCCATTACGTAATCTGTTTCTTTGGTGAGGCGTCCTTGTTTGGCGAGGCAATTTTATCTTAAGGTGTATATCCAGGACTTTCTCCTCTCAATATATTCTGTGGTATCTGAGAATAACAGGTGTCTATAGATAAGATTTTTTTGGTGTGTCTGAGGTCGTTACTGGCTCTATTGAGGTAAGTGTGGTAATCCATGGGTTACTGTATGTAATTTGTGACGCTGGCAGATGAGAGTCATGCCAGAGTGCATTCAGGCCAATTCACTTGTGTATTGGTATAGATCAAAGTGGTTGTTGAAGGTAAAAGAGCATATTTGGTGTTTAGACTTCATAAAACTAATGGAACGTTAGTTGAACATAAGAATGGCCATACTGGGTAAGACCAGACGTCCATCTAGCCCTGTATCCTGTCTTCCGACAGTGGCCAATGCCAGGTGCTCAGAGGGAATGAACAGAACAGGTAATCATCAAGTGATCCATTCCCTGTCGTTCATTCCCAGCTTTTGGAAAACAGAGGCTATGGACACTATCCCTGCCCATCTTGGCTAATAACCATTGATGGACCTATCCTCCATGAATTCATCTAGTTCTTTTTTGAACCCTGTTATAATCTTGGCCTTCAAAACATCCCCTGGCAAGGAGTTCCACAGGTTGACTGTGTGTTGTGTGAAGAAATACTTCCTTTTGTTTGTTTTAAACCTGCTACCTACTACTTTCATTTGGTGACCCCTAGCTCTTGTGTTATGAGGAGGAATAAATAACACTTCCTTCTTTACTTTCTCCACGCCAATCATGATTTTATAGACCTCTATTATATCCCCCCTTAGTCATCTCTTTTCCAAGCTGAAAAGTCCCAGTCTTATTAATCTCTCCTCATACGGAAGCCATTCCATACCCCTAATAATTTTTGTTGCCCTTTTCTGAACCTTTTCCAATTCCAGTATATCTTTTTTTGAGATGGGCCAATCACATCTGCACGCAGTATTCAAGATGTGGGGGTATCATGGATTTATATAGAGGCAATATGATATTTTCTGTCTTCTTAGCTATCTTTTCTTAAAGATTCCCAACATTCTGTTTGCTTTTTTGACTGCCGCTGCATATTGAGTGGATGTTTTCAGAGAACTATCCACAATGACCCCAAGATCTTTCTTGATGGTAACAGCTAATTTAGACCCCATCATTTTATATGTATAGTTGGGATTATGTTTTCCAAAGTGCATTACTTTGCATTTATCAACATTGAATTTCATGTGCCATTTTGTTGCCCAGTCACCCAGTTTTGAGAGATCTTTTTGTAGCTCTTCGCAGTCTGCATGGGACTTAATTATCTTGAGTTTTGTATCATCTGCAAATTTTGCCACCTCACTGTTTACCCCGTTTTCCAGATCATTTATGAATATGTTGAATAGACTGGTCCAGTACAGACCCTTGAGGGACACCACTATTTACCTGTCTCCATTCTGAAAACTGACTATTTATTCCTAACTTTTGTTTCCTATCTTTTAACCAGTTACCAATTCATAAGAGGACCTTCCCTGTTGCCCCATGACAGCTTACTTTGTGTAAGAGCCTTTGGTGAGGAACCTTGTCAAAGGCTTTCAGAAAATCTAAGAACACTATATCCATTGGATCCCCCTTGTCCAGATGCTTGTTGACCCCCTCAAAGAACTCTAATAGATTGGTGAGGCGTGATTTCCCTTTAAAAAACCATGCTGACTCTTCCCCAACAAATTATGTTAATCTATGTGTCTGACAATTTTGTTCTTTACAGATTTGTCACCTAAAAAGAATGGCACAGGTTTGG